ATTGCCCCTTTGACACGCTATCAGATTGTACTAAGTGACCGTTGATTATCCACACACAATCCCCAGATCAATTTCAAAAACCGCACACTAACCTTCAATTCGCCTCACTGCTTTGCGAAAGACTGCCTGCCCCAAGATACCCCTTGCACCATTCATGCCCGCGGCTCCAAGGCCTTGATGAGCAAGATTATCCCTCAGTTGACAGCAGATTCCGATTCTAGTATCTCGCTCATATCTGCTAAACGTTTTATCTCCCTCGTGAGCCATCGGGATAACCATAACTATCTGATGATACCTAAAAATGGCCGCAAGCACTTTTGCGCGTCTATCACGAATGCGATACGCCCAGAGGACTTTGACAAATTCCTAACGAATAAAAAGAACTACACGCTAGATTAGTTAAAGAAGAAGATTCCTGAGAAATATCACTCTATAATTGACATTTTTATGAAGCAAGAGGCTAATATCCTACCCCCGCATCAACCAGAGGATCATGACATCCAATTGATTAAAAACATTATCCCTCCGTTTGCAAAGAACTACCGCCCGATGATTGAACAAGAACTAAACATTGTTTAGAAATATATTCAGGAACAGCTTAACAAAGGCTTTATTCGTCCAAGCTCCTCACAAACCGCAGCACCCATCCTTATTGTGCGCAAACCAAACGATAGACTGCGCATCTGTGTTGATTATAGGGCCCTGAACGAGCTTACAGTCAAAAATCACTATCCTATCTCACTGATCAACGAGATCTTGAACCATCTTCGAAAAGCCAAGATCTTTAGTAAGATTGACGTGATTCATGCGTTTAACCGTTTACGCATTAAAAAGGACCAAAAATGGCTGACTACATTCAATACCCGATATGGTCAGTTTGAATACCTAATGATGCCATTCGGTCTCTGCAACGCCCCGACTTCATTCCAGAGTTATATCAATAATTCACTGCTTGACTATCTCAATATATTCTGCATGGCTTATCTGGATGATGTCTTAATCTTCAGTGACAGCGAAAAAAAGCATACAGAACACGTTCTCAAGGTTTTACACCGTTTACAGAACCGTGATTTATAAATTAACATTGACAAATGCGACTTCGATATCCAGGAAGTCAAGTATTTAGGCCTTGTTGTAACTACAGAAGGCATTCGCATGGACTCTGTTAAGATAGCTGCTATTCACGAATGACAGACTCCTTCATCGATCAAAGATATCCTCTCCTTCGTCAACTTTGCAGGCTTTTACCGCCGCTTTATTCGAGCTTTTTCGCACCATACAAGGCCTCTTACTGACCTTACTAAAGGCAGTGAGACCTATGAGACCAAGTCAGGAGCGCGCCGCATCCGCTACCCACCATTTGTCTGGACATCGGAATGCGACAAGGCGTTTGAGGACTTAAAGAAAGCCTTTCAAATAATCCCTGTACTCGCACATTTTGATCCTGACCTCAAAACATGGGTCAAAACTGATTCTTCCAACTATGTAACTGCTGAAATAATGTCATAGATGCATAATGGCGTGTTACATTTTGTGGCCTTTTTCTCAAAGAAATTGTCTCCTGCGGAAACCAATTATATAATCTATGATAAAGAGCTTCTTGCAATCATTCAATCCTTTAAAACTTGAAGACCGGAACTGGCCAGTGCATCTCCTGAAAATCCTGTTAAAATTTACACAGATCATCAGAATCTGCAGCATTTTATGACTATAAAGCAATTGAATCGCAGACAGACTCGATGGGCCGAATTCCTTTTTAAATTTAACTTTAAAATCATGTATCGGCCCAGAAAGCAAGGAGAGAAACCCGATCTTTTGACACGGCGTTCTCAGGATCTACCACAGAGGGCGGATGATGCCCGCAAAAAGAAACGCTTTCAAACCCTGCTCCCGCCCCAATACCTTGACGAAACAGTTCAAAAGGACCTTCTCGCGGTCACCCGTAGCGCGCGCAATGCCTTTATCCCGGTCAACGACCCCGATAGCGCCACATCAACGGCTTTTAGCGATCCCCCAGAGATTCTTTTCATCCCCGAGGATTTTGAGCTCCCCCTAGAAACATCCAACCAATTGAACAACCAACCCGATGATCAACTAGCTAAAGACTCCGCCGAACCATCCGCCTCACAGCCCTCCACAGCTCCTTCTGAACAGCCTAATGAGATACCCCTGGAGACCCTTATCAAAGAAGCCTACGAGAATGATGAAATAATACAGGCAATTATAAGAACTAAAGATGAGGGCAAGCAAAAGCTCCCTCCAGCTGTGCTTGAACAAGAGATTCGATTCTCTATGATCGATCTTACTGTTCAAGATCATCGTGTGTGGATCGGCGAGCGATTATATATTCCTGATTATTAATCACTTCACCATCGGATTCTCCAGATTCTGCACCGTGACCAGTTATTAGGCCATTCAGGACCCAAAGACATGTATCGAGCGATTATTCGCTATTATTACTGGCCTCATTTGAAGAAAGATGTTCATTAGTATACCGATTTCTGCGCCATATGCAAACGCGCGAAGGCCCGCACAGTGCAAGCACAGGGGCTGCTTCGTCCCCTTCCAGTACCACAGCGCAAATGGCTTGACCTCTCTATGGACTTGGCTGAGGATCTACCGCCTTGCAATCATCGCGGACAGAAATTTCACAATGTTCTTGTCATGGTCGATCGGTTGACTAAAGCTAAGATATTTGAACCGTTGGCCACAAAGAAAGTAGATGAACTTGTAGAGGTTATGCATCAGCACGTCTTCTTTGAACACGGCCTCTCACGTTCGATTGTGTCTAACCGCGGCAGCGCCTTTACGAGTCATTTTTGAAAACACTATTGCGCGCAGTATGAGGTTAAGAGCAAGATGTTGACTGCATATCATTCTAAGACCGATGGCCAGTCTGAAGCGGCTGTAAAAAGTCTTAAGAACTATCTCCGCGTCTATATCAATTTCGCACAGGATGACTGGGTCGATTTTCTTTTGGATGCGCAGCTCGCAATTAATGATCACATCTCTGAGACAACTGGCATGATCCTTTTCTTTGCAAATAATGGCTTCCATCCCCGTACCGGGATCGAGCCGCCTGGGTCCCTGTCACGTGTCACGCATCCCGAGATGGAGACAGCTGATAAACTGGTTTGTCGCACTGAGAATATTCGAGAATTTTTTCGCAATGAGTTTATTTGGGCTCAGGAATCCTACACCCGGCATGTCGATGTCCACCGCCAGTCCCATCCAGCCTATTGACTAGGTGACCGTGTCTATGTGAATGCTCGCAATTTTCGTTTACAGCGTAAAAATCAGTCTCTCACATCAAAAGCGCTCGATTCGTGGCCGATTATTCGGAATATTGACAACAAGGCATATGAACTGGCTTTATTCGATTATATGTTGTCAGCCGGGATCACATTCGTGTTTCATTCTTCTTTATTATGTTTTGTTTTTTCGGCCGACGCGGCTTATTCAGGTCAGTATGAGGATCTTCAGGAACCCGTTGTGATTATAGACACAGACATCAATGAAGAGCATCAAGAGTGGGTCGTTCATGAAGTTGTTGATTGCCGAGAGATATGGCAGGGTACACAATATAAAGTTTTGTTTGAAGATAATTGGAAAGACTGGAATTCGAATCCGCCGTGACAATCATGACATGATTTTAAACATTCTGTCGACCTTATTTTGGATTATCATGCTTGTCATCCTGATAAGTCGCTGCCGCCATCATATTTCCTTGATCTTTTTGTCTCGACGGCTTTTTCAACTGGCTAGTTTTCTTGTTCTGTTTTGGACATTTTTTATTGTTATTTGCTTGTGTTTGCGCTCGAGGGATCTCACGCCTCCGTTTAGGGGGGGTAGTGTCAGGAACTTTCCGGCTTGTTCCCAGGAACTTGCCGGTAGGATCCCTCCGTATGGAACTTCCCGCCAGGAATCTCCCGATTCCTGGCAGTCATGTTGGTAGTAGGCAGTATCATAAATAGGGGCTTCTGCCCACACCCAGCTGCTGGAACCCATGCAGCTTATTCTTTGCTAATACATACCTACGTTCAATGGTTTATGTTCCTTACACCCAAAACGGGTAAACCGCGGGTTGTGTCGAGGTCTACTTGGGACTAGACTTGACCTAGTCCCATGGGACTTGAAGAGGTCTAGGTTTATCTAGGTCTGAAGATGTTCTCGCGGCCTCGGTCTTGGTTTTGGAAGTCGATGTTGCAACATGGGAGCGATGATTATCCTCATTTGATAATTGGTATTGTCCATAATGCCTACATGAATAATCAGACCTTCGCAATTGGAGAGGTATCAGGGATTGTAAGAGCGCTCCGATTTCGCTACCAAGATTCATTATACAGATCACACATTACATTACCGGTAGGTGCCTTTCTCACGTCGAGTTCAAAAAGTATAGGGCTTACCTAATTATAGCTTCTTGTCTTATAGTACGTGGGCCCGAAAAGTGCCAGAATTATAGAGGCGTATCACGATGGAAAGCGACTAGTAGTACAATACTCACCGGCGATGAGTTTTGAGACAGATTCCAAGGAAGAGGAAGCTGAGTGCGTTCCTTTTTTTGTGCGATATCAGGCTAGCAGTCCTATAGGCGATACTACCGTCCACTTAAGCCTAGTGATTACCCTCAGGATCCTCCCAAGTGTGACTCATGCCCTGAGTGCCTAATTTAGTTGCTGTGGAATGACTAATTTGCTATGGAATGATTAACTTTCAATGAAATGACGAATTTGCTGTTATACTATTCTGCTTCTCTGGTCGCCCTCGTACACAGATTCGCGTTGTTTACTGGGCCATTCAACTTCATGATAAGTCAGAGGATGTCAATTTTGATAATATTTTATATTATTTAAAAGATATTTTTGTGGACTCCTTGACCGTCTCATGCATGAGAAAAGATTGAATTCATTCATTGGTTTATCCCAATGTAGTTTCGGAATAAAATTCAAGGACAACACGACCATATACAACCCCACCAGCGACGCAGCAATCCACAATCACATTGAACGAGCCAGCCTGGAGAAGAACCCATCCGGGCGGGCAAGTAACGCGCGAGGAGGGCCTACCTCCACCAAGCGACCGGCATCCATTACAGCAATGCGATCGAGGTCGAGAAGGGAAGGAATGCGATGGGCGACAACTAGGACGGTGCAGTCTCCAAAGGCCTCCTTGATAAGTCGCTGGATGGCGGCGTCAGATTCCCGGTCCAAGCTGGCCGTCGGCTCGTCCAAGATGAGGATCTTGCTCTTTTTCATCAGCGCGCGAGCCAAACAGAACAACTGCTGTTGACCGTACGACAACATGAGCGGCGTCAGCTCGGTGTTTAGCAGCGCGTCGTCTTCCTGGTGCGAGTTGGTCGCGGCCCGCAAAGCATCCCAGACTCCAACGCGTCGCAAAGCGTTAACCAGGTCTGCAGTGTCCACATGGCCCGACGGATCAGCGTTTTGTCGCATAGAACCCGGGAAAAGGAAGGGCTCTTGGCTCAAGCAGGCGATGCGTTGACGCAGCGCCGACGGAAACACGGTCGTAATGTCGTGGCCGTCAATCAGGATCTGACCGGCTGTCACCTCGTTCAGGCGCAGGAGCGATTGCACTAGGGAACTCTTTCCACTGCGCTGAATGTCAGCCTTTTCTGCTCTTCGTGGTTGACGGATTTCCGTTCGGGTAAACAAAGAGAGTAATTATCACCTTCCTGTCCGGCCGCACAGCCCGACTTTTTCGCCCGGCTGGATGTCTAGGCAGATTTCCCGCAGCACGACCGTCTCATTCCAGCAAATATTAGCGTTGACAAAGGAGATGGCCCCGTGAGATGGCCACTCAGGCGGGGCCACCGCGTCGTCCGGCTCCTCACATGGCATGTCGCGCGCAAAGTCCTTGATCCGAGCGATCGCGCCCAACGATGTCTCGAGAAGCGTCCAGTTCTGTATTAGCAGGGAGAGCATCTGACCGAGATCCATCATCATAACTAGCGCGATACCTAGCAGTCCGGAGTTGATCTGCCGACGCAGTGCCACGGCCAATCCCACCAGTAGCACCGTCACGGCCGCCACGATCAGGTTCAACACCAGTCCCAGCCAGCGCTGGATGCATAAAAGGAGATAGTACGGTTTTTGAGCCCGGTCAAGCAGAGCCAGCAGTCGTGTCTCGCAAGAGTGGGTCCAGGAAAAGGCCCGGATGGTGGCCAGTCCCGCCAGAGATTCGATGAAGTGGGTGTATAGTGGACTTTTTAGCTCGATGCTGGGTCGTGACTCAGCTCAAGCCCGTGGACAGGTACAGGGAAGAAGCAGACTTACTCGAGCAAACGCAGCTGACGTGAAGTTCGTAGGTATAACCGCTGGATAACAACCAACAGTCCGATGAGAACAGGTAGTGTGGCCGCCAAATACGGCAGCGACGCAATAGCGATGGCACCTTGCGCCAGCGCCCCAAAAAGATCTAATCAAATTCCAGTCAGTTGCTTAGCACAAAGGCGGCACTCCGAGCGGCAGTACTAACGAAACGCCGTGGCGATAAATCCGCGAGGCAAAATCATATCCACGAGCCTCATATCCTGGCTAAAACGAGTCATAAGAGCCCCCGTGTCGAGACTTAGCAGAACGGACAGAGGAGCGCTGTGATTGTCAGACTGTTGTTTACCGAGCAGGACGGAACAGGAACTACGAACCCCATGCAGGCGCGCAAGACAGCTTCATGCAGGTTCCGCGATGCCGCCGGCACGATGATGACCCAGGTCCAGCTGTTCGAATTGTTATTCACGAGCAAAGGGTTGGATGGGGGTGGTCTCCAACATACTATACTGCGAGTGCAATCCCTCCAGCTTCAACGACGGATAAGACCCCATATATGCCCAGCCAGTATCCTAAATGGGACCCTGAGGGACCATCGCTACTTGAAGACCATAGCTCAACCCAGATGTCTATTGCAAGTGTCAGTTTCATGGACCGTCAAATTGCCATCCACCACCAGGAAGTAGCTTACACCGGAATCCTCCGATGCCCGATTCCACAACTAACACAAAAGCTAGCACGGCCAGTCGCTGCCATCCGAGGGCTGAGAAATAGTACTTGAACACGGATGGATCAGCCGTCACGTTGGAGGATCTTGGAGTGCTCGGCTCTGCATTTGGAGAGTCGAGAGGATTGTCAGAATTATGTTCGAGCTTCTCTTCGGTATCAATATCATTCCGTGCGTCTCCACGATCCTCGACCGAGTCTCCGTGGAAATCTTGAGGCCCAGCGCAGCTACGCCCTTCCGTTACAGCCCCGTTCGCCCCGAATTCGATGATGTGGTCAGCATGGGCCAGGTGGTTGGCTAATTCAAGCGAGTATCAGTTCAGCGTGTCCTCCCAACTCGCACACAGGGACGTACCTCTCTGGGAAACGAGAAAGGCAGCGCAGCCTGGGCGACGTAGTAATCCGGCACGTCCAAAGACGTTGTGAAACACTCGACGAGCGGTCTCATTGTCCAGGCCGCTGAAGACGTCATCGAAACACGCGATTTTTTTCCGGGCGTAAATGGCTCGCGCAATTGCCTAAAGCGACTAATCAACACATGGACTATGGATTGTGGCCAAAGCGATCTACTTACGATTCTCTGCTTTTGGCCCCCGCTGAGTTTGGCCCCCTGATTGCCGACCAATGTCTCATCGCCCTCCGGCATCCGAGCCAGGTCCTGGTCTAGCGCACAGGCGCTCACGACTCGACGATACCATTTGTGGTCAAATTTCGTCTCCCGGTTCGGGCCGACAATGTTCTCTCGAACGGATGAGTGCGCCAGCCAGGGAGTTTGTGTGCATAATGCTACGTCTTGATCGCTGACGTAGACTTCTCCCCTGATCAAGGGTGCCTCTCCCGCAAGACCTGTCAGGAAGGTAGACTTGCCGCTGCCGACGGGCCCAGTGACCACGATGAGACTTCCGACGTCAGAAGCCCCGAGTGTGAGCGTGGTCCCAGCCTTTTCCAGCGGGGAAGGCTTCCAATCGAAGCAGGCATCTCGGAGACACAGAAGAATATTGTTCCTCGAGGGCACCACTGGCGATACCCTGACGTCGGCTTCTTTAAGGCTCGAAATCGAAACATCGTCTTGCTGCTGAACAAGTTGCCTTTTGTCTGAGTTTATTGCATGAACGGTCAGCTCTGCATGATCTCTAGTGAGCTCCAAACACAAATGCACGAACCTTGGTAGAGTGGCTGCTCGAGAAAGTCCTGGATCCGTTGAAGGCAGCCGAGCGCGGCAAACGTGTCAGGAATGGCCAGCAAAAGACTCTGCAAGGGTGTGGTGAGTAAGTTAACCAAGGACAACGACGTGATGGCCTGGGAGACAGAGAAACCGTCTGATCCCTGCAGTTTCGCCGTTATCGCATAGGCCGCAAAAGTTGCCAGCTGTCCGGTTATGTGGGGGAAGTTCACTGCAAGTCCTGTCAGTATGGTCGCCTTGGGTCAGCCCTAGTTGTATGAACATTACCCATGCAGGTGCGCAATGTCTGGACACGACGGAATCGCTGAGAGACTGTCAACTCGCCGTCTCGCCGATTTCGCATCGCATCTTGCATGATCTCCGTCAGCCCCAGCAACTTGACGTTTCGGATTGATCCTAGGATGGCTTTGGTGAAGTTGATGCGTCTTTCAGTCGCGTCCAGCCACGACTTTTGCCGAACCGAGACCACTTTGCCCATTCCCAAAGATGAGGCCGTGAACACTGTAGAAATGTATTAGACCAGAGTAACCGACAAGAAAGATTTCTGGGCAGATCGGGGCACCTGCCAATTACCACGATAACGGGCGCGATGCAAACTGCACCCACCATTCTCTGGAGGAGCCAGGTTGCCAATGCCAGCTGAATGATGTTGGCCCACGATTCGCATACGGTCGAGTGGAAGTACTCTGCCAGCATTTCGATATCCGCGCCCATCAGGGAGACAGCACTTGACTCGCGGGTGCCGGCCACGGGCAGGCTCATCATTTGTTCGAACGCCAGGGCCATGAGACCGCCCCGGATCATTGTTGTTGTGCGGAATCCGAGGTGCTCGTAGGCAGCCGTGGATACCTGTCAAGGGACGGGGTGTCAGTATTTGTCATATGGTGATGAGGATATGGACGGGAAAAGAATACCGCAACTCCGATGAAAACAATCGCTGTGGCTCCGATCAAGCCGTAGCCCATGTACAGCGAGATGGGCTCAGTCTGGTCCAGAACCGTCACCACCTTGCCAACCAGAAACGGTTGTGCGATGCTGAACCCGACCAAACACAAACGAGGAAATGTGAGGCTGCTGATTTCACGGCGCAAGCAATTGACAATAAGCCAGAACAACGCATGTTGGCGCCCTTGGTCACATCTGGCCCAGCCTTCCGAAAATCGTTGGGATAAATCGTGTGACGCAATCTTCTCGTGAATCGGTGGCAGAGCGTCTCCAGTCAACGGCGCAGCATATCCCTGTCGCAGCAAGCGGTTCAACCATGTAAAAAGGGCCCGGCTAAATGGGCCGCTTGTGGCTTCTACAGACAGACTCTTGGCGTCTCGTATGAGTAAAACCCGCTTCTTTGCGTTCGCCAGCGCTAGAAGAAGCATTTTCAGTCCCAGGGAGGTAGTGAGGACGCCTGAGATTGCATCCCGATCCGGTACCAACCAGGCGGTCCGCACGCGTGCCATATCGAGCAGCAGGGTGACGAAAAGGTAGGTCGACACAAGGAACGACGGCCGAACAGATCGGACATGCTCCAGGTCAAGCAACAGCGCAACGGCCAGTGTAGCAACGAGGTCGAGAACGGCACCCGCCAGGGAGACATGCTGGGCAATGGTTTGCCGTCTCGCGATTAATACCACAAACGCGAGTTGACTGGCGGCTAGGAGAGCTGCCACAATCTGCTCGCAGAAATTATTAAAGGATGGGCTCCATCATGCGAGGTACATTGTTTGAAGCAAAAACTCTTACCAGGGTCACGACGCGGATCTTGGACGCACGCACTTGGCGTGGTTCTCTGGCAAGCTGGAACAGCCGAATTGGCAGCAGCAGGAGAAAACACGCGGTCGGTGCAATATTCAAAATAGCGTTCTCAAAGAGGACTAGTTCTGTTGTCAGTTTTCTTCCCAGATCCCATATTCCGGGGTGATGGCACCTGTGAAATCAAATCCATCGCGACAGCCTGACGAGGCTACGAAAGGGCCAAATCCGCCGTCACCACAGCTGTCTGTTGTCGCCATCGACGGCAAAACTGTATCCCTGGGATCAGACAGATGTGCCAGCCTTCAATCAGACGGGCGACTATGTACCCTTGTGGATCGTGTCGCAATGAAGCTGAAGCCCCGGGGAGATGGTCATTTTATCGCCGAAAATTACGGCATTCTTATTTTCTCAATTATTTCCTGTAAGTGACAGGGATGATTCGATATCTACAGTTACAAACACCGCTGATCCCATTTCACGCTAAAATGAGTTGATCCGAGTCGCCTCTGTCCCGCTGGATCATTATCGCTCCTGATAAGTGTTTTGCCCAATCTGAGCTAACAGTGGTGTATTTCTCGATGCCGTGGCTTTTTCTTTTGGGCGCTAATACAGGGGAGTAACATAGTGATGTAACCTTCCAATAGGCCCAATTTTGGTTGTTGCCTACAACTCAGCCGAGATACCTAAGTAGGGATCATCATTTGCCATATTCACTTCACCCTATTTTATTATCCCGTGTACAACGCATGGGTAATATACATCACTCCATTGACCCATGGTCACCTTCATTAATCCGGCGGCAGCTTCCGAGTAACGGCATCAACGGGTTTGAGAATTAATCCTCCTGGAGCGTCAGACTTCGCCAGATGGGACTTTCCCCAGGAATGCACTCCCTCATAATCACGGCAGAAATGATTCTCGCTGAAGTCTGGCCAGGGGTAATCCCACCCATCTACCCAGTCATAGGTGATCAGATGTAGATCTGCCGAGCACATGAGCAGTTGTCGCAGCATCTCGATGCAGTGATCTTAGGAATGTCATGAGTTAGCAAATTCCATGACAGTCCTCGGTTTCGGTTTCGGAACTACTTACCAGTGTGTTTCCTCACGGTCGGTGAGGTGAAGAACTCGGGCTCCTTGACCTTGTAATAATCTAGATATGTGTATTTGCGAAGCACATTCAAGCAATGTATCTGGTGGAACGCTCCAATGCTCGCCATATAACCCCCGTCATCCAAGATTACGGAGCTATCCCTAAGCTTGCCGACTCTCTCAATCTCGTCTCGGGATACAGACATAGCTGAAGCTGGAGAATAGGAAAAGACCTTGTCAGACATGCAAGAAAAGCCTCTCTCCAAGGGCTAGGTCTTACTCAAATCCAGTTCATCCCATGCTGTATCCACAGTCGCATTCGGTTCGCCTCGCCAGGCGGAATGGGCTCCGAATTCGCCTGAGAATTGGTGAGGCTTTCTGACGCCGCACTCATTGACGGCCGTCGCTGTCGCCCATATTAGCTCTCATGGACAGGATAATCGGTCACCAGATATCTTCATACCGTACTCTTGGGTGAATGCAGGACCCAGTGTCTGCTGTCTTACCTGAATCGCGCGGAAGAGAGCAGCGACTGAAATCAACAGTAACACACAATGAAGTACCCAGGGCGTGACTCGCCATAAAAGACTGGGTTGTCGTGCCTCTACTGACCGGGGCTTCTCTTCCACATCATGGTCTAATTCTGCTTCGGAGGGGCTCACTTGAAGATACCTGCTTTTTGCGAGCCAATTCTGGGGTAGCCATCGACTGTCCATCGCTAGGAAATGTTAAACCCTTCTTCGATCGGGGAGGTTGTAGGAGGGGATCCCTATTTGAGCACGTCCAGACGCATGAGAGCCAGTAAATACGGCAAGCTTCCCTTTCCTTTTTTGCATTTGTTAGTCGAGCCATCCTACATGACATGGCGTGCATTCAGGATTGGATGAGTCTACTGCGGTATTCCAACATGGTCCTTCTAGGAACCAATCTTCTTCTTTTCTTTCTCCGAGGAAGTCAACATCCATGTCGTTGATGACGTACCCATCACGCTCATTCCTGATGAGGCCTAACGCGCTATCATCTCACGAACATCGGCGCAATTACTATTTATGACCTGCAACACCGGTGCCCATCTGGTGTATTGCCGTGATATATTCTTGCTCTTTATATCTATATCGCGCCCACAGTGTTAGAATCATGTAACTCATGGGGGATTGCGTTGGTTTAACAAGCGAAGGTCCGCAGAAACCAAGACAATCCGGATCAAGCAAGACACCAGGCGCTCAACCAGGTAAGACACTCGTTGGAATGCGGCCCCCAACAAGGCTTATCACCTCATCCCCGCTCAATCCGCCAGGTGGAGTGGATCTGGAATGTAGTGATCAAGGCGACGGCGGGTCTGCTGGATTCCCGCAGTGGAGCAGCGAGGCCCATACATCATAAATCCCAATTCCTTCCAGGCTGCGTAGTGCGTGCTTGAACACCGCTTGAACCTGGAAGATGAACCCCGCAGCAAGAGTTTGTGTTATCCTCAATGAGGCTGGACTTCAGGTCCTACCCCTACTCTTCGAGAGCCCTCCGATAATGTGTATCGTGTTGCGCTTAGCTTGGACCACTGAGTACTTGAGATTGTTATTGAATTTATCATCAGCGTTTACGACGACTTCCTGTCCAAATTCAAAACCAAAGCAGCAAGCATAACCTCGATATAGAGGAAACGTCTAGAACTAGATACACCTCGCCACGCGGAACTCGCATAGCCTCCACCCTGTACCTCAACTGATGCGGTCCATATCACCAACACACGAGTCCAGAGAAATCAAAATCTGAGACATATTGCTTCGCCTCCACTAGCTAAACCACCTCAGGCCTCGTCCTGAGAACCAGATTCCTTCGCCTCCTTATACTTTCCATAAGCGGAGTTGACAATCGAGGAAACATCTTCATCTTCAGTCCCGCGGCGCTCCTCTTTGTACTTGCCATACGCCGAGTTCACAATAGACGAGAGATCCTCATCGTCAGTAGCGCGGCGCTCCTCTTTGTACTTGCCATACGCCGAGTTCACAATAGACGAGAGATCCTCATCGTCAGTAGCGCGGCGCTCCTCTTTGTACTTGCCATAGGCTGAGTTGACAATCGACGAGACGTCCTCATCTTCAGTCCCGCGTCGCTCCTTGTACTTGCCGTAAGCGGAGTTGACGATGGAAGAAACATCCTCCCCCTCAACTTCCCGTCGCTCCTTGTACTTCCCGTACGCAGAATTCACGATAGACGAAACATCCTCGCCGTCCTGTTCGCGTTTCTCCTTGTATTTGCCATACGCGGAGTTGACGATCGAGGAGACGGGATCCTCGGCAGGGACGGCTTCATGGATATCCACACCCGAGTTGCCTATATACATGGGGAGTCGAGTTAGCTATATCCGCCAGATGGAGTAGTGGGAGGCAAGCAGATTAAAGATGGTGAGCGCAGTACCTTGCACAGGGGCAGCTAGGCCGAGGCTAGCAGAGAGAGTCAAGACGATGGCGATGGATTTGAAGTGCATGGTTCCGGGTAATGAGGCCGTTTTTATGAAAGAGATGTCCTTAGGTGTGTTGAGAAGAGCAGAGGGGTTTGGGAACTGACGGGTTGGGAAACGAAAGACTTGATGGACTTTTCCATACTGCTTTTATACATTTCTGGCTGTCTTAGCACGATATCGTCAGTCCAATTGATACTCTATCGTTCACTCCGAAGAATGCCCGTTCCGAAGCGCAAGTCCGTTTCCCCTCATCTGTAGCAATATCAGATATGTAGTTTTGAGAATCCTTCTCAATTCCGCTGGTCTGTCAGGACTTGCGGTCATTCAAGCCCAAAAGCACCGATTGACCTATTGCGTACGGCATAGATGCACTCCTCATGGCGAAATCCGAAGGATCAACGATGTGATACTCAGGACCCAAGTCACGTAACAAATGAGATACCAGCAACCGAAGACCGATGAAGATGAGATATGATCAGCTACTAGGAATGAGACAGATCGACGTTTGGATGTTTGAGCCTTTGGTTCTGCGTCCAGGAGTAAGCACTAGGTATCTTGTGCCTTTCTCGCGCGTGAAACCCAGCCAACCGGGAGTGCATTTTTGACCTGGCTATCTGTGGCATCATTATGTACTTCGTTTGCGAGAGACGCTACTTGATGAGGGAGTGGATGACGCCTCATCGATTTATTCCACAGGAGGAATCACATAGCGCAACTGTCTCTAGTAGACAAGGAATGCGCAGGGCATAGGCAAGGCAGAGTCTTCCCAGGAAGAGCAATCTGAAAGTCCTACCACAGAGGCCGACGTTATCCTGAGATATCACTTCATCACCCTCCGCTCGACTCCCTCCTTGTTATATCCCTATCTCAAAGCCTCATCCATCCAACCCCCCTCGCGATATCCCAAACCATGAACCCATTCCGAACCATCATCCATCCACCCACGTCTCAACCAAAAGAACCATACCGTATGCCCCCGAAAGACGAAATCAACGAAGAAGATTCCCTCAGCATCAAAGCCTCCGAAGACGATGACTTCCTCTCCGGCGAGACACTAACCCGAGGACCTGTCTCCGATCCTTCATCACGGTATCTGCCATGGCTGAAGTATCTACTCCTGGGCATAGCCTGGACAAGTTCGATAGTTACCGCTGTTCTTATCACTAGTCGCAAGAGCCGTGATTGTGGTGGTCTTGCGCGCGTTTATGATACAGAATTAGGTATAAGAAACCTTCGTCTTGCTCTAGAGCTAGTTCTCACGCTGCGGCAGGGCCTATACAATCCGCGATTAAAGTCCATAAGGTCCGATTCTCAGGCAATCTGGAGTTTGACGATAATGGTACGCTTGTCGAGACGTATTGGGATGGACAAGCGCCTAGATATACCGGGGAACCGAGCGATGAGTTAGACGAGCGCTGGAGAAGTTTGATCAGAGGTTCGAGAATGTCCCTGTCTTCATTATGGGAGCGGTTTGAGCTGATAGGGAGTGACCAGCTGATGGCGTGGATCTCCGTGGTGGCGAGGCCGACACGGTTCGAGGGACAACATATGAGAAGCCAGGAGGTTGGTCGCTTGTAGGGATCGATGTGTTTCATCAGCTTCATTGTTTGGTGAGTATCATCCTTTTCCTGGTCATCACACCTTAGCCAAGTGTACTCAACATCCTCGACAGAACCTCCTACGCCAGGGCCTACGTCCAGACTACTACACAAAACACGACGACGAACCAGCCTACACGATACACATAAGTGAATCCCCCTCCGTAAACCAAAGCTGTCCTTACCTCAAAGCTAACCATCACCCCAGACCACTGTCTCGACTACCTCCGACAAGCAGCCATGTGCAACGTCGACGTAACGCCCATCCCAGTCCTCTGGAGTGAGCGGGAGGATCGCCCCGTGCCCGACTTCCAGGTCGAGCACACTTGTCGGGATTTTTGGAAGGTGCGAGACTGGGCGATGGAGCGGGATGCGCATCGGCATGGATTCAAGGGTGAGCATGAGCATTAGCTATTTTGGGAATCTAGTTTTTTGGCCGGATGGGTTTGTAGATAGCTTGGTGCATATGGGACGTAGAGTGGGTCTCGTTGGTTAGCGGTCCTGGAGACCTTGCTTCAATTCAAGCGTTCTATGAATCAGCGATTTCGTGATTAGGTGAATGCATGTCAGACGAGATTATCATGAGCACAGCCTCGAGGACAAAGGGTCCGCTACATACAGGGAGTAAACCTGAGTACAGTCAAAGCAGGCTATGTATGAGTAGTTTCCATGCCCACTACGTGCACTCACCATGAAGATCGTACCCGATTACTAGTTAGAGCTTAGCATTGCTTATGTCGACGTGTACTCCGCACCAAATAGATTAAACCACTCATCCCGAAGCCAATGATAGAGGAAAACCAACAATGGTACCATTCGATGCCTGTAAATGCCCAGTGGCGATCAGCACGCATTGTCTCGTCCGAAGCTCGCCATCATAAGCACTAAAGGTGCTCGGGCTACCTCGGGCCTTCCTGCGGCTGCGTCCGAGATCAAGAGGATCTGTACCATGGAAAAAAGCACCCAATTAGATAAGGTATTGATGTTGACAACTGTGATGGATTTGCGACTTCATTCCTTTCGCATTTCTCCTCGGAGGAGGCAGGAGACCGGTGCCGAGGAATCCTGGATCACGACATCCTGTCTCGCATTGCCAGGGTAAACCATTTCCAGTTTCTTGTTGTGGATTTCTCTACTAGTCTCTGAGCGACCGGTTGTTTTGATTCTGGGCCGAGATCATGGCACGCTTCTTTGAATCGATATGGACTGGGTGGAAGGGAAGCAGCAAATCCGCATGGGAAAGCGACGAGGCAGAGGACACGGCCTTTTTGGGAAGGGGAACCCAACACAAAAGTTCAGGTTATGGCCCTTCACTTGCAATCCATGTCAGATACAGCTGGCCGTGGATTATATCGACCGTGATTTTTGCATGCAGCACCGCGATACTGGTTACCGGCGGATCGGCCGGACAAGAGAGGCTATGGCGATCCACTGACCTCGGTATGAAGCCCCCAGATATCTCCATAAAGTTAATACCTGCAGAATAAGGCTTACGATGGTATAGAAGCGGTGAAGTCGTTGGTCAGTGAGCGCGAGATTCGTTTCGAAGGCGCCCTGGCATACAACGACAGCGGCCATCTGGTAAGGGAGCCCAGTCCGAGAGGAGATGAATGGATCGGTCCTCCTACGCCGCAGATGGATGCGTTATGGGATCGGGTGGAAGCAGGTAGTTCATTGTCTTTCTTGTTCCTTGTTTCTGATCTGCTGTCTAACCTGTGTGTGAATTTCCAGGCTCGATCATTCTACTCGACGGCACGGAAGCAGACATTGTCCGCGAGAAAACCACTCTCTTTGATGGATATTGGGTGACTGGATTGGATGTGATCCATCAGTTGCACTGTTTGGTGAGTTTTAACCAGACCAGGTGGATAAAGCAGAATTGTTTTCCGTATCCTGACCTCAGCATCAGAACAAAGTTCGAAAAGCACTATATCCAGAGTACTACAAACCGGATCAGTCGGCTGGGACCGAGACACTCCATGTTGGTGAGTATCCGATGATTGTTGCGTGTCATTTGCCTAGTTTTGATGACCATTGAACTCTTCCAGAACACTGCTTTGATTATATCCGTCAAGCTCTCATGTGCCATGCCGATATAACCCCCGTCACGCATACCTGGTATGCTACGGCGCAGACATTCGGTCCGGACTTCGGAACCAGGCATATGTGTCGGGACTTCGATGCACTCCTGCAGTGGTCTCTAGCGAGGACGACAGATGCAGTTAAGGGCAAAGGGACCGGTGGGGAGACAGCCATGGATCCTCAGTCCGTGATACCGGGGAGTTTGCAAGAAACAGGAGGGATGATCCATGCCGGGCATGGAGATCATGGTGCCCACTGATTGAATTCTCTGTCCAAAAGCCGAATAAAGCCAATAAAGTTCCACTTTCCAAATTCAGTTACTACAGTTCTTCTGGCTCCCCTGTTCATGTAGAAACGCGAGATCTAGACGCAGGACTGCGAACAAAACATAATCCCAGCAGACAGAGTAGAAAGGCCACTGTCAAAGCAAAGTAAGGTAAACCAAGCCAGACATCCTGAAGGGTGAGACCCCAGTCGAAGAGCCAGGCGAGCGAAGGCCCCGCCACCAATGCTCCCGCTGTTTCTACCATGCCAATCAGAGTATTGAGCTTCGACGTATCCCGCGCGGCGAGATAGCCGGTGGCCAGCGAGCGACACAACGGTGCCAGACCAGCGCCCAATGTCTGCAGCACCAGGCCTGTCACTACGATTTGGCTGCTCGCAGTCGCCATTAGGAGCGCTCCCATGGCCGCTCCCAGGGCGGAGGCGCGCGCAATGACCAGGTCTCGGGAGTCCGAGGTCTGCCACCGTCCGAGGAGCCTCGACGAGACGGGCAGTACCCCGAGTAGAACGACCATCTGGATGAAACCGCGCAGTGCAAGCAAATACCCCGCACCGGCGAGGGACCAGTCAAATCGCTTGCTCACGTACTGTGCAAAGAACTGTGAGGTGGCAAGAGCTTCAGGCATTCGGGCCAGGAAGGTTGCGAGGATGGGGAAGACGGATGGGTGTCTGAGAATCGCGAAGGAGGACTGTACCCGGGTCAGAGACTGAGACAGACGCCATTTGAGCGAGGTTTGCTGTTCGTCTGCCGATCGGCTCTGCGTTACTGCAGGCAATGTTTCCGGGACCCATAATAGCACGCTCACGCCGGCTGGCACTGCAACAGTTCCGATCAAGGCCGGCAACCAGGGCGAGGAAATGTCCATGAGCAGTGAGGATACCGCGGGACCGAGGGAAGCACCGAACGAACTTGCAAAAGTCATGATAGAAAAAGCCGACGCTCTAGAGGATGGTGGTTAAATCGTACACATGAACGAGAGATGATAGATGCTTACCGATCGCCTTCATCCACCACGTCTGACAAGACGGAAAACAGGCTGGCTATTATAACGGTACTTCCGCCACCGACGACGGTGAAGAGCGGTCCGATCAGAATCAAATGCACCGGCACGAATTGCGGAAGGCCAATGACAGCCAGCGTCCACGTCAGGGAAAGCAAGGATCCCAGAGTGGAGAGGAACACGATAGGCTTGCGACCGAGACTGTGATCAGATCAGCCTCGATGGCAACCTGGCCAAAGTTGGTACGGAGGGCTTACATGTCAGCCAGTATGCCGAAGGGAAACGCAGTGACAAGGCCTGAGACTTTGCTTTAGCTTCAGGCAATCTAGTTCAAGGGGTCGTCATACCAACGAGAGCTTCGACGAGAGCCAAACAGCCGTTCAGGTATGCCAACTGGGACTGGATGCGGTCCGTCTTGCAGTGCTTCTCATCCACCGAGCCATTGATATAGCGATGACAGAGATTGTCTTCGATGAGTCGCGTCACTGGGATACTAAGGAAAGCACTCGCTCCGGCGAGGCAAAGGTTGCAAGTAGTCAGGAGAGTAACGACTGAGCGATAACTTGGTTTTGGTTTCAACGTGCCTTGCGATGGTCCGGTATGGAGTAATGGTGATGTTTCCTGGGGGGGCATTGGTCTTCTGTTCCGCTGCGTTGATGGCCTGAAGGACGAACAATGAAATAGGAAGTTGATGAAATACTGCAATGAGGCAAGTCCAGCGTAGCTCGCGCCCGGTAGGATAGGAATTCCCACTGCTTATTCAGGCCCCAGGATTGCGTGCCTCGGATTATCTTAATCCCTCTCGGCGTCCCCAGTTGTCTCTTGAAACTACATGACGTTGTGTCTATACGCCGGGAAGGTGCAATCATGAGGTCCCCTGCCATTCGAGGGCTCGTAGTTGCTGCTATCTGGTTCAGACCTGGAAGGAAGGCATGGCTCGCTCTGGGCCGGAGATTCATGAACGTCGAGAGAGCGCCCACTTTCTTCTCTTTTCCTTCTCTCTCCATAGACTCTGGCGATTCTTTAGCGCAGGCTCTATACAACGCTCACTTTCCATTCAAATTTACCCCATTGCACTCTTTCTCTCTCCCTTTTTAACCGGGTGAAATAATTGTGGTACAATGGGACGCATGTTTGACTTCAGCCCGCATTACCTATTTTTGGATGGCGCTGTGACATAGCGGGTGAACCTTGCCCTTTATTCTGTTCGCTCGGGACATTAATCTCGGATGTATCAATATGAGCAATCTTCTGGTATCCAGCTATTCTTCCATTTGTCATCAGACGAGGAATTAACGCAAAGCGCGTCAAGAAACATAGTTCGCCCTTGTTAGATGAAAACCCAAGCAGCCCACTGAATCCTGCGATACAAGACTTACTAGAATGTCAAATCATCAGCCAAAAGATCAGCACGATGTTCGGCCTGGGCTTGAGCCCGTAGCTCCCGAACGTCCTGATTGCCAATCCGAATAAGCAGCTCGACCACATCACGATGACCATCCGAGGCACTAGTACGCTCGTAGACAGATGACAATGCTTCTGCGTAGAGTTCTGGGTGCCCTACCCTGTACCCCAGTGCATCCTCTTCGATCATCTCGAGCACAGTCTTGTTTGTGTCTCCAATTATTCCATCACGTACATTGCCACCCATATGGTAGCGTGCCCACACAGCATTGCCTAATCTACGTTCCCGTATAGCGTTCACGTAATTGTTCGCCCAGGGCTCAATGATCGGCCATCCTCGGGTATCCTTTTGGACCACGTCTTGCACAGCGAAGTCCAGGAAAAGCTGTTCTGGCAGCTCGGTTTCACTCTTGTTCATGGTCCTCTGTAGAACGGATATATTTAGAGCTAGTGTTTGTATGCAATCAACGGTGGCTTAAATACCTGCGTATGGCCATTCCTCGCTAAGCCAAGGCTGCATGTGTGAGGGTGCAGAGCCAAGTGGGTTTGTGATTTAGGATAGAGAAAGTAGAAATGGTCGGTACTTAGGACTATTATTTTGTTTTGATCCGAGTCTAAGGCAACATTAGGCAGCAACCCAAGTCTGAGGCAACGTCAAGAAGCCATTAATAAGCGGGCCAAAAATAGAGACCACGTGACGCCAGCGCTCTGTGGCCGTGCGGGATATGCACTAACTAGAATAAGCCCTTACTAAGATACAAAGATTAATATACTTATAAGGCCGCCGACTTCTGAACCTATCTCTCAGATTTTGTATGCAAAAATCACCGAGTTCAGCGGCCTGTCACTCTGAGGTTTAAGAGGCGTGGTCCTTCTTGCAGATCGGGCAGCGGGGGGCTTTCCTTTGCTCCTTTTTGGGTATTGCTTGGTCGCGTGGTGACTTGAGCAGTATCCGTATAGTTGATCGTGGTGCATTGAGTTCCGTGGCCGAATTTTTGACAGTTATAGCACTGTATGATGCGTCTGGCGCGGTGATATAGCTTGGTCTTGTGGGACATTACCTGCCAGATCACTTCTTAGTAGATGGCTGCGTTAATGATGGTCGTGATGATATCAAAGTCCATTGCCTTCACGTTGACGCCGTGCATCACGGCCTGAGGCGCTCGCTAAGCTCCTCCTTATCGGCCAGCTTGATAACGACGCGCTATCGAGCTCTGTCACGTGTGCAGCTGGGCTTGGCGACAAATTCGAAAAATTTGTGACCGAGGGAGGGGAGCGACTTGAACCCATGAATGGACGCCACCGCCGCCTCCAGGGGTTTGATGAGCCGATTCTGTGTTCCTGAGGCCGAGGCCTCTGTCTGGATCGTGATTTTAGTGAGTTCTTTGTGGACCTTGCTGAGGGTAGTATCAGGGGGCTACTAGGGCATATTTTCAGAGGTCCATTGCCATACAGACATGTTTGCAATTTGCAAACCGTATCATGTGGCCAATACGACCGGCTACTTTGGTATTAATCTCAGTATCGGTGGAGCCAGAAGGTTTATCAGGAATCGGTTCGGTATGGTAATTACGGCTAACTAACAACGCTAGGTAATCTTCCGTACGCGAAGTCCGGGCATACCATATACGGCTAATACGCTCGGTGTTAGGTACTGGACCTAGGTACACGGAGTACGGAGTAATGAGAGTGGATCAAGGGGGGTGCCTGGTCCGCCTCGGACATTTCAGTTTCGTTCGCACTTCGCAGACTCGCAGTAGCGCAGTCCCGAGTACGGAGGACTTCGCAGGCGAGTGGAGCCTGATGATTTTTATCAAATGCGGATCTCTCCGAAGTGGCTTTTTTTACCCATCTGATAACTTTTACGTAACGATACCGTCTTCGTCGGCAGGCCTCTGTCCGGCATCACCTGGGCTGGATGGAGTACTCCGTAGCTGTGTTCTCTAGGGTTAGCTGGAGTACCTGGCGGGGCCGGTAAGATCTTTCCTTTAGTCTTCTGCTCATTAGTGACTTGGCCGATTCTTCTCCTTGAGCACAATTTCATGAACAAGTATCCTAGACCTCCTCCAAGTGGAAGAGAGCAAGCAAGCAACCAGCCATGAAGCTTGCCCGGAAATTGTCGGGCTATCCGAGCTTGCTGCTCGCCGGTAGTCCTTCCAAGCTTGACCTGGGCCGCTTGTTACTGGGGATAGTCTCTTCCATCGCTTCGGGCGTCCCGTTTCCTCTGATCGGAATTCTGTTTGGTCAGCTCCTCGACGACTTTAACGGTGTGACTTGCGGTGAATCCGACGGTTCAAACTCGGATGCTCAGTACCAGTCCGACATCAACAGCAAAATCCTGGTGATTGTGTACCTGGCCATTGCCCAGGTGGTGACAATCTACTGCCATCTCACCTGCTGGAGCTTGAACGGCGCTCGATTAGCACAGCGACTACGGGAAACCTATCTGCAGAACCTACTCCGGCAGGAACCATCCTACTTTGACGACCTGCCTCCGGGCGAGATCGCCTCTCGGTTGAATGGCGATATTCAAGCCATCCGCTCCGGAACCTCGGAGAAAGTTGGTATCTGTCTTTCCAGTCTGTCCTTCTTCGTCACCGCATACATCGTCGCATTCATCAAGGACTACCGACTGGCTGCCATGCTCATCTCCCTGATCCCGGCGTACTTCCTCATGTCCTTTGTGGGGAGCCACTATATCGAGAAATATTCTGGCCGCATGTCGGATCATGCGGCATCAGCAGCATCTATCGCGTCCGAGGCGTTATCCAACACGGTTGTGGTGCAGGCGTTCGGTGCCAACGGTCGGCTGGAGGACAAATTTTCCACGGCCCTCAAGGCGGCCGAAACAGAGGGCTTGAAGAAGTCCACGGCAGTTGGCATCCAGTCCGGATTCCTATACTTCATCGCGTATGGAGCTAATGGTCTTGCATTTTGGCAAGGGAGCCGGCGCGTGGCGGAAGCAGTTGGACATAGCTCCCAAGGCGCCACAGTGGGAGCGATTTTCACCGTCATTTTCATCCTTGTGGAAGGTCAGTTGGTTTCCAGCAGCGCAGCTCTGCGTACCTGTCATTAACACCGTTCCAGCAACTCTCTTGCTCAGTCAGGTGGCCCCCTTTCTACATCTTTTCACCGCGGCGGTCGCCTCCTTCCGAAAGCTGCGCGAGGACATCGATCGCGAACCTCAGATCGACGGCACGACGGACTCTGGCCGTCGCCTGTCGCAGGCTGAGGGTGGCTTCGAGTTCCAGAACGTGTCCTTTACCTACCCCTCCCGTCCCGAAATCACAGTACTCGACCAAGTCAGTCTCTCTATCCCGGCCAACCAACATACGGCCATTGTCGGTCTATCGGGCAGCGGCAAGTCGACCATCGCGGGCCTGGTCACTCGGTTATACGATCCCACCCAAGGACAGATTCTCTTCGATGGCCACGACCTGCGGGAGATCAACACTCGAGACCTGCGAAGCTTCCTCAGTTTGGTGCAGCAAGAACCGTCACTCCTCGATCGATCTCTCTTGGAGAATATTGCCCATGGCTTGATGAATTCCAGCAACCCGGACCACGCTCATTTGAAGAGCACCCTGGTCGGTTCCGACCTGTCCGATTTGGCGCAGGAAGTCCGTGACGGCCAGGATATGTTGGCTGCAGCAGAGAAACGCGGCGCGCATGTGGTCGAGATCGTGACATTGGCCCGGAAGGCGGCTGAGCTCGCCGATGCTGACGCCTTCATCAGCGCTTTGCAATATGGATACGGTACCATGGTGGGCTCGAGTGGGCGCCTGATCAGCGGCGGCCAGAAGCAACGGGTCGCTCTGGCCCGGGCTTTGGTGAAGGATCCCCAAGTGCTCATTCTGGACGAAGCCACCGCTTCGCTTGATTCTCGCAGCGAACAGCGGATCCAGCGAGCCATCTCCAATATCGCCAGTGGCCGCACGATGATCACGATCGCCCACCGGCTGTCAACCATCACAAACGCCGACAACATCATCGTCATGCACAAAGGACACATTGTGGAGCAGGGAGATCACGCAACGCTGATGGCTCGGAATGGTTCGTACGCCGATCTAGTTAACCTACAAACACTAGGATCTGCGCCGGCAAAGAATGAGACCACGGTCAGCATCGAGAGCATCAGCAAGTCGGATCAGCACTCTTTGACAGATACCGAAAACGAAAAGACGCCTGTGTCCGCTGAGGAAACCGCCTTGACGGTCGGTGATATCCCCAGCGCCGAATCGGCAGAAGAGCCGGACGAGCCTCCGACGCCGTCCAAATCGTTGTGGGCTTTAGTGCGAGGATACGCGCCCGCCCTGCGACCACACCTTTTGACCATCTTCCTGGCGCTGCTCGGCGCCAGCGTGGTGGGTGGCGCCTTCTCGGGCGAGGCCGTGATCTTCGGTAACACCGTCGGCAGTCTGAATCCCTGCCACACTGCTGACAGCATCCGATCGCGTGGTAACTTCTTCGGACTGATGTTCTTTGTCCTGGCTATCATCGAGTTCTTCGCGAACCTGGTCAGCTGGGCCGGCTTTGGCTGGGTGTCGGAAAAGATCGTGTACACCGTGCGCGTCTTGTCCTTCCGCTCGCTGTTCGAGCAAGATCTCCAGTGGCATCAGTCAGAGGGCCGTAGCCCTGCGTTGCTCCTGTCCTACATCACCCGTGATGGCAACGCATTGGCTGGTCTGAGCGGGTCTGTCATCGGCACCTTGTTTTCGATCTCCGTCAACCTCGTCGCCGCTATCATCCTCACCCATATCATTGCCTGGAGGATTGCGCTGGTCTGTCTAGCATTGGTCCCCCTTCTCCTTGGGGCGGGCCTGATGGAACTCCACGTGCTAGGCCGATTCGAAGAACGGCACGAAAACGCGTATACCAAGTCCGTGGACATCGGCGTCGAGGCGATCACGTCGATCAAAACAATCGCATCCCTATCCCTGGAGGACGCAACGCTCAAGACCTATCGGCGATCGTTGAAGGGGCCACGGAAGGAGACGCTCAACGTGACCCTCCAAGCCAGCTTCTGGCAAGCGATGACCTACTTCTTGGGCAATCTGGTGAACGCATTGGCCTACTGGTGGGGCGCCAAGCAGATCATCGCTGGCAACTATTCCCAAACACAATTCCTCATTGTCGTGTTTTCCCTGCTGGTGAGCGCCCTTCTGTGGAGTCAGATGTTTGCTCTGGCGCCGGAGCTGTCCAGCGCCCGGGCAGCGATGGCGCGGATCTTAGGCCTCATCGAGATCGGGTCGGACAAGATGCAAGGACGTGTACCGAGTCCTTGCCTCGTCGGTGACCCGGAGGCAACCATCGAGACAAAGCTGCCAGACGGATCGAGTCAACCGGCCTCGAGCGTTCAACTCCGCGACGTGCACTTCTCCTACCCGGCCCGACCGGACATTCAGGTGCTCAACGGCCTGACTGTCGACATTCGGCCGGGAAAATTCTGCGCCCTGGTCGGACCCAGCGGTGCCGGTAAATCAACCATCATCTCGCTGGTCGAGCGATTGTACACGCCGCAGTCCGGCGCGATCGTGGTGGACGGCGTCGACGTGACCAAACATCGCGGCGTCGCTTTCCGCGACACGATCGCCCTTGTGCCCCAGGAGAGCGTCCTCTTCGAGGGCAGTGTCGCATTCAATATCGGTCTGGGCGCTCGGCCGGGCCACGAAGCGACCGCGGAGGAAATCGAAGAAGCGTGCCGGCTGGCGAATATCCACGAGGTGATTCAAGCGCTGCCCGAGGGATACCAGACGCTCTGCGGGCCCAACGGCAGCCAGTTCTCGGGCGGCCAGAAGCAACGACTGTCGATCGCTCGGGCGCTGGTCCGGAAGCCGAAGTTGCTCATTCTGGACGAATCCACCAGTGCTCTGGACGCGGAATCGGAGAAGCTCCTGCAAGACGGACTGGAAAAGGCGGCGCGCGGCATCACGGTCATCGCTATCGCCCATCGCCTCCATACGATCCGCAAGGCGGACGTCATCTTCTTGATCGATGAGGGGCGATGCGTGGATCACGGATCGCACGAGGAATTGCTGCAGAGGTCGGACAGCTACCGGGCCAATGTCATGCATCAAACCGTGGCAACGTAAGAGAAGACTGACCGAGAGAGGGAATCTTTTTCACTTGTCAATATTGCAATAGAATTTAGTGTTTGTTTTGTAGTACATGGAAACCTCACTTTGGCCTGGCCTTTGAATGAAATCCCTAGGTATTGAATGCGATGTCCCGCGCTTGTAGAGTTAAAGTCATTCTCTGCTATCTGAACGGCTCTACATACATGGCCCTCTGCCGTATTACACGTACCATTCACACAGGAGACCGCGATTTGGCCCAGCAAGTGGCTGATGTGAAGATCAACTCCTCCAGTTTCTGCCGGCTAGGGGTGATGTCGGTGGAATTCGGTTCATGTTGTCAATAGACATTGGTAGCGTGTGTGATTGGCATGTATATGAATGCATCGAACTTGCCTCAAGGTCACCACCTCTGAAATATAAAAGTAACCGCACTAACCTTTCCCGCAGACTCCGCGCCACTCGCAGCTTGTCATTATGACTCATTTTGACCGGCCGGTCTTGGCACGTATCGTCACCCCAATGGGAAGGCGGAATGGAGAAGAGGGCAGGACTTCCGCTGTATAAACTTACGCGCATAGCCTGGGGGATTAGGTATATCTTTATTCTTCTTTGTCCAATTCATCCACCGTGGCTTTTGTCAGGACTTTGCTACCTTTAAGTGTCGACTTCACGGATGCCACCGCTAGAACACACAGTATCCACCATACCACAATGGACGCTCCTCTCTATACATGCCCAGTAGGCCTGCACGAGATACCCGCCAATGAACTTGATCTACGCCCCGATTTTGAGGTGGACCATGATCTCCTGTTTCCCCGGGCAATTACCGACGAGAAGAATATCTGGTTTTTCTGGCACTCGGGATACCAAAGCATGCACCCCTACGCGAAACGCAACGTCCGCGGTTGGCATCGTCGTTTCTCGCGCAAAGGCTGGACAATTCGCGTCGTTGACCGTCTGCTCGACTCCCCCTCGAATGTGTCCAAATTCTTGGATACGAATGACCTTGCCAATTTCCCCCAGGCATACGTCGAGAACTGTCTCTCGGGCGAATACGCGCTGCAGCACACATCCGACCTCGTACGGTTCCCACTCCTCCTCAAATATGGCGGTGTCTATGCCGACGTGGGCATGATTCAGATCGGAGACTTGGACCGCATGTGGACCGAAACCGTGGCCAACCCGGCATCCCCAGTCGAGGTTCTCTCGTATAACTGCGCCGGCGTCCAGCCGTTGAGTCTGGCCAATTACTTTCTAATGTCCCGCCCTAGCAACCCATTCTTTGACCGGTGCCACAGACTCTTGTTGAAGCTATGGGAAGGACGGACCAGTACCGAAGGAATGTCGAAGAGCCCGTTGCTCAAAGGTGTTCCGTTCATGAACCCTTCGGCCAGTTTTGAGGAGGATGGCAAGACTTTCAGTCCCGAAGAAGTCAGCATACTGTTGACGGACTACATCATTCAAGGTCAAGTTATGTCATTGGTTATGGGTCTTGTAGATGAGGAAGAGAAATGGAACGGTCCCGAATATGTAGCCAGACACATCTTCGGCATCGACTACATGGTCGGATCGCAGCTTATCAACGATCTGACGGCCTGGAACGGGGCCAAGGCGTTCGAGTTAATGTCGCTTCCCATGCCACAAAAAGGAGAGAACGAATCGGAGGACCAAAGGCTCGCGAGAGAGATCGTGGAGGCATGTCTGTCAGCGAGCTTTGGATTTAAATTGGCTCATGGTTTCATCTTGAAAGTGTTTGGACACACTCTTGGGTCTCTTTGGAGACAGCATGATGGGTCGGATAATATACCCAACACTTACGCCCACTGGCTGCGATACGGCGTGGTGCACTGGAATCAGAACGAGCTCCCACCGGCGAAGGAGTTCATGGTTCTGGAACCATACAAAAAAGGTCCTCTACTAAGGGTTGAGTGACGATGGAGGCTTGAGACAATAAAGATATAACAAGTAGTTCGCGGAGTGGAATAAAACTATCAGATTTATTTCCAGAATGGGATTGGCATTGAAGAATTGAGGAATATATGGCAGCTAGCTACCTAGCAGAAAGCTACTTACTCTCATGATTACATGACACCGGAAAGCAATTTCACGCCTGCTCTGCCGTGTCCAGGTACCCCATAACCTTCTCCACCAGAAATCTCCGAGGCTCAGCTTGATCATCGTTGCTCAAAGCGTGAGAGGCATTGGGCACCACTGCAGTATGCTCATCATCCCAGATCTGACCTTCACCATCGGGGTCCGTGGCGCTCTTCCACCGCTGTAGCAAGGCCTCCTTGTCCACCCACCCGGGTACGGACTGATCGGCTCCCGAGAACAATACCATCAACTTGTGTCTCAAAAGCCCCCGTGGCTTGATCATTCCGAAGGTCTTCCGTAGTTGCTCCTCCCCGAGGTCCGAACTGAACAGATCGTCTTCTCCTGGAGTCTGGGGACTTTCCGGACTGACGAGACTGAGGAATCGTCGACAGGTGATGGGCGTGTGACCTGGGTAACAGATCCCCGATGTCACGGAGAGTGGGAGCAACGTATCGCAGGACTCATTCTGGCCGACGGTCTCCTTCGCCATGGCTACTGCTTTCTCATAGATCGGTCGGATCTCACCGGGGGTTTTGTCCCCAAATCCGTGCGCCAAAACCAACTGGATGGCCTGCCGGTCGGACACGGGCGCTTGCATGATTGCTCCGTCAAGAGGCAGACGCTTGACGTGTTGGAGATCCGGGTCAAAGGGTGCAGTAGTGGTGTGAGGATTGGGCCGAGACAAGTAGTGTAGGACGCATTGACTTCCGGTGGAGTGGCCCATGAGCACGATCTTGCCGTCGCCGAACTTGGAGGTCTTGTAGTCTTTGATGTACTGGAGGCATTGGGCGATCTCGTTCGTGTCTCGGTCCAGATGCCCCAGACCCCATGACTGATAGGAGGAGGTGAGGTTCAGGGTGAAGAGTGACCAGTCCGTGGGTTGTAAGGCGTGGACCAGGTCTGCCATGTAAGAGGTCGTTGCCAGACCATCACCCAGACCGCCAACGAAGATCAAACTATGTGGTTTCCGAACGGCGCCGGTGGTATATTCAAACGTGACGAGGCTTTCGGTCTACATTGCACACCCATCGAGAGATCATGTTAGATAAGCGAACTCGGATGTGGGAGGTAGAGGAACAACAGGGCGTACGTAATGATGGAGGATGCCAGGGAGGCCTCCCTTAGGCCAGAACTTGGAGCACATTTTTGCAGTGCAGGGAATAGGGCGAAAGTGTTATTCTGTACAGTCACAGCGAGCGTGGGATGAAAGACTCTCGTTCATGAATCAGACAAGGCGGCATAGGGGAGGGAATGTTGGGTAGTTTGGGCCCATCTGATAAGTTTCCGAGATCGGCACTCCGTTCCCTGCATGACGGGGTGGATATGTGGGCTTCCAGGAGTATACGGAGTAGCAGACAAGAAAAACCAGAAAGAGAGAAAATTGATTCCCACGATGAAGCAGGAAAAAGGAAAATCCTTCCCGAGGGATGACACAAGACCGAATAAAACCCACCTCCTTACGGTATATGTACGGTGTATGTACGTACTGTACTATGTATGTACTCACTAGGGTGTAGGTACTGTAGGTAGGTAATGTGGATAGAACAGGAATCCACTCTCTGAACACAGAATGGTACATACCGTCTTGACTAGTATCTACTAGTATTTCCAGTCCTCTACTCTATGTTTTATTATATCCTGGCACTTATCCGTGCCATTACCTAACGGGATTGAATCCCACGAATGATTGCTTGATTTCGTGAACGCATGAAATATTGACGCGGGAGGAAGGATGGATGGTTTGGCAATACCGGTTTTGTTGTCAAGTTCGGTATCCACTTGGGGCAGGAGGGTCAAAGGTCCAACGGTTGATGTGAATTTCTGGAACCTCCGACACCCACGCAGTTCACAGGCACGACATATGAGTCTAGTGTGTGGGGGGGCAAAAGAAAAGAAACAAAAGAAAGAAAACCCCGAAAGTACTCCGTAGTCCGTACAGGCTCGCTTCGAGGGCTAGATCTGATTAGATTTTGTGGCTGGAAGCCGGAGGATCTGATTAGATTGCCTCTCGGTTACAGGACCCTCTTCGGGTTAGACGACCGTGGAAATTGTCAGCCACTCGTAACAATCAATCCAGAGGGGGTGATGCCGGTTTCTCTACCTCGGTCAACTGTCCCTAGATGACTCATTTCAAATGGTTGTGTGTTGGGGATACCCTTAGAGACGGCTATGCTCCGGAGTATTTGACCAGATGTATATCTCTGGTAGACTTCGCGTTTCGCGTTTCCGCCGCGATGCCAAAGCAAACGATGTCTGAACATCCAAACCATTGCAAAACGAGCTCGGAGTATCTTGAACTAGATAAGATTCAGTAAGCTGCTACCATTGTCTACGCAAGATTGTGGAGGCTTGGAGAAGACGAGTACTCGGTACAACTATCACTTCTTAGTGGAAGCCTTGAAAGATACGCCTAGGCATCGATTGAGTAGAGTGGAAAGCTAAGCCTGCACAGTGCCCACTACACAGCCAAGACCCATGATCTTGTCGGTAAGAGCTTCGCCAAATCAAGCCTCGGGCTGATAATACCCAGTCGATGGGCGTCGATTCTGCGTAAGTAATAAATAAATTACAGGACACTGAAAATTACAGCGGCTGGAACCGCCTGCCTTAGGTATGTCCCTATTCCCTACTCCCTAATTACTGTACGAGATAAACGTCAAGAGCGGAAGGAAAAAGTAAAAATCACAGCTCCGGCTTCCTATGAAACTCGAAGAGGGTGGGGTCTAGTCAGTCTTTGAGCACTCTGGGTACAGTAAAATGCCATCAACTGTCAGAAGTTTTTATCGTTTTACCATGCGTAGAGAAAAAGACTCCTTTCCCCTGTTTCTCACGACTGTGGAAGGGGTTTTCTCCTGGCTCCGTGCATGTGTCGAACGACCGATTATTTTACCTGACTCGGTAATCAAGCCCGACCAATATCTCTTCAGAACCCACTGGCAAATGGATTAGCTCCGTACCGCCATCGCGGTCTGCGGAGTCCGTACGGAGTAGTACTCAGTCTACGGACCACAGAAACTTCCGATTTTCGTAGTGACGAAGAATTTCGGACGGAGTCTCAGGTCGCAGACCCACACCCGCCTTGCCAGGCTACCGTGAACCGTCCATTACCTGCTCCGTACGGAGTAACTACTGCTCGGATCAGATAAGTTTGTTCTTCCTCAGTCTCAGGAACCAGGAGGGTACTGAACCCAGACAGATTTCAGTTTGATACTGGGCAAGCATGCAAATCGTGTAGATCTGATGTATGAGCGTTGGAAACTCGGGGCTTCTTCGAGCAGAACCGTTCCAGCTGTTTACTCTTCCTGCCGCGAGAAATTGTTCATGGTCTCTTCAACGGTGATGCTGATAGGCCTGCTGAGGTAATTCCTCGCTTATCTGTAGCCGAATAATTAAAGATAATGTCTTACCTTTCGGTGAGTCTGGCCATGGAAAGCTCTCTGCCGCGAGTGATCAGATTAGATTGATAGAGCGTTCTGGCTCTTAGTTTTGACTGACGGCGTCTGACCCACCTCGCAGAATACGCGGTAAATTACAAATTCGATCCTGTTAGCTCCGAAGGAGTTGCCTGCCTAAATCGGTAAGGATATTCACGCGGGCCTCGGATTTCTCCATCTCAATTTTGTACAAAGTTTGCCTTGATTCTCAAACTATCAATCCGAACTTTGTGCTGAATCGAGTTTCAATGCTACGGGCAATTCCAAACATCACATAATGAAAATGAATTCCGTGGAACGACAGTATCCGCCATTCTCTAATTAGTCCCTAGACCGGTACTCAGATGCTCCGTATGACCCTAAAGCTTCGCGTCCCACGCCGTCCGATCCGAGCTCTCCAAAGGCCTCTCGCGCCCGTCCCAGAAGAGCGGACACAGCTGGAACCATTTCTCCCGACTGCAGTAAACATGAACCGACCGCTTGTGGCCCAGGTCGACGTATTTTTGGATCGTGAGTCCGTGGGCATTCTCGTAGGAGAGGACAGTAGAGTTAGTCGCTTTGGGCTCTCCTACGACGCATGTCGTGCGTGGCTCGTCAAGGAAAATATAATGGATCACGCTGGCCCACCAGGCGTTTACCCGGTATGCTCCCCGAACGCTGTGCTCTCCCACCAGAGAATGTCGGCCTCGATCGTAGTCGCCCGCGTCATAATGCGCTCCGTAGTGGTCCTCCTAAAAGTAAATTCCGGCGTTAGATTGAGTCAAAGTCCGCTAGATCGGTCATTTGAAGTACGGAGCTTACCTTTGCCCAGTACACTTCGAAATACGAGAATGGCGCGTCATCGAACCGTCCGAACAGACACAGAACATGCTTGTCTTCGTGAAGCCGCCGCAGGTACTCGCGGTGTTCATCCAGGGTGCCCGTCTCGTTCCAGCCCTTAGCCACTCGCGGATCATTTTGCCATTTGTTGAACAGTCGCAGGTGCTCCTCATTCTGCCAATCCACCACCATCAGTGAGAAATGTTGGTCGATATGCGGGATATAGCGACTGTAGACCAAGGACGCAGGGGTGGGTTTCTGGGGGCGAACGGGATGCCGAGCATAGACGCGCTCGTCAGGAAACTTCATGGAAAACTCATAATTCTGGGCCAGTGAGGGGTACTGGTTGACCGAACGGCGCATCAGGCCGTGGATGCCCTGATCAACGGCCCAGATCGGCCGCGGACCCAGCGGCGAACCGGCTCCCTGCCAGAACGCCGACCGCAAGAGAATCATTGTATCTAACCCTGATTCACTGTTCTCTGTGCCGAAGGGAGTGCGCGGCGCAGGAAATGGGAGGGCCAGCCCGGTACGAAGGCATTCTTCGCGCACCACCTCCTTCCCGTGACCAAACAAGTCTAGACGCACGATCTCATTCTGCGGATGAGTGAGAAAAATAGCGTGGATGGCGTTCCAGAACTGTCCCAACGTGGGTGGCATTGGATCCGTCCATCTGAAGGAAGTCCCTGGCGCCCTCTGACTGCGAGCCCAGGGGCTGTTATCTGCGGCGGGGATGTTCTGGGCGAATTCGTTATAGGAAAGGTCTGTGAAGGTCAAGGTAGTGTTATGTAGTGGCTCTGGCAGGGCCTGTCCAGCCTGAGAGTTATGTAACTGAAGTTGAAGCACGCGCGGTGTGGATTCGGAAACGACGTGAATCTTGTAGGTAGTGAGGTAGGGATGGGGAAGCTTCACCCACGGATAGGACGCTTTTTCATTCATCGTAGGCTCTATCACTGTCCGGGCGAGGCTGAGCTGTGTATGAAATTGGAAGTGACTTTGGGTTTGCATTGAAAAAGAAGCTTCAATGGAAAATGGAAGCGTACGGTGCCAGCTAAATAGCTGACGCGCTTGACCTAGAATATAAGTATCAGCCAGGACCGAGGCATAAAGCCCGAAGAGTGGAGCATGGTTAGATCCGTCTAGAATGACTCGGGGCATAATGGGACTCCGAGCCATGAACTGACACCAGGATAAATACAGGTGAGGCCGGGATTGCGATCTTTTACTTAAGACGCCGTAGGGCTGCCCTTCCGTCCCCGCCGGTGCCTCAACTTACATGCCCCTCCAATCTCACCACATCATGGCCGTAACAATTTATGAGCATCCTCCAGTTCAAGGATGTCTTGTCTCTTTTCCAGCACCTCGAACTCTTCTTCTAACACTGAATCGACCCAAGCAGCGCAATTGCATCTCGCTCGCTACGAGTACTGACATACAACGGTTGTGGGAATGGTTCGATACAAACCCTGGTTTACGAGTTGCCATTATTACGGGCACAGGCGAATCCTTCTGCTCCGGAGCGGATTTAAAAGGTATGACACATACGCCTCAATCTCAGGCCCCGTATCATCTTGTCTCAATAACGTGACAGAATGGAACGATCTAAACGAGCGTGGCATAACGAATGAGATGACGGCGCCGGGACTGGCCGGACTTCCTCGACGAAGAGGGGGTAAGCCAATTATTGCCGCCGTCAACGGATTTTGCCTCGGAGGCGGGTTTGAGATGGTGGTCAATTGCGATCTCGTCGTGGCAAGTGAGCGGGCGAGCTTCGGTCTGCCTGAAGTGCAGCGCGGAATTGCCGCCGTCGCGGGCTCGTTGCCTCGGTTGGTTCGAGCGGTTGGAAAGCAGCACGCCGCGGAGATGGCTTTGAGTGGACTCACTTTCTCTGCCTCTCAACTGGAACGCTGGGGCTTGGTGAGTCGCGTGGTGGCAAACGCTCAGCTGCTGGAGACGGCGGTGGAGATGGCAAGTTCCATCGCCAACAACAGCCCGGACAGCATCCGAGTCACAATGGAAGGGCTTCACTACGGATGGGAGATCGCCAGCGTCGAGGAAGCCAGTACCAAGCTGGTAGATCGGTGGTATCCCAAGCTCATTGCCGGAGAAAACTTTCACGAGGGTGTCCGGGCATTTGTGGAGAAAAGGAAGCCACAGTGGAGGCCATGTAAATTGTGATCTGGCAGGAATAATATCATTCAATGAACAAATTCTATAGCCGCAAATAACTACTTTTCAAATACCGCTAGAAAATGAATCCTTGAGAACGTACGAAAGTGTGATTATTATTTTACCCGGATGCTACCATTGTGCTTGAATAGAACCGACTCCCGGACATCAAACAAATATGGACTGCTGCAGATAGCCCCTGACTGTCGCCAGAAACTCAAGAGCTTAACTTACGCGTTTCCTGGCTCGTGGAGCCTCATACCACTGGAGCTCTCATCGTCTTTCTCCCGAAGTACCCGAAACTGGTCCCTCGAGGCGTGAATCCTAGGGTAACGAAGGGGTGCAATTTGACGAATGGGGTAGGTCCTCACTGGTATCTGAACCGTCTTTCCCGATCACAAACAGATGCGTCCGATGAGTTCCGGTCGCAGGTGCATTCATAATGGTCTCCTAGACATAGGAATTCAAAGTGCCTTTTGAGAGAAGATTATTATCGGTGGCTATCCAAGTAGATTTCCGCGGGCTCGTGTCAAGATTGGTATCCTTATACGAAGTATTAACAGCCCACCATGGGTATTGTTATGTGTGGGTCGAATTCAGCAGCTGGTCTTTTGCAAAAACGCGCCAGCTCCTTGACACAAAGTTACCAGACACTTTCGAGCCTAGCTACCTACTACCTCTCCACGGCTACGTTGCGTACACGATCCACCCACGTGCATACAGCGTGCATATGATGTTGGACCAAATTTGTAGGACGGGGTGTGCGTGGTGGTGTATATGCAATTTCCTATTCCAGAAAATCGTAAAAGTTGTCATTTCGGGATAAGTCGGAACAGTCGGAGTCGCGCTAGTCTCCGGAGAGCCTAGTGGTATCACGACAATACCGCTTGTATGTATGATGTATTTATGGATGTATGTATTCTGTAAGAATCAGGTTCCACCGTGTCCAAATATGGATCGACTCCGTATACACCTCCAGCATGAATTTTCACGTCTCCTTGTGAAACTCGCGCATGCGTGTCCATAACTGCTTGTTTTCGGCAGAATGTGGGCACCGGCAACAGATGATGCCGGTGCTCGGCCTGCCCAGGTGCCTGTTCGGAATGATCTGATGTTGGATTGTCGTCCGATTCCACGCACGATATAATTTGTAACGCAGACTGATAATTAGCGGAAGCTTCTCTTAATATTCACTCTCTTCTGCAGTACTGCGCAAGTCCCTGGACTACCGACAGCATGGGCTCCATTCTTGATTATTCCTCCGGGCACAGCCAGCGCCAGGATGGGCCATTCCAGGAACCGTTCATGTCATTCAAACTCGTTGGCCTGGCGTCGGGACAGCCAACGGGCATGAGAGATGAAGTCCTGCTTCTCTCGTGGCTCAGCGTTCTCCTAAGGACCCGAGAAGACCGCCAATTCTTGTTTGATTGGGCGCACCAGAGTTGGCAGGATGACGTCGCCAATGAGTTTGAAACGCGCTCTCTGTCAGTGAATGAAGTGGTGATGGATTTGCGTAACCCGGTGGACCAGACCGCTGGAGACCTTCTTCCTCGCATCGCAGCCACCGTGCCCAGTCCAAGCACGGCTGCGACCAACTCTATCTCTCTTCTCTTCAGTACGGGCTCTTTGTCACGACAATCCGCGGATGCCAGAGATGAGGTGAGCATGGAATCCCATCGATGTTAACGCTTCAGTGGCTAACCACGGTACATTAAGGCCATCCTTCACCTCGAAACCCGCTTCCTTGACGACCGACTCGAGATCCGTCCGACATGGTGGACTGAGAATATGCTGCCGTATACAATCAGACGATACATCGAGAACCTCGTTGAGACCGTCCGAATATGTCTCGCGCACCCGAGCATACCCGTGGCGGATCTCACCCGGCCAACTGAAAGCGACATTGGCGAAATCTGGCGGTGGAATCATCAGCTACCCCCCGTTTACGACTTTTGCATGCACGACATGGTTTCCGAACGGGCTCGTGATCTTCCGGACAAAGTGGCGATCTCATCGTGGGATGGCAACCTGACGTACGGCCAGATCGACCGGTACTCCACGCTTGTGGCTAGCTCCCTGCGGCAAATGGGGGTTAAACTACATGACGTTTTGCCCATATGCTTCGAGAAATCCAGATGGACGATCGTCGCCGTTCTGGCCGCCATGAAGTCGGGCGCTACTTTCGTGCTCATGGATCCAACGCTGCCTCTCGCACGCCTACAGAACGTGGCAACACAAGTAGGCGCCGAGGCGATGTTAACATCCCGCATGCAGCAGGAGCTGTCAACGGCCATCATCCCGAATGAAAGACAGATTGTCGTTGAGGCGGAGCTTTTTGCCAATATGCCTAATCTGCAGACCATTGCCCCCCTACCAGCCGTCCCGTCATCGGCCTTGATGTACATGATCTTCACCTCGGGTAGCACAGGTACCCCGAAAGGCGTCAAAATTTCACACGCAACTTATACTAGCAGCGCTATTCCTCGAGCGAAGGCGGTTGGATACACAGAGGAATCGAGGGTTCTTGACTTTGCCTCCTACGCGTTTGACGTCAGCATCGACAGTATGCTTTTAACCTTGGGGAACGGCGGTTGCCTCTGTATTCCGTCCGACGAGGACCGATTGAACGATATAAACGAGGTCATACGCAAGATGCGAGTCAACTACGCAGGCCTGACTCCTTCAGTAGCTCGTATATTAGATCCGGATGTGATCGCGTCCCTCAGCGGGCTTGGCCTTGGAGGGGAGGCGGCTTCGGCGAGAGATGTCACAGTCTGGGGCCAGGATACACGCATCATCATTGGGTACGGTCCGTGCGAATGTACAATAGGATGTACTGTGAACAGCAGCGCCGCCACAGGGAGAGACTATATCTCTATAGGCCCAGGAAACGGCGCAGCAATCTGGGTAGTCGATCCCAACGACCACGAACTACTCATGCCGGTAGGCGCCGTGGGCGAACTACTTGTCGAAGGTCCGATCGTGGGACAAGGTTATCTCAACGACCCTGATAAAACAGCGGCTGCTTTTATCGAAGATCCCTCATGGTTGCTCGCCGGTCATAAGGATTATCAAGGTCGTCGCGGGCGACTCTACAAGACGGGGGACCTGGGCAAATACGACCCGGACGGTTCGGGAGGGATTGTTTTTGCTGGAAGGAAAGACACGCAGGTTAAACTACGTGGACAGCGAGTCGAGCTGGGCGAAATTGAAAGCCAGCTCAGGGCCATCCTGCCATCGGATACCAGCGTCATCGCGGAGGTGATTGTGCCCCAGGGATCCGGCGGCCAACCGACATTGGTGGCATTTGTCGCGTCCCAGTCTCAAAAGGGACAGAAATGCGCGGAGATCCAATCAGTACAGCTATCGGATGAGCTGCGCCATTCGCTGCCAAATGCCAATGCCCAGCTGGCAAAAGTGCTGCCGCGATACATGGTGCCAACCGCATACATTCCGGTCACTTACATCCCTGTTCTGATTTCGGGCAAGATCGATCGCAAGCGACTACGACAGTTTGGCACGTCAGTCGACTTGCGACAGTTGGAAGATGAAGGGTCGACTGCGAGCTCAAGTCGAGAGCTGAGTGAGCTCGAGCAGCGCCTGCGAGAGATTTGGGGTCAGGTTTTGAAGCTCGAGCCAGAGACCATCCGGCTGGAGGATAACTTCTTTGCGCTCGGTGGCGACTCTGTGGCTGCCATGAGACTTGTGTCTGCCTGTAGAGCGTCCGGCCTCGATCTTTCTGTCGTCGGCACCTTCAGCAACCCAACACTCTCGGGCATGGCCGGTGTAGTCCACATCCGCGACTCAGAGGCACAAACGGAGGCCCTGCCATTTTCCATGATCACGCAAGATAAGGACAGCGCGTGCCTAGAGGCAGCCCGGATTTGCGGGTCAAGCCCGGGGGACATCAAGGACATCTACCCTTGCACTCCTACACAGGAGTCTCTTTTCACGTTTTCACTGAAATCAAGCAAGGCGTACGTTGCCCAGAGAGTCGCCTGTATCCCGCCACATATCATTCTCGACGACTGGAAACGCGCATGGGAGGCGGTCGCCACCGCCAGTCCTATTCTACGTACTCGTCTAGTCCAGCTTCAGGATCCTGGCCTTCAGCAAGTGGTCTTGGAAGAGGAAATCATGTGGGGACATTCAACAGACCTCCTGCAATACCTCCAAAATGACCGAGATGAAAAGATGAACCTCGGGGAAAGGCTGGCTCGATATGCAATCATCGATCATTCAGATGAAGGAAAGCGATACATGGTTTGGACTGTGCATCATGTACTCTACGACGGCTGGTCAGAGCCCCAAATCCTCAACCAGGTCAGCCAGGCCCTGGAGGGGCATCCCATCCAGCTACATGCCCAGATGAGGGACTTTGTCAAGTACGTGAGAGAGACAGATGAGACCGCGACGAAGGAGTTCTGGAAACGAGAGTTGAACCAAGCCGTGGGACCCCAGTTCCCACGCCTGCCTTCCAGAGACTTTCTCCCCACGCCTGATGGCATGCTTGAGCATCAGATTCCCCTTGATATGGGTGCCAATTGGCCATTCACCGTGGCTACATTGATACGTGGGGCGTGGGCACTCCTGGCGTCCAAATATACCGGGAGCGATGACGTGGTGTTTGGCGAAACGCTGACGGGTCGTGATATTTCCTTGTCGGGAGTTGAAAGCATCATCGGTCCCCTAATCGCAACAGTGCCAGTTCGAATCCGCGTCCATCGGGAGATTTCCGTGGAATCATATCTGCAAGCAGTCCAACAAACTATGCTGACTCGCACGCCGTATCAGCACATGGGAATGCAATACATTCGCAAGGTCAGCCGAGATGCCCAATATGCGTGTGAGGCACCAACCGGTCTGGTAATTCAACCCGAGCCGGATTTGGCTGCTGGAGAATTGGGATTCAGTGCAGGGGATGTTGTTCGAGAAGCGCTTCATTTCAACCCATACCCTCTGATGCTTGCCTGTGGGATCCAGAAAGGAGGCTTTAGGATCTGTGCCAGCTTTGATAGCAGTCTGATCGAGATGGAACAAATGAGACGTGTTCTTCACCAGCTCGAAATGGTCTGTTTGCAGTTGACTAAAAGTCTTTCCAGGCCGGTTCAGGACATCCCCTGCCTGCCCGAGACTGAATTGAATCTGATTTGGGAACGAAACGAGTTTGGTCCACTGTCTCTCAACACATCTTCGGGACTACTCCAAGCTGACGCGGGCCTAACGCATGGATCGGATTACCCCCTTGCCGCAGTTCCGTGGGTCTGCGATCCACACAATGTATCTCTTCTGTCGCCCATCGGCTGCATTGGCGAGCTGTGGTTAGAGGGAAATTTCCTAACCGGCGAAACCGTTGACTCACCACCCTGGCTTGTTGCCGGAAGCTCGGCTGGCGTCGGCCGCACAGGGAAATTGCAGGCAACGGGTGACGTAGTGCAGCTACAGGGGGATGGCAAGATGGTGTTCCTTGGTCGAAAGGCCGACGTCCTGCCTGTGCAGGGGCACGCGGTGAACATTGCAGAGCTCGAAGCTCACGTCGCGAGACATCTGCCGCCGGCCGTTCAAGCCGCTGCCACGATGCTCGAGTCTTTTGCGGGCTCCCAGCATAGTCCAGCACCCGGGCTGGTTGTCTTCATTGGGTGTAGAATCCCCGCGGAAGAAAATGTGCAGCTTTTACCAACAGACCACGATATCATGGCTGATACCTCGGACCATAAATTGACCATTTGTGGCACAGTCCCTGTCAGCGTTGTGGTCGCACTCAGAAGACTGGACAGATTCATCCGGGACTCTCTTCCATCCTATATGATACCTTCGACGTACATTGTGGTTGATGAAATTCCAGCAACGACGGGCCTGGTTGATCGTGGTTTGATGTATCAGCTAGCCTCATGCATTCCTCGAAAGATACTCGCAGAGCTCGGTGCGGCATTCGAGAAAGCATGGACGCACAGCGCAACGCAAACCAATTTGTCACCAGCGGAGAATATCCTGCGTTCGTCATGGGCCAAGATCCTTGGGATTAGTGCGGAGAAGATTGACGTGGATGACAACTTTTTCCGGCTGGGCGGTGATTCTGTTCTGGCAATGAAATTAATATTCTCTCTCCGCACACAAGGGCACGGTTTGACCGTGGCTGATATTTTCCAACATATGCGTCTTGGAGACGCGGCCCAAGTATTGAAGATAGGCCAAGCGTCCACGGGCAGGGCCCGGTCATATCAACCGTTCTCGACGATTGGCCCGATTGAGGTTGGGAAATTCCTGTCTGATGTAGTCCAGCCGAAGCTTTCCAATTCATCATGGCTGGTTCAAGATGTATCTCCGGTTACCGATTCTCAAGCACTGGATGTGCGAGCAACCATACAACGACCACGAACTTCGATCCAATACAACATGTTGTACTTCAATCAGGGCGTTGACCGAGACCAACTATACCGTGCCTGCCAGAGGCTCGTTGATAGTCACGAGATTCTACGTACCGTTTTCGTTGAGCACAACTCGACGCTCTTCCAGGTGGTGGTGAAGACGCTCGATGTTCCGGTGACTACGCATCACATTGATGAGGGCCTTGAGCAATACGTTGCCGACCTTTGTACGGCCCACATCGAGTCGGACTTCAACTTGGGCTCTTCTTTCGTCGCAATGTTCCACGTTGAAGCCAGCGACGGCCGTAGTTGCCTCGTTATCGGTCTCTCGCACGCGCAGTACGATGGCATTTCCCTTCCGCGGCTGCTCCGGGACCTGGACACCTTGTACATGGGTCAGGAAATCGAGCAATCCGAGCCTTTCTCGTCGTATGTGGCCCGCGTCCGGGATGTCCACGACCACGCCGACGCTCTAAAATACTGGCACGGTCTTCTCGCCGGCTCAACACTGTCTGTGTTGGGCGGAAGCTTGGGACAGCCCACGGACAAAGCCATCTTCCATACTAAGCCCGTTGAAATTTCCCAAACCTTGAAAGAGATTACCACGGCAAACTTGCTGACTGCCGCATGGGCGTTGACGCTGGCTCGTCGGCTCCGCACGAGCGACGTGACTTTTGGCGGAGTGACGTCGGGGCGAAACGTCGACGTCGCCAATGTGGAGAGCGTGATGGGCCCGTGCTATCAGCTCACTCCCATCCGAGTTCCCTTCCAATCCCAATGGACGGCGATGGACCTCTTGCGCTTCGTCCAGAAGCAAAGCGGGCAGTCTGCGGCGCATGACTACCTCGGATTTCGAGCGATCTCCGAGGAGTGCACCCAGTGGCCGTCGGAGGTGTCGTCCTTCGACTCTCTTGTGCATCATCAGGACTTTGAGGACTTCGACACTATGCCATTCGCCGGGGGCACCTGCCGGGTTGACATCCTGAACCCTCACGGGGATGCCGCGTATCCCTTGAAGGTTGTTTCGTTTGTTCGAAGCGGAAAGATGCACGTCGGGCTGGTGGGAAGTGAGAGAGACACGGCGTTGGTGGATGCAGTTTTGGAGGAGTTAACTTCTACCGTTGAAGAACTGGCGACATATTCGTCGGAACCTCTGAATGTTCTGGGGTGAGGGGAGGTAGTTACAGTGGGTAGCCGGCAATGCTACGAGAAATGGTTAAGGAGCAACTGCTGTTGAAACACCCTGTTCAGGACTATTTCATCCTCTCTTGATTATTATTCCTGTAGTCTAGTGCACCGGCACAATCATTGAATATCCTTATTATATCACGTCCTGATCTTGGTTGCCTTGCTGCCTGCCAACACAGTACAACGGAGCGGTATCCCATACGCCAATAGATCAATGGCTATAGTGTCACGATGCACGGGTCTCCGCAGTTAATGGATTCCTCGGTAGTCTTGGGCTCCAAGAATAGCGCCGTACAGTCGGTCTGAACAGCATGCTCCCGACTATACGGTGTATAAGGATGTCGACGGCGGGCTGCATATTGCGAAAGTTCAGAAGGGTTAAGGCGAGCAAACATCTCCTTTCATGCAGCCTACCCTCCGTCTTCAGGCTACTGAGCATGCAGGTCTAAGATGTTCACATGCTTCTTACTGTATAAATAACTAGTGCCAGTCGGGTCTTCATCAAAAATTTCGCAAAGTTAAACACGGACAGTTGGGCTGCATGAATGGGCTCGTTCGCTCGCCTCGGCTTTTCGGAAATTTCGGAAACTTTGGTCAGAGAGTTCTGTATGAATGTCCGTCTCACAAAGTCCTGGCCAGAGAGCGTATGTACAAGAAACGGTGGCGCGCTCTCTGATCCTCACGGCGCAACCTCTTCCGGAGACAGGAGCGCAAAGCAGGACCAGCTTCATGAGACACAGCAGCGTCAATGTTCATATTGTCACAAAGAGTGAATCGATCCACCTTCTTTCTCTATTCCGTGATGGATCCTGGCTCTGTTCGAGGTCTGAACACACGAAAGAGCTCTGGAGCAGGACTTGGTGCCTACTGATGTGTCACAGAATCAAACCATCCTGCGCTGGGCCAGTTACTTGAAAGAAAAGATAGGGAAAATAGCCAGGAAACAGACAGAACACCAAGGCCGCCATTCAAGCAAGCCACTGCCCGTATCCAAACCATGATCTCTATGATGGAACTAGCGCGTGTTTTCGGGAATTCGAAGAATTCGGCGGCCACAGGGGGTACAGTCCGATCTTGCGGTAGATCCTGGTGTTTACGGTGTAGTTATACACCTACATTCTGCCAGAGTCCGTCCTGAGTTTGGAAAGCTTCCATTCCTTCTCACCAAAGTGGGTCCTCATATCGAAACCGAACATGTACCACCCCCCTTTCCATTTCATGGGGATATATTGCTCTGATGAAATAACCATTCCATATAGCTCTATCACCTGGAACTTCTTGCGTGAGAGAAATCTACAACTTGCCCCTTGGAACCCTCGTATACTGCCATGACGAAATGGACTTCGACTGCTTGTGGAGTTACGAAGGTAGAGCCTTACCGCCAATCAAAGGGCTCAAAATGCGGATAGGGATGGGGTTGGGTTAGGGACCATGAGAAGAAATATCAGACTCGCGAGGTGCGATCCATGTTTTTTTTTTTTTTTTTTTTTTTTGCCACGGATCTGCAGCAACAATTTATCCACGGGTTAGTAATATTGGCATCAGCTCAGTGAGTATAGTTCTCTTGTGGGCCCAGAAATCTTTTCTCCCGCGGTGGAGCCAACCGTGCATCTTCGAGGGTTTCGATAAACGACAAGTGTGTACGAAAATAATCATTTCCACTCCCCCTTGATGCACGATGCGCGGTCCATGTGCTGGACACCGCAGCCCTGAATGGCCGGCGGATCGACAGGAGTCCAGGTCCACCTGGGGGAATGGGTCGGGCAAGGTTTGTTTTGTGGACCGCTGCGAAAATGTTACTGTGTAGAATGTTGGTCCACCATAAATTAGAGAAGCAAAATTAGTTGACGCTAGGAAAAAGAGCTCAAACTTTTATATGGGTCATCAAACTATCGCCACTCTATCCCTATCCGTCCGTCTAGAATCTATGGTCATTAATGATGAAGTCCTCCGCAACGGCAAACAGTAAACAGTAAAATAAAACTAATAATAAATAAAATCCAAACTATGCCCAATATCCGTAAGCCTAATGCCCAACCCAGCTATATCATCAATGTGCGTAAAGGCTCGATGCGAAATGAAATTAGATAGCAACAGGGTCACCCATGCGGTCCTCGGGTCCGATCCCCTTGCGACGGACGGCGAAGAATCCAATGACTAGGCCAAGCGCACCCAATCCAACAGAGCACCAGAGACCAGTGGAGTATTGCTGCGCCAGCCCGTGTCCCTTCTCGATGTCTACAGCTTTGGTGACGGCAGCCGAGATGGCCAATGCGACACCTGATCCAATTTGGAAGGCGGTGTTGAGCTGAAGACGCCGTCAGTTGGTGTTGTAGTAGAAAGCAAAGCGGAATACTTACCATGCCACCGCATAGACTCTTGATTTCAACGGGTACACTGGTCAGCATGACGGTGCTTGTTGTAACAAAGATGAATGAGACGGCCGTGATGCTGATCAGGGATGTGGGAAGAACATTAACCCAGCTGTGTTGCGTTAGCATCCTGCAGATAAACCGTCCAGCATGCATGTTACTCACAAGCTTGTCTCGGGACTGGAAGTAATCGCACTGGGAATCGGAGCCACCGCGGTGAGGAAAAGTCCTATCAGGAGCAGGTATTTTCCGTTGAAGTACTCCAAAAGCTTGCCCGTCCCCATGGATGCGATGAATCCGATAATACCCATGGGTAGGAAGCGGAGGGCCGTATCGCCGGACGAGAGATCGTCCACCTGCTGCGCCATGAGGACGATGTAGTAAATGACGTTTTGGTAGCTTCCGTAGCAGGCTGATATCGTTAGCAGTATTCAAATTATATACGGTTCACCAACAACTTACTGAAACCAGCGATCCACAGGCCCGCAAAGTTGCGGATTTTCCACAAAGACAGTGGCATGATCGGGCAGCTGATGTACTTCTCCAGCAGCACGAATCCCACCAGCATAGCCACGGCAAGAACCAAAAGCACGATGATAAAGGGCTGACTCCAGCCATACACCCCGCCACCGGATAGCACAAATTGGAGAAGAATAAGACCGGCGGTCGATAGAATGGCACCAAAGTAGTCCATTTTGACCTTCGTGCGCTCCATGTAGATATCCTTGGGCAGCACAATGGCGCCCAGGGCGGCTAGCGAGCCGGTGATGACAACGATAAAATAGAAGATGTACCTCCATCCCAACGAGGAAGTCAGAAAGCCACCGAAAATTAGACCTGCGCAGAAACCGATCGTGCCAGCCGATGCGTAGATGGAAAGGGCGCGAGTTCGATCTTTACCGGTGAAGTAAGAACTGATGATACCAATAGCAGACGGTACCGTCATAGCGGCGCCGATTCCCTCCAGTCCACGGAAAATCGTGAGCAGAATGAACGACTGTCCGAATCCGATCGCCAAGGTCCAGATAGAGAGCCAGATCAGGCCGAGGCAAAGGATGTTCTTTCGTCCATAGCTGTATCTAAATTAGCACAGCCTCCAAGGCAACATGTGCCGACAGGGGGACTCATACCGATCGGACAAGACTCCAGCCAGGAGCAGGAAGCCACCAAAAGTCAAGGTATAGGCCGAAATCATCCATTGCAAATTGTTACTCGAGACGCCGAATTCGTCTTGAATGGACGATAGGGCCATGTTGGCACTGGTCATGAACACGTTATCCAGGAACTGAGAGCCGGATGTCACCAACAAGATCAACCCGCCTCTCCACGAGGCCAACCGGCCGAATTCCGGACGCTTATCCAAAGCCAACACCTCTTCTCCTCCGGCCGGTGAGAGAAGGCCGATCGGAGGAGTATCTGGTGGCGACGAGCCCAGCGAGACGATCGTTGGCTCTAAAGGCTTCTTAGGGCTGCCGGGCCCCTCAGCCTTCTGGACGCCGCGACGGTCGAGCCACTTGAAGATAGTCATACCTGAGCGTGACAAACGAGATGATAGCCCATCCTGAGCGTGCCTCCCAGTATACATATTTAACAATCGCGGTGGAGAGTAAAAGCCTGGTGGGAAAATTCTGAAATTTGTCGAGCAGCCCCGATGTAAAAAGTGGGTATCTCCCCGTTCGGGAGGCATCCGGGGGGTGTGGATTTGCAAAATTCTACACGACGCCCCCCTCTCGACCTCCACAAAGCCCACCAGACAGTGAGCCATATCAGAATCTGCCGGGATGTGGTCTTCTAGCTTATCTGGCTGGTCGGGGTGGTCTGCTCCCCTGAACATGTTGATTCACACTCAAGCCGTCTCTCGCCTTCTTTATCCTCCATCCACAATTTTGGGGCTCCCCTGAGCCACGCTGGCGATGTCCGTCAGGAGGAAATCGCCTCTCTATGTGGTTATCCTTGTCTAGAAACTCAAATGTGTCGATAGGGCAGACACAAATTGTCTAGCTTTCTTCAATTTTCCCTCGCACACGGGCAGGTCAAATAATAGGGATTGCGAGCGTATAGTAGAAGCACTGCGGTCCTCGCCCCCGGCCTGCCTTTTCGCGATAGGTTTAGTGGATAAATGTTAAAAGCCAGAATGTCGAGTGTCCGGCCACCTGCATCCGAACCGACGATGTGCTGCGGTCCGTGTAGGTCGAGGTGGCCCTCGAGCCGAAGGATCATCGAAGTGACGGTTTAGGTTTATTTGGGACATTTCTACCTGGCTACACTGCAGCGGATGCGGCGATTGCACGATTTCGCGATGACCCGGCCTGACATGGCCCTAGATCCACGCCGGGAATCCGGGCAGTGTTATCTCGACATGCTGCAAGCGGTTCGCAGAAAATGACCGAGTCTATCCCAGAGTGGACGGGACTTTAGGTGAAACCCCTGGCGCGCGATAGGAAAGAGGAGACGAGGGCAATAACTGGCCAGCAAGAGAATGATGTGTCATGAAAACGGGGCGCTTGCAGAAGATCTGCCTGATATGATGATCCATAGGCCTAGGGCCATTAGCGACCTTGGTCGAGAAGCAGATGCGTTGGCTCTTGCTCCTTGCAAGAGGAGGACCACAGCTCTAGGTCAGTCGGCATTGACACCTAATGGTGGATTTCGCTAGGCATGCGTGAGCGGTAAACGCGCAGGGCCTCGACACGAACTTCGTGATTGACCTGCCGACGTCTTTTAGGCGTAGTGGAGCAGCGTGAGATTGACGACTCGCTGGCAGGCCACGGTCAGGGTGCGAGGCGAGGGCACCAGCGACCAGACACGCAGGCGGATCTCCGGCGGGAGATGCGGGAAACGGTGGGAAGTAGTGGGGATTGAGTCGTGTTCTATGTTGGCTTTTGCGAATGTGCGGTGGAGTCACGATAGGACGCGTGCTGCAGGCCGTAGCCCTGGGACGGAGTCGGCAAGCCGGTCGGGAAACAATGAGCAGAGACAGAGTCAAGGAGCTCTCTTTCTTCTAGTTTGCAAATCCTGTAATTTGTCCACGATCGACGATATTCTGGTCTAGATTGAACGAAGGTGCTTAGCGCCGACAGTTGTCTCTCTAGGACCTAGATCCAAGATTGTCAGCGATCGGCATGCCTAAGAGTAAGTCGGTGGCCACCGCTCCGAAGACGTTAGATCGGCCCGAGATAAGACAATGGAGTCGCGTGGAATTGGAATGCGGGAATGTGGATAAAATTAGGGAATGGGGAATGGGGAAGGGCCTATGGGCAGAAGAATTTAGCGAAGAAAGAAAAAAATAAATCAAACAGGTTCAAATTAGCTCAAGCCCCCCGCTCTCAATACGCACAGCTGTCTACTCCTCGCCCTCAAATGCCTGCTCCTCCACGTACTGGTCCTCTCCGTCCGAAATGCTGGCATCTTGGTATTGTTGGTATTCCGACATCAGATCATTCATGTTGCTTTCCGCCTCGGTGAACTCCATCTCGTCCATGCCCTCGCCGGTGTACCAGTGCAAGAACGCCTTGCGACGGAACATGGCCGTGAACTGCGTCCCGACCCGCCGGAACAACTCCTGGATGGAAGTGGAATTGCCCACGAAGGTCGACGACATCTTCAGCCCGCGTGGGGGCACCGAGCAGAGCGCCGTTTGCACGTTGTTGGGGATCCACTCGACAAAGTAGGCCGAGTTGCGACTCTGCACGTTGCGCATCTGATCCTCCACTTCTTTCATCGACACCTTGCCGCGGCTAGGCGTGCGTTAGTCTCCGGGTCAAAGTGGGACGGGCAGAGGCAGGGCACTGACAAGAGAGCGGAGCAGGTCAAGAAGCGGCCGTTGTGGAAATCACAGGCGGTCATCATATTCTTAGTATCGAACATCTGCTGGGTCAATTGGGGCACCGTCACCGCGCGGAAGGAGTGGGACCCTCGGCTAGTCAACGGGGCAAAGCCCACCATGAAGAAATGCAGGCGCGGGAAAGGGATCATGTTCACGGCCAGCTTCCGCAGATCGGAATTCAGCTGGCCGGGAAATCGCAGGCTGACTGTGATGCCCGACATGACCGTCGAGATCAGATGATTGAGGTCGCCATACGCGGGCGACGACAGCTTCAAGGTGCGCGTGCAGATATCGTAGAGTGCCTAAACGATCGCATTAGCCTCGGGTCCGTGCTTCGATCGACTTCACCGGACGGGGAGGAGGTTCCACCTCGTTATCGATACAGAAGGTCTCGTCGGCATGCTCCACTAGCTGGTGCACCGAGAGGGTCGCGTTGTAGGGCTCCACCACCGTATCCGACACTTTGGGCGACGGCATGACGGAGAAGGTGGCCATCATGCGGTCCGGGAACTCCTCGCGGATCTTGGAGATGAGCAGCGTTCCCATGCCGGCGCCCGTTCCACCGCCGAGCGAGTGCGTGATCTGGAAGCCCTGCAGACAATCGCAGCCCTCGGCTTCGCGACGGACGACGTCCACCACCTGATCCACCAACTCCGCTCCTTCGGTATAGTGGCCTTTCGCCCAGTTGTTGCCGGCGCCCGACTGGCCGAAGATAAAGTTATCTGGTCGAAAGAGGCCGCCGTAGGGGCTGGAGCGGATGGCATCCATCGTGCCGGGTTCTAAGTCAACGAGGACCGCGCGCGGGACGAATTTCTTGTTGCCGGCCTGTAGCAGGGTCAGCATGGTCAGCATACGATGTGGGGAGAGGTCGGTACGGTGTGTGAACGCACCTCGTTGAAATACACGTTCATCCGCTCCAGCTGCAAGTCCGAATCACCATGGTACCTAGAGCTTCGTCAGTGACATGGATTGGTCATCGCCAGAAGATTGAGAGGACCGACACTCCGGATCCGTCGAGACCGTGTTCCCCAGAGATGGTCTGCCTAGATGGAGGTTAGCGGTTGACCAGCAGTAGAGCAGCGAGCGACTTACCAAAAGGCCGACCCAACTTGGTTGCCCTATTGCCGATAGGGAGCGTTCAGCATCACCTAGGGAGATCTGATTGCAGTCGGAAGACTTACACACTGGCCGGTTTGGAGGTGAATCTGCAAATCGTATTGTCAGTAATGGCGCTCGTGCGTCGAATGGCCCGGTCGCTGAAGGTCGAATTTTCAGCTTACACGACCAAGGGGAGAGGGCCGACAACTTACAATCTCACGCATCTTGGCGGGTAGCACGTAGCACGTAGCACGATCGGGAGATTCTGCGAACGATGGAGTCTGGAGATTCCAGGAGGGATGGAAAAACGAAGTGGAGCGTGACGCGTGGGGAGGGAAAGAAAGGGAAAGGGAAAGAAAAAGTGGGAGGGAGAGAGAGAAAAGGGTCTAGGATGGTTTGGGCGATGGCGCAGCGCCTGTCAGGCTGTCAGCCCATTATTGACTAGCCGTCCGGCAGTCCGGTTGGGCACATCCGGAGTAGGAGTAGTTCTACCTACAGTAGATCTTGACTCTGTCCAAGAATACTGTAGTCTGTACATATTGTACATACATATTGTACAATGTCCATACTACAGTGACAACGGTCGGCCCCACCGCCGGGGAACGGTCGATCGTCCCAACCGTGCGTCAGGAACGGTCGATCCTCGTAGTCTGTAGGACTACGGAAAAGGCTGGTCTGCCTAAGGCAGCCTTCCACCACGTTGCCGGGCAACGCGGCTCGTATACTGTAGTGTGTTTTTTCATGATCAATATATGCTCACCAGGTTGACCCGACCGAGGCATCTTTCGAGAATATGGACTCAGTCTGCAACACACCGAGGCATCATTTCATGAATCGGTCACCTTTGGGGCCCAATGATCAGACATGTCGTGTCTGATGAATCCGACCCATGCATGGGACTGAGAATATAGTCCGTAGTTTACACAAAGACCTGAGACTTCTCGCCGATCCCCGAGAGTAATCATTCTTCTCTTCCGAGGATGAAGCGACCGGGGAGAAGCCAATTCTCCGAGGGAACAATGGATACATGCCGTGCTTTCTGCCGATTCTTCCCCATCCACGTAGTTATCAGGCACGTCCTACGTTCCTGTTCTTGTCCGTGTCCGCGCCTTGTTTTGCTGACCAAATGCCGACGAGCACGAACATCCCGGCAATTCATCGGCTGATCCCCTCATGAGACGCCGTGATGTAATGACCAAAATTCTAGAAGTCTTTCGAAATCTGGGGGCCTCCGGCTGTTCCTGATCTCAACCAGACTTGAAACAATCGCATGACGTAGGGTGGTTTAGAGTGCCTCAGATGCAGTGGCTCATTTTTGGGTTGCGATGATCTACAGCCAACAACAAACCGCAGCATGCAAGGCCCTGCTCCGAAACGCCTATTCCTCCCCGCAGGTCAGGGCTTAATTGAGTCTCAAAGATGGGTTGGAGCGAACGCGGCAATCCTACCGTCTGTCGACCGATCGTTATATGGGATCCGACTTTCACAGCCAGGTATAAAAACCCCAATTCATCCGGCCAATTCAACACTGCATTCCCAACAGCAAAGCAGTTTCAGCCGAATCAGCAAAGATAAATACTTTTCTCTCTCCCAATACTTTTAAATTCAACTCCCAACCTTCAAGATGAAATTCTCCTTCGCTTCGCTCCTGGTGGCTGGAACCACCGTCGCCTCCGCCGCGAACGCCGCCAGTGTCGGCAACGCTGGCAGCGCTGGCAGCACTGGCCTGCCGTCCATCCCTCAGAGCTGCCTGGAGATTCCCCAGGTCGTTGGCAACAAGCCCCAGCAGCTGATGCAGTACTTCCACAAGGAAGTGTGCCAGCAGGGCTGCAAGGCCACTATCAACCAGCACAACCACTATCTGCACAACTACGTGATGCCGCAGATTATCAAGGACGTGAACCAGCGCCTGGAGGTCCCCGTGCAGGAGCAGCAGCTGTTCAATCAGACCAGCACCCAGGTTGTCGCCGCCGTACAGAAGAGCTGTGCTCAGGAGGGCAACAAGCCTCTCTGCAACGATCTTCAGGGTGTCTTCGACTACGGTCTCTGCGCCTTCAAGGCCTCCCAGCCCATCCTGATGAACCACGTCAAGGAGTTTTCCGGAAGCGCCAAGCTCACCGAGGAGAAGTGCAACAAAATCAAGGCGCTCGACTCCGACCAGACCATCTGGCAGAAGACCCTCCCCGCCTACGTGGACAAGTTCGCCAAGCAGTGTGCTCAGGGAAATTAAAGGTATGTTGTTCTCCTGGAATCCAATTTAGTTGGCTGGAATCAGTATTGACTGGGGCAGCGGGCTAGGCATGGCGGACCAGAGAGTTCCCAAGTAGGACATGCTAAGTGAAGCTGCGCAGGAGTAGCCCTGCTATCGCTGGACATTGATCGGGTGTTATGTTCGGAGTGGGCATCATCTTGGGTCATTCTTCAAGAACTGCCTGGAGCTTGGTTTGCGGTTTAGTCGCAATCGCGCGTCTCTGTTTGAAATTATTTGTTAGTGTCAGATGTTAGGTTGAATAAACAAGCAAGGTCTTCTATATTCACCCCATACCTCAAAGTCAACAATCGGACTTAGATGTGTTTCTCCCATCATGGAGTACAACTTCTATGTGCTGCTCCCGAAAGTCTCGGTATCTATGGAGCTAGAACATCTTTAGTACCATTAAAAAAATAGCTTTATCCTTGGACCTTTTTGCATTGGGATATTATATGTAACCGTTGAATGATGGCTAATTAGGCAAGGGATGATGTTGCTCGGCCGGCCCTGCTCGCCTGGGTGTGGTCCCTTCGATGTGGTCGACCCGTCTTCGAAGTCATTTAGAGCTGATAGTCGCATGCGTGCGCTGAATAGCCGAACCTTCACCTCTAACAGGGGTGCGTCGCTCCCATAATTGTGCACGTAGATGGAATAGTCGTTTGGGAAATTGTCCAAGTTCTTGAATCTCCGCTTGGTGCACTCCAGGAAGGTCAGCTTGATCGGCCTCCAGAAGTAGTTCGCCAACTCCTTAGAGACCCATCCTTAAAACGAGAAAGATCTCCAGAGTACTAACGAGGCCTCTAAGTTCAAAGCTCACTCCTCTTCCTTTTGTTAATCACGGAGTGCTTTAGGGTAGTGACTTCTGGCTTGCTGCTGGTTGTAGGCTGGGTCCGGCTTTCTTGGGCTGCAGGTGTGATATGACTCGGGTGATCAACCCAGTCCATTCCGAGCAGCGAGGCTTGCACCGTCCATGTTGGTTATAAAACTCCACAGGAATGCCTGCTGGTGTTGCGTCGGTCTTTTCTCCTCGTCTGCCATGTCAGTTGCAGTCTTTGCTAAACGTAATGATGTTTGCTGGCCAGGGGCTGAGGGAAGGGCGGCTCGCGGGTTTCGAAATCGATGGCTGAGGTGCTGGGATGGCAAGTTCGCTCGCCGGAGATGATGATGATGATGATGACAGCTGTGGGGACAAGAGGGGCGGAGGGGCAAAGAGGATTGGGGAGAGACGATTCACTTTTTGACAGGGAGTTATTGTTGTTATGATTCAGTTTTCGCGTCCTTTGGGTTGGCGAAGGCAACCAGGAGTACCTACGTCTCTTCTGCCTCGGGTGCTCCTTACTGTGGGTTTTGTCCAACGAGCTTCGGGTTGCATGGTTGGTTACGGTCAACTAGCTAGCTAGTAAACTACGGTATAGGTTCTATCAAAGAACTGACTGTCATTGCACAAGTAAATTGATAGCTATTCAGAGCTTCGAATTCCCCAGCTTCTTCTCCTGCGTCGTGTATATCTTCACGAGCTGCCGAATTCCCAGGTCCAGCAGTACGTCCTCCGAGCCGCCAGGAATTCTGGCACCTGGTACATCCCGTAGTATAGCCTCAACTAGCTCCCCTTGTCCCGAAGCCGTCAGGCCCGATCCGCCGAAGAGCAAGACGGCACACTGGGCACACTCGTTCAGCACCATCCCCGCCTTTGCTTTGGCCATTGCGGTGACTCCGCCCAGCTGGAGGTCTGCTTCGGCTTTGCTGAGGTGGCACAGCTGGTAGAGCAGCTGTTCGACAAAGGCCGATAGCGTCTCGAGCTCGGCGCCGGTCTTGGCGAGTCGGTGACGTACGACGGGCTGGTCCATGAGAGGTTTCCCGAAGGCCTGTCTCTTCAGCACGTAGGAGAATGCGGTTGAGAGGGCGACGCGGGCCTGGCGAGTGACGCCGATGCTGATGAGGAGACGCTCATGGTTGAAATTGGTCATGATGATGCGCATGCCTTCGCCTTCGCGACCGACGAGATTATCCACCGGCACCTTGACGTCGTCCAGCTCGATGTAGGTGGTTCCGCCCGTGGCCTGTCCGGAAACTTTCAATCGGCGCAGGGTGACACCAGGATGACCTTTCAAGGGGACAAGGACCACGGAAAGACCGCCAGGGCCGGGCCCGCCGGTGCGAACCGCCATCGTGGCTATATCCGACCATATCCCGTTCGTAATCCATTTCTTCGCCCCGTTGATTATGTAGTGTTGTCCATCCTCAGACTTCACGGCCGTCGTGGTGATGCCCGCGACGTCGCTGCCGGCGTCGGGTTCGGTGATGGCGATGCAGGCTCGCTTTCGGCCCAGCAGGAGATCGGGAAGCACGCGCTCCTGGAGCTCTCGACTGGCGAATTTGATGATCGGAGGGATGCCGAACGCGAAGCCGGCGTTGAGCCCGCTACCGGTGCTGAGACCTGAACGACCGAGCTTGCAACAGTTAGCTTGATTCAATGGGAGACTCTCGGTCACTTACCTCATCCGCGTAAATTCCGGCGTGGATGTAATCCCATTCTTCGACCTTGACGCCTATCTGGGTCAGCTCAGCCCCTTGCTTCGGCGCGTTGGGGGGTGGGGGGGGGGATGAATTACCCAGAATATCGTGAATGCCCAGTCGCTTCAGCCAGTCGACCGGCAGGGGAGCGGGGAGATTGGGAAGGAGCATGTTATGCTCGTTGAACTTCTGGAAAACACTGGCCGGGACCTCACCGACCGTCTCGAATTCCATGGCGCGCGACAGCAGGTTCTCGAACAAGAACTGGCGACATCGTTTTTGGAATTGGTGGTGACTTTCTGTGTGATAAGGAGAGGGGAGTCCGCGCAGGTATGGCGGTTCCGAGAACGGCACGGGGTTCGAGGATACTGTAGCCATAATGGGGAGTTTGGCAGGGGAATGAACGTGGTAGAGATGAATTCCATGGAATATTTATCCTTCTGGAGCCCCGCGTGGATCCAGACGGTCTCCGGTCCGAGGCTCGGTGCGCGGAGGATCGACGGGGGATCCGGAGTTCTTCACGTGTTGTATCCTTTTTTCTGGTGAGAGAAGACGAGATCAAGTTGACGGGTAATGGAGTAGAAGAAGTATCACGTGGTGATTGAAAAGAAAAAAAAACAAAGAGGGATGGGAAGGGGAAAGAAAAAAAGAACTGCAATGGACGACACAAAATCGGTTGTTTACGGGGAAGATATATATCTCTCGCAACCCATCCATTTGCATGAATCCCCCACGATTAGACTTACGCCGGTCGCTTAGACCCCAAGTGGTAGAAAGCGTTTATAGTACTCATTTTCTAGCCTTAGAAAATGATACAACCCCCTTCGACCAAAGTACCCGGAGTAGTTATGGCGGCGATGCAAATCCCAGTGAGAGAATCACTGGTATAGGAATATTCTAATAAAATAATATATTGTTCTGAGGCTCGATGGCCCAGTAGGTTTTTTTTGCTGTTGACCGCCTTTTTTAAAGGTCGTTCGAATCGCGGCACGTCTTTTTTGATGTTTTCTCTGCCTTACCAACTACCGATGACCACGGGCCTCGGCCCAGCAAGTGATGTGGGGTCAGAACTATAGCGGCGTACCACCTCCTCCATCTTACACCTCCCTTCCCTCAGTCACATCTCGATCCCCTCGCTATGACAGACACCATGCAAGCCGTCGTTTTCAAGGGCCCTTTGGAGGTCGCCCTGGAGTCCCGCCCCGTTCCCCAGATCGAGTCAACCGACGCTCTAGTGGCCGTTCGCTATACTGCGCTCTGCGGAAGGTAGGTCACCTAAGTTACCTCAGCTACCCCAGTGCACCTCGCAATCGCTCGTACAACGACTGACTCCGCCCAGCGAGTTGCACGTCTTTCGCGGCCACCAGAAATCCGCGACAGGCTTCATAATGGGTCATGAGTTCACCGGCGAGATCATCCAAGTCGGCGCCGATGTCCAGAAGTTCAAAAAGGGCGATCGCGTCGTTTCGCCCTTCACCATCAGCTGTGGCGAATGCTTCTACTGCAAGCGTGGGTTCTCGTCACGGTGCGCCAAGGGTAGACTCTTCGGAAGTGTGGCGTTGGATGGAGCTCAGGCGGACTACGTGCGGGTTCCCCTGGCCGACGCGACCCTGGTGGCTGCCCCGGAATCCATCGACGAGAAGAAACTGATAATGATGGCCGATATCTTTCCGACGGGATACTTCGCCGCGAAGAACGCTTTTCAGGCCCTGAGCGAGTCGGATATACGCGAAAGCACCGTGCTGCTGTTCGGCTGCGGACCGGTAGGCATCTGTGCACTGATCAGTGCCCTGGAATGGAAGCCGAAGCATCTCATCGCCATTGACAGCGTCCCGTCTCGGTTGGAGCTGGCTGAGCGCCTCGGGGCCGAGCCGTGGAACTTCCAGAGGCATGCTGATGGACTTCGACGGCGCGTCATGGACCTGACGGAGGGACGGGGAGCGGATGTGGCTATTGAGGTGGTGGGTTTGAGTGCGGCGCTGAGGTCGTCGTTCGATCTACTTCGCCCGTGGGGTACCATTTCGAGCGTGGGAGTGCATAACGATTCGATTCCGTGGACGGGGAATGAGGCGTATGGCAAGAACCTGAAGCTGCAAATGGGCCGATGCCCGGTTAGAAGTAAGCTGAACGCCCCCCGGAGAGGCCAGAGGGGCTAACGCGGCTGACATTGGCTAGGCATCTTTGAGGAAGCGTTGCAGCTCTTGGTCAGAAAGCAAGATGCTCTCGACTGGGCTTCATTCGACATCCGTCCGCTCTCTCAGGCCGTACAAGGGTGAGCACCGAGTACCCCAGAGTCTCTGCGAATATCGCGCTGACATGCTTAGGTACCACGATTTCAACCAAATGAAGTCTCAAAAGATCATCTTCGAGGCGGGGAAATAATGCACGTAGTTTACGAGATTTAGCCAGATTACAAAGTCATGCCATTGTTTGAAATCTTTGGGCAAAGGATGCATCGGCAGACTCGCTGCTCAAGCGCCAAAGTAACCCCCAGCGACTTGGCTTATTCTCTCTAGTCTACTTGTTTATCGCGATCATCCAATATTTGGTAGAGCTGAATCTCAGTCGCAAGGGCTGAATGGTGCTCGTCAGTGAGGAGCGTGACAACTTTGCGGCTCATTCTACCGTAGCGCTTTCAAATCAACTCAAAACGATGTGTGGCTCATCAGAAGGCAACGACTGCAATACTGGACACGCTGACATGATGTAGTTTACAACTTTGATGTTGCCTGAAAGGCATTCAAGTGCAGTCAGCTGGGCTTGATTGAGGTGAGTAGATGTGGGAACAAAGAATGCAAGATCCTGTGAGCTCGCATGCTTGTTGGTTGCCTGAGGCACATAAATTGAGGCCTGCTCTATGACCCAAAGCTGTATGACGGTGGTCTCACCTGGATGCTCCAATGATAAGTAATCCAATCAGACTTGATGTCCAATAGCAGGCCATGATTTGGCCATGGGCTTTAAATAGATTGAAGCTTCCGCAGAAGACAGACCAAAGAGACAAAGCCATGAATTGCTGTATGGCTACTTCACGATAAGTCCCGATGGCTTCCCAAACATATGTCATGATCTGCTGAGAAGCCGCGGCAGAATTTCATTCATAGATAGTATAAAAGACCTCTGTGATACAAGGATGCTCCCCAGGCCTTTGTAATCACATCATGATATCCCCTACCTGGAAAGCCAAGCGAATGAGGCTTCTCGAACGCGCCCTGTGCCTGTTTGTGTACAATGCCTTCATCTGGACGAAACACCAATAGTCATAGCCCCAATGGGCTTCGACGCAGCCAGCGGGTGCTCGATAAAGAGATGACCAGAACGAGAGCAAGTCAGGTGATGTACAGCTTTGTGCAGGAAGATTGCGAGGCCAATCAGCCGGACTTAGAGATGCAGGGCCGTGAAGACGGAGAATCTAACATGTCGATTCTGACCCTCCCTAACGAAATACTGCACTTGATCGGGACGTTCATGGATGCATCAAGTTTGGCGGCAATGGTCCGAGCCGCTCGAATCCTGAAAGACTTGCTGTCCAAGGAGCTGTACGTCAAGGCGGTTGGTTTCGTGCCCAGGATGGATGACTCGGTGGTGGAATGGGCGGCCAGGCAAGGCCAGCCAGAGACTATCCGCAAGGCCTTGAAGCAGATGCCGGCAAACACGGACTGGTCTAGGGTGGTCGGAACAGGGATTGTCGGGGCGATCCGGTACAATCAGCTGGAAGCCCTGAAGTGTCTGTGCTACGAAAGCCCCCCGAATCGAGCAAGTCAATACATCCGGGCTCCTCCTCCCTCTCTCGAAGGCATGGGGGCGGCTGCGCTTTCCAATAATCCGGTGGACCTCGCCGCGAGCCGCGGAAGCGTGGATGTGCTGCAATACCTCCTAGAGAGGGGAATGCCGTTTGTAACGCCTGAATTTCCCTTCGCCGTATCCATGTTCGAAGGGGAGGGAGGGAAGTCGGGTGACACGCGGGTGGCCGAGTTGCTGATCCGCCACGGATTCAATACACGGATGGGGAGTGATAACGGCCAATCGCTGCTGCACGAGCTGGCAACCCGCGGGAGGGCGGCACACGTGGATCTGTTGGCGAGAGCGGTGCCCGAGCTTCTGAACATCCAGGATGTGGACGGGAGAACGCCGCTGATGTATGCTATCGCTGCCAAGCAGATGGCCTGTGCGAGACACATGGTGACCATTCTCGGGGCGGACGTGAGCTTGAGGAAGTCCAACGGGGTCACGGCGCTGCACATGGCCGTCTGCGAAGATGACATCGACCTGGTTGAGGCCTTGATCAACAGCGGAGCGGACGTTAACGCGCAAGCCTCGGGCCAAGTGACACCTTTGCACATGGTGACCGATGCCCGCGAGAGAAAGACCAAAGAACCTCTGATGGTGGCGATACTCCTTAATCGGGGGGCATTTTGCTCTCCCAGAGACGGGAAGGGCAATACGCCGCTGAGCTATGCGCTGGCGGCGCGGAACATCCAGCAGGTCGAGTGGCTGATGGTGGGTGCCGTGCATCATGCGTCCGAATTCGAAGGGGTCCAGGAACTGCTGGACGCCTGTCGCGTGGGCAGCTTGCGAATCGTCCAGATCTACACGCAGCGGGAGGGATTCGACATCGAACGGGACCAAGATCAATGGCGGAGATCAGCATTGCACCTTGCAGCAATCGGGGGGCACGTGGAGGTTCTAGAGCACCTGCTGTCAAAGTGGAGGGATGTCGATCGCCGCGACGTGGGCGGCCGGACAGCGCTTTGGTATGCCTGTTGCAAGGCCGACTCTAGCTGCGCATGCCAGCTGATCCACGCGGGGGCGTCGGTGGACTCGGCCGAGCACTACGGACGGACTCCTTTGATGAATTTCACTCGGCACTTTCGGGATGACACGACGATGTCTTTCTTTCTGAAATCATCGAGGAAAGTCGAAGCAGTCGACAAGATGGGGCGCACGATCTTGCACCACGCCGCGCGCCACGGAAATCTGGCGGCCACGCGGGCGATCGTGCGGTATCAAAAGGACCTGGTGGGCAAGTGTGCCAAGAAGCGCCAGTCTGCCCTGTTATTCGCCCTGAAGCACGATCACGACGACGTGGCGCGATTCCTGCGGCGGTTGATCATCTTGAGGCGAAGGGAGTTTAGCTGGCTCGCGATGCATGGATACCACGGCAAAGTCATGTGGATCAAGACAGGGGCAGGATGGGCTCGCACGCGCAGTCGATGGATTGCCAGGGAGAAGAAGGCAAGGGAGAAGAAGAGGGGTTGAAGTTGAAGAAGTGAAGAAGTTGGAAGGTGAAAGTTGAAAATGTTGGTGAGTAGTTGACTCTATTAACTGGCGAGTGGATCCAGTAACATTAAAATAAACGAGTCCTTGTATTCAAGGGGTGATAGCTCAGTTGGGAGAGCGCACGACTGAAGATCCACTCAGTCAGTCAGTTCAGCTGGCAATCGTGAGGTCACCGGTTCAATCCCGGTTCATCCCATTATCTTTTTTCTTTCTTTTTATACCATTCTCATGTTACCTACTTCACTTCCATCGCCTCTTCTTTTTCCCTTCTTGTTATTATGTGTATAGTTCCTCTTGAGTAATTATATAGACGGATGTAATATGCCAGCGATGTGGCCGGCCTTCTTCAATAGAGTATATCCATTCCACCCGGCATCTCATCACTTCTACATACGAAGTACAATCTCCTCCCTATCCACTACTCCGTACACCGTACATTCCTTCTGCATCAGGAATTCAAGATAAAGCTGTTTCATGTGGGGCACCGGCCAGATCGACCAACCCTTGTCAGCGACTCAGCGCATGCGAGTAGATTGGCAGATGGACTCCTGATGCATTTGCTGGAGACCGACCCGGGGAAGTAGGGGTCTTCCTAGCTCCACTCGTCCGGCCCCTGTCGATTACTCCTACGGTGTACACTGTACTCAGCACTCAGCGTCCACTGTGTCCACTGTGTACGGTGTAGAGTTGTAGACCGAGTGCTGCCGTCATCGACGATCCGCGGGCCTCCGTTGTGGCACGATGAGTCAGCCATCCTCCGCCGTCCTTTGGTCCCTCGTCCAGCGGTCCATCGTCCATCATCCATCTATTACTATTTACTGTCCATCGTGGCTTGCACTGCCTTCGCTGTCCACGGAGGATTCTGTATCTGTCAGTGTTTGCAGTCTGCAGTCTGCAGTCTCAAACATGTACAAGACCATGCACCCCCCATTATGACGTCGCCCAACGCCCGCCCACGCATCTTCCTTTTCTCTCTGGCGCATCCAAAAAAAGTCTTATTTTCAGCGGCTTCTCCTGGGCAAAGCTTAGTTTCCAAAGCCAAGTTGCCCACGGCCCCACGATGGGATCCACTGCATACGTAAAGACGGAGGGTTCCTGAGAAATTACGCCCGCTGGAGGGCGAACATTGGTCAGACACTGTCACCAGTCTCCACCATCAATGGTGCGCTTTGGTCCGACACGCAACCACTTGCCAGGTTTCTTTTTTGCTTTTCGCTCTGGCCTTTCTCCTGCCGCGGACTGCTGAGGAATTCGGAAATACGAGCACGAGTCCACGTTATTGGACTCGTCACTATTAAAAAAAATCGCAAAGTCCGGACGCCCACAGCTCGTCCACCGTACGCTAGTGCGGGCGCTTGTCTCTCGCTTTGTCGTGTTTTCTGGGTCCCTTTGCTGCATTGCCAGCTGCCTTCTCTCAGTCTCTCCCTCTCTCCCTCGACCTCTCAATTCATCTCTCCCCATCCCCTCTTCCTCCTCCATCGCTTCTCGCCTTCGCCAAACCTTGATCGCCTGATCCATTCCACCCAACCTGCCAGGATGGCCCGATTCTGGTTCCATTGGGGGCTCCTCCTGGTAGCTATCAATATTGCGCAGGTGGTGCGAACGTTGGATATCGATCTGAATGATGACGGTACGTCACTCAGGGGTTCTCTCCCTCACCCGCGATCCGAACAGCTAATGCGCCTCCCTCAACTAGACTCCCTGAAAGATGCTGCCAGCAAGACGGCCAAAGGGTCGATGACATGGTATGACGGCGACAAGCCTGGCGGAAACCCCGGAGCGTTCCCGACAAAGTGGTGGGAGGGTAGTGCCCTGTTTCTGAGCCTGCTGCTCTACTGGCACTATACTGGCGACACGACCTACAATGATGCGGTGGCCCAGGGAATGGAACACCAGGCCGGAGACGGAGACTACATGCCGTCCAACTACAGTTCTTATCTGGTAGGAGAACGCGGATCTTGCCGTTCTGCAAGAGAGCTTGATGACTGACCGGTCTAGGGTAACGATGATCAAATGTTCTGGGGCGTTGCCGCCATGACCGCCGCCGAGATCAAGTTCGCCGACGTCGACGACGGATATTCTTGGCTGTCCCTAGCGCAGGGAGTCTTCAACACGCAGATCGAACGATGGGATACGACCAACTGTGGCGGTGGACTTCGGTGGCAAATATTCCCCTACCAGGCCGGATACGCGATGAAGAACTCCATCTCCAACGGAGGCTTGTTCCAGCTGGCGGCCCGCCTGGCCCGGTATACAGACAATTCGACTTACGCGGACTGGGCCGAGAAGGTCTGGGACTGGAGTGTCAGCTCCCCGCTGGTGAACAACAAGACGTGGAACGTGGCCGACTCGACGGATATCGACAACGGGTGCAAGACCCAGGGCAACAATCAGTGGTCCTACAACTACGGCGCCTACATGATGGGTGCCGCCTACATGTACAATCACGTACGTTGAGCCGTGATCCACCCCCGCCCCTCACATTCCTTCAAACACGAATACTGACCCCAGGCAAGACCGAAGATGCCAAGTGGAAAGACGCCCTCGACGGCCTTCTCGGTGTCACCATGAAGACCTTCTTCCCCCAGAAGTACAACGACATCATGTCGGAAACGCTATGCGAACCTAACGAGGTCTGCAACGACAACGAAATTCTATTCAAGGGCCTGGTCGTGCACTGGCTGGCCTTTATCAGTCTCGTCGTCCCCTCGACCTACGACACGATCTTCCCGAAGCTGCAGGCCTCAGCCGAGGCGGCGGCCAAGTCGTGCAGCGGCATGAGCAACAACACCTGCGGCGTGCGATGGTATCAAAATAAGTGGGACGGATGGGTCGGCATGGAGGAACAGATCATCGCCACCGAAGCTATCGTCTCGGCACTGGTGAAGAACGACAAGTCCGGACCCGTCACTTCCAAGACCGGTGGAAACAGTACCAGCAACCCTAATGCCGGTGATGGCGACGGCGACAAGGATAAGACCCAGCTGAAGCCGATCACCACGGGTGACCGCGCGGGGGCCGGTATTCTGACGGTCCTTTTCGCCGGTGTTTGGCTGGGCATGGTCGGATGGTTGTTATTGGCTTGATTTGTTGATATTTATCTTACTATTTCTCCTTTCTTGGGTATAGGGGGTTGTATGGTCTCTCTCTATGTTGACTAGATGGGCGTTTTTGTATATATGAGCTTCTGTTTATACCTTCAATAGACTATACATATTGTCTACTTTGTAAGTGACTTCAATGAGTATCCCAAGGCCCGGAAAAGGAACAATCATTTCGCCTCCCTCTCCAAGCCCTCTCGCCGCCCCGTACTGAGCGGATCAAAGTATGGCCTTTCTCCCAGCCCGACGACGCGATGCCCCGTTCTCGGCCCCTGATCGACATAATCAAACGTCGCCGCATGATACACGCTGCGGTTATCCCAGATGGCCAAATCGTTCGAATTCCGCCACTTCAACCGCGCCTGTAGATCGTGGTTCTCCACGATCAGCGTCACAAACCATTCCAGCAGGTGTCGCGACTCTTCCTCCGCCAGGTCGTTGATCTTCTCGACGTGCGTGCCCACTGCAAACACTGACTTCCACCCTGTCACCGGGTTCGTCCGGATCACCGGGTGGATGGCCTTGAGCACGTCGCCGACGTTCTCGGGTGCGCCGCGCGGCCCCGTGAAGATCTCGAAATCGTTCTCTTTGGCGATACGGTTGAACCCGGGTTGTGCGTAGGTCGCGGTGAGGGATTCGAGGAACCTTTGGTACGGTGGCGAGAGCCGGTCGTAGATTTCGTAGCCCGAGGCCCAAAGGGTGTCTGTTCGACGAGGGGACTGATTAGTTGACGTGGTTAATGGAGGAACGAGGACATACCACCGCCCGTTTCGGGGAGCTGCGTCAAACGCAGGATTGTATAGTCGCTAGGGATCGGCTCAAAGGTGATGTCGCTGTGCCATTCTCGCCGGGCGCTCTGGCGTTTGGTCTCGTTGCGATCGCGATAGAGTTTTTGGCGCTCGGCGGAGCTAATGACGCTGATTTCGTCGTCTTTGACGCCGTGTTCGCGCCCGGAGTTGATGATAGGATGGATGTGCAGACCCGATGTGCTGGGCTTTCCGGAGAGCTCGCCGAGTCGCTGCACGAGTTCTTTTTGGAGGTCGTTGTCGAGGTCGTCCTGCTTGCGGAAGAAGACGACACCGCGACGGGAGACTATACTGTCTGTTAACAGAGGCGTGATGTTCGGGCTAGATGAAACATACCGGTGATGGCGAGGTCACGCAGGAGATCATCGGAGTTTGGGGCTCGCAGGATCTCTTTGAGATTGGCAGTCGGGAACTCTCGACCGATGATGGGCGTCACGTCGAATGACTCGAAGGCGTCCAGGGTGCCCTTGGACTTGAGCGGTTCTCGTTGCAGAGACTTGAGACTGGGCTTTCCTTCCACGATGGGAACGACGGGGGCGGCGTCTGTGAGAGAGGGAGCCATGGCTGAGTTGGAGCTTATAGACTGGTTGGGATCAGGTTTGATTGATGTTGCCAGAGAGAAGGGAGGCAGATGAGCTTTTTATATCCCAACAATAGAGCTTAGAGGGAATGATGCCGCGGACCGATGATATCTCAAGAGCAAATCATACTACCGGTATTGAATCAACTCTGGGGTAGACATCCATGGACTTATGCATGCCTCTGCAATGTTCGCCATTGTGACCTCGGAGCATGTCATATCCCACCATTTGCATTCCCCTCATGCCTGGAGAGGGGTAATGAGGATGTGATAATATCCCACAGGGGTTACGCCATGCGATTGATAAGACAGCCGGAAGACTGGAGATGCTCATGTACTCTCCTCATTGCCAAGGGGATGACTTCAGATGGCGACGGGAGCACGTCATGACATGCCCCATCCGTTCCGGTCTCACTGGTTGATAGCGAAGTATAGGAAATTTCTAGCCTGCTCAAATGTCGTCGTAGTTTCTCCAGGCCCGAGGGCCAATCCTGTTGTCTTTATCCGTTATCTGGCATGGTATCCCATGGGCCGGATACCCGATCCTATATGCCTGACTCCTCGTTATTCTCTCTCAGCATTGTACTCCAAGAGTTCATACCACGACAATGAAGGGTGCTATGTGCTTATCTTTGAAGCCTCAACTCGGTGGGGTTTTCGTAGAGGGATGGAATAACCAAGGTCGATCCAGGCGACAATCTCAAACAAATATACTTGAGCCTTCGACAGTAGAACAGGAGTTGTTTCACGATGAGAGGTGATTATCCAAATCTTCCACTTCGGAAATAGCCAGCTGACCAAATCGAGTTTCTCAGCTTCTATCCTTTGGCGACTCAAGAAAAGCCTCTTCCTATTACTGAGTGCTTCGCCTCATGATGTATTGCCATTCTGGCTGCAGTCGACAACGGCGGTAGGACGAGCTGTCACGAGGAGTCTGGATGGGAATAGAAACACGAAAGACGTGGAATTGAGTTGACAGAGTGAAGTAGGCTCCTATGCCAGGTTGCCATGATCTCACTATTGATTGCCGCGTCTCAGGAAAATTATCTGGGACCTAGAGGGAATAGGACAACTTATTTCTTTGGCTTATCACTCGCTGCATTATAAATTATCGCAAATGCAAGTGCTCATGCCAAGGTCGAAAAGAGAGACGAGACAGGCATTGCGTTGACTGGCAATGAAGTTGCTTTCATGAAGATAAGCTGCAAGCTGGATGATGAGAGCGTCTGCAGGTAAGTGAGCGACTTAACCGAATATTCTATCACTGTCCAGCAATTGTCTACTTGCTTTCTTATACGGCAATTCTGACCCACAGCGCGAAACTCTCACCGTGATGGATTCTCGAGTATCATGATAGTCTATCTAATAGCTTCATGCCCGGCAACCACGTAGAAACATTCAAGTAACATTGATATGGCTATTTGCTATACATGACGTTGAGGGTACTGGCAAATCCTAGGAATTTTCCGTCTCACCTACGGTGAATAATTCCTACAAGTTCAATGAAGAGGAAGATTCCGGACTGACCTGCTATTCACTGCACTGCAGTTGCCCATAAAGTCCCTCTCCCCTCTTCCTCCTTTCTCACCCTCTCTTTACACCCACCCACCCATCTCTTTACTCACTTTCGCATCTCTTTTCTCCTTCGTTCCCACCTGTTCCAATACCATCGCGTAGCCGCTCACAATGAAACTGAACCTTCTTTTCCTCTGCCTCCTGGTGGCCTTAGTGAGTGCCGTCGCTATCCCCGAGGCCAACAACGGTGTGTCCATCCCCTTCCCATCCCCCTTTCAATACTCTCGCTAACTTCGATGTCAAAGCCGATGTTTTGTATCCTGGCCAGCCATGTAGAGGGGACTGGGCCTGTCCGAGCCCCGAGCACTGCTCCAAGGGCAAATGCGCCCTCAACGTGAGTATCTCTTAAATGCCCGTCAGACTTCAAATCATTGACTAACCCTCACCATAGCCAGGCAGATGTTTGAAGGACAAGGACTGCCCCAAGTACATGTCTTGTTCTGACACTCACTGCTTCCCCCATTCCAAAAATGGCCGTCGTGACTTCGAGGACTCCGATGGCTCTGATGTCGCCGACGCTGTTACCAACGCTATCAATGAGGACGAGCATCCTGGACTGCCTGGTGCCTCAAATGAGGCTGAGATTCCTGCTAGTCAGTTCAAGGCTACCTGTGTCAATAATACCGATTGCTCCTCGAATGAGGTATGCTCTCGTGGTCACTGCACCCTCAAGGTAAAGTTCTTCTCCACCCTTGACCCCAAGTGGAATCATTCTGACGTCTGTCTCTCACTCAGGTTGGCAGATGCTGGGAAACCCGCGACTGCAATCGGCGCCAGCACTGCATCAATACCTTCTGTTATCCTCCCGGTCGCGTGAGCCGTCGTGCGTCTGCTGACGAGGCTATACCCACGACTCCCGCTCCCCTCGAGGGCTCCGACGAGAGCGTGATCGACCAGACTGAAGAGATCGAGACTGACGATGACATGGATGTGTCGCCTATTGACCAGGACACGCTGTTGAATCTCGTGACTACTGCGGGAAAGAAGGGCAACAAGTGCCGTCGTCGCTGTCGCTATCATACAGATTGCTGCCCCGGCGATGCCTGCTGGAACATGCGCATTTGCCTTGGTCCTCATAAGGGAGGTTGATATGTTTTAGCTCTTGTCATCGCGTTTCTTGTCATCGCGTTTCTTCTCTTCGAGGCTTCGACTGCCGGGGTCGATACGAGGCACGTGACATCTGCGCCCTCGTCCTTATGCTTCTGATCAATCATGAGAAGTCCTAGCGTTTGCAGGAGCTTCGATAATGGTTTTGTATCTCATGTCGTTTGACGGAATTTATTGCTTTATTCTACACTCTTTTCTTCTTCAGGTATTCCGTGGTTTCGTCGACGTGCGCCCATGCGACCGTGCAGAATGCTTCAGCCCTACCTGAGTATACTCCGTATGCCAACATTCAAATCTCCGTGAAAGACGATGCTGACAAGAGACCCTGCGGCTGCGAAGAATAGAACCAACGCATTGTCCCCTAAGATGCCGTCCCTGGAAACAATCCATGCCACGTCGCTATTGGGGGCCAAGTTTTCTGTACTCTGCAGGAGAATGCTGTGTACAGTAGGTACGTACGACTACGGAGTACACCGTAAGCAAGCCACAGCAGTCTATGTCTATTTAAGTCCTTGAGATGAAGCGTAGCCACCCGCTCCACCGCATCGAAGCACTCCGCGCCTCACTGCCTCCGTCAAACATCTCCAGATGGCCTGAGCGGCGGGTTTTCTCCCTTGAAACAAGTCAAACCACCCAACTCTCGATCAAACACGCTCGAGCCGAGCCTCTCGTAAACCCGAGGGGCCAAATGTCTCCTGTCTCCCCCTGTCTGGCTCCACCGTCGCGAAATGAAGACTAACGCAGGCCAACAGGGAATGGGGCCGGGGGCTGGATCGGCCCCAACCGTACGGGCATTACCACGGAGCATGGCTTGCTATTGATTATTAGTACACAGTATATAGTTCGCCTGGCTCCCTCCAAGGCGCCCGTCCGCTCGTGGGAGGTTGTTTAATTTCCCCCTTTTGGCGCGTGCGGGTCACGGCCACGGACTTCTGCTAAATTGCGAACTAATATATAACGCCCCAAACAGTCCAGATGGTCGCAATGACTGGAAATCCTTCCTCCTCGGCTGTGCTGACCTACAGTTCCAGCATGTACCGATCGCGACAGGACAGCATCTCCAAGGACATGGCCCAGGTGGCAGCTTTTCCGGTGCACGACGGCAGCGACGAGAAGGTAGGCAAGAAAACCCCGAGCGCGAGTGGCATGATCGCTTTGCGAAACACGAAATAACCCTAGGTGGAGACGGCGATGGGTACGATGGGTTATGTGATTCACATTAATCAAACATTTCGTTGCAGATTCCCGTCACCCCCTTTGCGCTTCCGACCGGCCATGAAACATCCACCGATTCAGATCCGTCGCTTGCACGACGTCCTACGCGCCAACCGTCGAAATCGTCCTTCCTCGGCACCGTGCTTCGCAGGGTAAGTTAAAAGGCCGATCGCCAGCTCGCATATTGTCTCTAACGGTTCGCTCGGACCAGCGAAAAACAGTCGGCGAGCAGGATGAACCGCCGGCGCCCCAACAACCTCTGCAAATAGTTCCGGACTTTGAATTGAACCATGAGGACCCCCGGTACCTGAAACCGAGAGCAGTTTCGATGGCGATTAGCCCGGCCGGCAAGACCAAGGCGACACAAAGCATTTTACTGCCCTTCAGCCCCGACAGGAGACCGTTTACATTTGGCCAGGATCATGCGGCAGAGAGCATGCGCGCCTCGTACAAGCGAGAGATTCAGACCAAAGATGCCCGGATCAAGCTCCTCGAGAGCCATCTGGTGAATTTGGCCACGGGGATTTCGGAGATGGACAAGGATCGCAAACGGCTGCAGTCGCAGGCGCGCAGCAGCAGCACCACCAAACCGAAATCAGAGCGCTCGTCGACGACGCTCAGAAAGACGTGGGTGCCCAAGTCAACGCCCCAGGTGCGCGAGGACCTGTCAATGCTGGAACAGCGCATGCGATCGTGGGCCATTAAGAATAGCGTCACCGACATCAGCGACTTAGATCACCTGGACGGCGAAGAGAAGAACATCATCCTCGAGGAACTGGACGGCTTCTGCGCCGAAACTGACTGGAACACGTTGATCCGCGCGACGCCGATCGTGCTGCATCGCATGCCAGCTCTACTCGCCCAGGCAATGTTGTCAAAAGATGTGTTCGCGACGGCATTTATGAACCCGTTCTTCGCTTTCACCGAGGACTCTCCCGACGGGTTACCGACGTCGCGTATGCTTAAAGCAATGTATTCGACCATGCTGGATCGTAAGAACCACCTGCTCGAGAAAATGAGTCCGATATTGACATCAGTTGACTAGTCAATCCCACAGAGGCCCACGTGTGGCGCTCGCAGACACTGCGAGTCCTGTCAGCTCCTCCATCCGCCCAGAACGAGGAGAGTATGCTGGCTCAGCGAGTACGCGAAGTGACGAGCGAGCTGGCGGTGGAATTTCTTAACGGGCCGGTACAAGCACTCCTGCGGACTCCAAGGACCGAGGCCGAGCTGGTCAAACGAAACCAGGAGCTGTATAGTCTGTATCATAGTGCGGGAGCGCTGGCGCTCTCGCTCTGGACGCAGCGGGCGTTTATGAAATTCCACAACCTCCACGGTCTCCAACACTTCCGAACGGGCAACCCGGCCATGACGGCGCATCCGCTGCAGCATCTTAGCGAGGACGACGAGAGACTGGATGGAAAAAGGGTGTTGCTGGTGGTGCAGCCTGCGGTGGTGGCGTACGGGGACGAGGAGGCGCAGAATTACGATATGTGCAAGGTGTGGGCGAAGGGAGTGGTGCTGGTGGATGAAAATGAAGGAAAGAATCGGCAGAACTGGTTTTCATCGCCAGATACAGCATCAGATGGGACAGCGTCCTCATAGTTTCCATAAGAAGTGAATTCAAATATTCAAATATGTGCGACTTTGACGAGCCAGTGATAAGACTGCTTGTCTTGAGATGTTGCGACCTGACCTTCTCCTTTCCTGTGCTCTCCTCTCTTCCCGGTTTTCTCTCCCTGTTGGTCGTACAGGAGATCTACTTGCAGCTCTTGAGCTTGTGGAAGTTTAGTACGCGACCATGGCTCCCGTGCGCCAGGAGATGGCCGCCTACAAAGACGAGATCGACCTGTTGCTCATGAGTAAGCGTCGGTATCATTCTGGTCCTGGACCCTGCGATTCCTTTACTTGCATGTCGCCTCAGAGGTACCCGTGGGTTAATCCTGCTTGATTTGCATATCTATGTCAGAGTTGGTTTCGAATTAGGTCCTTCGGGGGTATAGGATGGACTGGTCGAACTTTGTATCAGTTATGAGTATTAGTATTAGTCTACTAGCTTTCCAAACGACTTTTGTTTTTGAACGTGTTGGATCAATACTACATATAACCAATCATGTATTCCTAATATATCATCCCCTTCAGCAATCACACTTTGGCACATCTGTGTGCTACCACTGACGTCCGCCAGGGAGAAGAAGCGCTGAAAGAAACAGAATTCATATACAACGAGTAAAGCATAAACACACTTTTAGTCAGGTTAGATCAAACTGTAATAAACAGAATGCGTTCCGTTCAAGACCCCTATCATCTGTCATATAGAGCGGCGATCCACAACAACACAGTCAGCTTCACACTCCGGAAACATCCTCCAAACGTCACTCTAGTAGATCTTAATGTTGTCTCAGCGGACGTGTCACTTCCATCACTGGTATTCCTGCCTGATTCTGGAAGGTTCGGTCAAACCAGCTGTAGAGAGCTCTCTGGTCCTGAGGATATAACATTGAATGGTATCTGCTGGTCCTGACGATTGACTCTCTTTTCGAGACTGCCAGCGGTAGCGGCCCCAGTAAAGATATTCAGGAAGTGGTTCTGGACACCCTGACCGCCAGTGATGCCTAGTCTAGTATCAGTCCAGGGATGAGGTATCGAGGGCCAAACCTTGTGGTTCAGACTGAAAATCAAAAAACAAAAAAAAAAAAAAAAACGTCGGCAGAATCCCTGTATTGTATTTGACACTAGCTAATCTGAAAAGGAATCCAGAGTGTGGAGCAATATTGACAATATTGGGTTCAGCAGCTCTGTCCATGTGTCGAGCGAAGATGCTCCATCATCACTTCCGCCAATTTGCCTACGGTGCCAGCTCGTTGCATGTCTGCCACAGACAACTCTATCCTCGCAACTCGTCTCATCCAGTTTCGGACCTCGATTGCCGCAAGTGAGTCGATTACCTGGCTGGCGATTTCGTCGTCGCTCATTTCTTTTTTATCGATGGCCATCATCCGCCACATTGCGCGGCCAATCTCATTCGTAACGACGGCAGCTGTATCCGGGTCATGGAGAACGGATGGGTCTTGGGATACCTTGGTCAAGAGCACACGCATCTCGTCTTCTTCTATTTTCCCCGCTGGTGCCTCCACTGTCGGCAAAGGGATATTTGCAAAGAGTGAAAATCGCGCATCTACTCCCCAAGGCGGCAACGCCGAGCCCTTTTCTGTCACCGGTGGGTTGTATCCAATTCCGACGGCAAGGGGAGAGAGGTGTGATGGCGAAGATGAATCACGGATAGCAAGCTGAATGCCCCGTAGAACGTCTCTCTCACTCAGTATCGGGGCTCTCGAGGTGAGGGCATTATGCATGTATTCCGAAGACCGACTCACTATCCCGACATCCTCAACAGACCCCAGATTGATTACCGAGGCAGCCAGGCCCTGCTGCTGGCGGAACGCGGCGAAGGAGTCTAGGAAAGTGTTGGCCGCGGCGTAGTTAGCCTGTCCTCCGGTTTGCAAAATGCCCACCACGGAGCCAAACAGAACGAAGAAATCGAGAGAAAGCCCTTCAACAGCTTGATGGAGATTCCACACCCCATCAGCCTTAGGGGAAACTCCGGTTAACCACTCTTCATGGCTCATGTGACGGAGGGTGCGGTCCTGGAGAAACATCATCAGCATCAAATCTCACAATAGGATAGGGCTGATTTGAATATAGTAAGTCTACCTTAAGACTCAGAGCCATGTGCATAATACCCGCGAGGCGTTTTCGACATTTGATTACGGCTCGCCTGGCATCCTTAAGGTCTGTGACGTCGCCACTGATGCAGGTCACCTGGCAGCCCTGGGCTTTCAACTCGCGGATAAAGGATCGATGTTGGTCTGACTGTCCGGCTGTACGGGAAAGATATACCAGCTCACGCGCACCGTGTTCGACCATCTAAGTTGATACGGACTGGCCAATACCACCCAGCCCACCGACAAGAAGGTAGGCCGCGTCCGAGGAGAAAATTGGTGAAGGCGTGACTGCATGACACAGCATGTTGGATGCGTCGGATAAGGAGGACATGCGTATGACAACCTTGCCCATGTGCTTGCCAGCTTCCAAATATCGGAACGCTTCCACCACATCAGGAGCATCGAAAACTGTGGCGGGGCTGATTGGCTTGATGAAACCTTGCTGGAGCCATTCGTGGAACAGCGTAAAATTTCTGGCACACCTGTTAACACTCCATGACTAGAGACCAACGTAGCTGGACTCACTCTCGACGAATCTCGGTGTCCTCTTCATGAATGGCCAACATATCTACACCATGAAAAGTGCGGTTCCCAAGGAATGGACTCATGTCAAGCATGCCATGAGTCATAAAATCACGCTTGCCAAGCTCGACCATCTTACCGTACGGGGCAACACACTTCCATGAAGCATGAAGGAGATCCCCGGCAAGAGAATTGAGCACCAAATCAACTCCTTTTCCCTGCGTAGCATGCATAATGTCCGATACGAATGAGCTGTCGTGGGAATGGAAAATGTGGCCGCGAGGCAACCCGAAATTCTCCATGAGATACTGTACTTTCTCTTCATTGCCGACTGTTGCATAGACCTAGATATTCACTCAGTGTCAGCGTTATAGCAACTGGTGTTACTTGAAGAAACTTGCCTCGGCGCCCAACATCTGGCAAATATTGATGGCTGCCATACCAACTCCTCCACATGCAGAATGGATTAAGACAGACTGTTTTAATTTGAGCGGTCAATAAAGATCTTGCTTTTCTAGCCATCTAAAATAAGACATACCTTATCCTTTTGGATCTGTCCAAGCTTGACTAGCGAATGTATTGCAGTCAGATATACCACAGACATTGTTGCCGCATCCTGGAGAGTTAGACCTTGCGGAATCTTCATGCACTGCCGATGATGGATCACCTTCCTTGTGACAAGAAGCCCTCTCTCAAACAGGATAACATGATCGCCGACCTTGTGTTCTGTCACATCCGCACCCACTCGACGGACAACTCCAGTGGCTTCAATTCCGAGCTCCTCCCGCTTTCCTATCATACCCCTCAAGACCATCAAATCCTTGAATTCCCGTGTTAGAGAACATCTCGGGGGCAAATAGGGTATAACTTACCTTGAAGTTCAACCCAACGAAATGAATGTCGACTTCGAGATGTCTCTTTTCTAACCCGTCACTGAGATTTTGGGGAACCCACCGCATCGTGTGCAGCCGCCCAAAAGAACCGATATCAAGCTTGCGCGGAATTTTCGGAGGCGGCACAACTGCCAGTTCCTCGGCAAGTGTGGTCCAGTTGTACCGACCTATATGCACAGCTCCGTTCGCCCAGACAAAGTCATATTCCATAGGGCATCCTGGAAGCGCCTCTTCCCTGCTGACCTGTAGCTTTTCATGTACGTCGACGACTATCGACGCTGCAGCCGAGTCAAAAGTCCCGATCTGGAGGATCGAGATATCCAGCTGCAATTCATGCCTCAGAACGCGGGCCAGACCATGAATGAAACCAAACCGGGGATCGTTGCAGACCAATTGGGTCGCGTTTGTGATCCACAGTATTGCACACCGGCGCGCTTCAATCAGATAATTCTGCAGAGTATTGTAGTCTTGTTCTGTCACACCATCCAGGTATGGGTCTTCGATTTCTAGAAGGGAGATGATCCGCTTGTTCTCTGGGGGTGGTTGATCCAGCGTGGTCCACTCAATGGAGTAGCCTCTGCTTCGGAATTGACCCTCCACATCACTCACCCATCCAGACAGCCCGGTTGTATTTTCCCTAGTCAAAAGCACGACATCCCTTGTTATCGACCATGTCTGGCGAACCTGAGAGAGAATGGTTGCTGAGGCCTGACACGGTGCGGGAGCATCGTAAACCACGAGCTCTGCACCAGTAAACCCTGCTGCGCGAAGCTCTTGATCCCATCTTTCCGGAGAAACGTATGGTCTGTTAGGCCTACCGTCATTCTCCCCCAACCACCAGCCGGGGAGCGTTCCCTGAGAATGCCCCTGTTAGAGATGATATCCTTCTTCGCTCGGATGGGGATAATCATACCATTATGTAATCTGTAACGAGTAGTTCTATAAGTCCCGTTAGCCCTAGGTCGTTGTGAGATGCACATTTCTTATCTAAAGCCTACCTGGGTGGAGTTCATGCAAAAGGAAGCGACCTCGGGGAGCTAGGAGCTTGTGGACATGTTTCAGTGCTTTCTGCAAGCTTGGAGTAGCGTGTAAAACCTATTAGACGGAAAACCGGTTAGCGCTCATTGTTTTCAGTATCAAGGGAGAATAAGCATGGCCCACGTTGTCCGCGATAATAAGGTCAAAACTGTGAAGAGGAAAATCTTGATCCCCTGGATCACGACTGATATCTAGGATCTGATACTCCATGGCAGCTTCCTCTGCAAACTTCTCTTTAGCCTTCGCCATGAATCCCAACGAGATGTCGGTGAAAGTGTAGCTGGAATACATATTGAGTCCTTCCGCTGTTTTCAGATGTGGAAGAGCAAGGGAAGTTGCAAATCCGCTGCCCCCACCAATCTCCAGGACCCGCAATCGCGGGTTCGAATGACACAGGAGGGATAGGAAAGAGCTCCAGTCAGTATGCTGCATTGGAAGCTTGTAATACTCCGCGAGTCGATCATCTTCCAGCAGAATCTCTAGAGGCGTGCACTCTCCACTCATTATTTCCCGACAGCGGTGAAATATCTGCTGCATGCATGTGAGATGAATCGAATAATCCATGATATTGATTGATTCCTCTGTCAAACGAATCATCTCTTGTCGCATGGCCGAGTTCCAATGGGCCCAAGGTGGCAGGGTTGGGTACGGACCCATATCCTGTTCACATCCATGGGCCTGTTGTTGTATCATTTGTTGCAATTGGATAATATGTGGAGCCTCCCATTCAATATCGCGGATCCAGTTAGCCAGCTGGATAAAGTTGACGCTCTTGCATTGAAGGATGTTTTCGGACTCCTCGAGTAACCAATTTCTCCATTTCATCAAATGGGCGCTCTCCGACTCGAGGTGTCGAATTTGCCCTGCTGTCTCAATAATATAAACTAGGCTTATGAAACCAGCAAATCTCATGTGCCTGTCATAATTGGAATCGGCCTGTGGAATGCTCAGTAGGCTTGAGGGGGGTGCCAAATCTAGATCAGGGTTCCACACTAGGCGCAAAGCCAGCCGGCGAGCAGTAGCGTGATCCCCAGAAGATATCCCATCCAGGGCCTATAGCAAGGCCTTCTCAATGACAAGGGCCGGCTTTCCATCGACCATACCGATTGCGTTTCCCGATAGACCATCGCGTATCCCTTCCATTGTCAACGCATCCACGACCACCTCTGGCGCTCCGCTGCCCACGTAGAGGCTTTCAATCATCACCGGAATGTACAGCTTGGTTAAACGATGCATGATACCCCTCGATGCAGCAATTCCCATGAGCTGTAGACACTGGTCGATGATCACGGGATGCTGGGTATATCGACTGTCGTGCACCTCTGACGGGTCGGTTGCGGTGCCTGTCGCTGCGGCCGAGCCGATGGGATCCGTGGAAATATCACGCAAGCCGCAGAATCTGCGGCCGTACTCAAGCCCAAGGCGCCTAGCAGTTTTGTACCACCTCTCGCACGAAACTGAGCGTACATAAGATCGGATGTGCATAGCCATGATCAAGTGGTGGTCATCACGCCCTGATCGCACCTGACCCTGGCAATATTTGATCCACGAAGTGTCATTATAGGCTGAGACAATGAAGGAGTACCACCCCGAAGGGGCGTCATCAGCATACTCTATCGGATAGAGGGTCGTGATGATCTCCGTGGGGACAACAGGATCGATGAGCAAAGGCGCCTTAAAATGTATGTTTCGTATGGAATAACCTGTAAGCCGTGCCTCTGGATGGATTTGTTGCACTGCCTCCCCAGCCATGGCAATATACCCAGCGCCAGGAAAAGTGATTTGCTCTTGCAAGATATGCTGCTCGAGCCAGGGCACCTTTTCGACCTGCAGAACATTTCTCCATGACGGGTGTAAGTCCGTTGCCTCAACAATGCGTGAGCCCAGAAGCTCATGATGGGGCAGCGCGCGGAGCCTCCACTCGCTACTCAGGCGACTCTCGCTCCAATATCGAATGTCATGCTTCCAGGGGTACACGGGTAAGTTGTTCAATGGGGTTTGTCCATCTACAACTGCCGCAAAGTTGACAGGTACACCCGCTACAAACGCGTGGCCTGCGGTGCCAAGTAACTGGGCGCGGGGATTGTCGTCATTCTGAATAAGAGTAGGCATGTAGACCGGGGATTCGGCAGTGCCATGTAAATGTTGAAAGATCTGGCGCAGCGGTGCTCCCAAAGCAGCGTGCGGCCCGACCTCAATGAACACTCGATTGTTGGTCTTCAACGCATCGTCTTGCAATAGGTTGTGCACCGCCTGAGAAAATTGGACCGGACTCTCAAGATTTCGCCGCCAGTAGGAAGCATCGAGTTTATGAGGGTCTGAGATACGGCCGCACGTTACACTCGAAACCATGGGCAGCATGGGATGCGAGCTGTGGCAGATGTATGGAGCAATTGCACTTTCGTACGAAGACCCCACCGCATCCATGTGGTCTATGGTAGGATTTCAACATTAGTTATTCAAATGTGGTAAGCGCAGACTGATATCGACGAGGAAATAGAAAATTGAATACTCACGGGAATGATACGCCACGTTGTGGCGAAGTTTCTTGCAAAATATGTCCGGACTTGCAGCCCTAATTGTGTCCACAGCTTGATTTATGGCTTCTATGTCACCCGAAAGTGTAACACTGGCAGGACTGTTCTCACAGGCCAGTACAAGCCCCTCCTTAAGATAAGGCGTGATATCCTGGCGACCAAGGCCAACAGCTATCATGGCGCCATTTCCATGCAGGGAACTGGCGAGTTTGCCACGATAATATGCAATGATAATCGCTGATCGAGAAGTAATGGCGCCAGCTGCGTACGCAGCAGCGATTTCTCCGCTGGAATGCCCAATGACGGACCCTGGCCAGATATGCCAGGTCGCTAACATGTCTACCAGAGCAACCTGAAGAGCAGTGCAAAGTGGCTGAGTGAATTCTGGTTCATGAATCCGGGACTCATGATTATCCCTACCAAGCTCCTCTTTTGTCACACGTGTTAGTTGAGGTTCACTAAGACTAATTGGAAGTTCAATAGGAAGATGATGAGGATGGGACAACCCACCTTTGAGTGTCCATCTGGGAGGATCTTCTAGATCTTATTGATTTCCCCTGCCACCTAGTCTCGCCCGCATTCTCGAGGCATTCCCAGACAATTTCCATCAGCAAACGTTGTTGGGGATCCATTTCCATGGCTTCCACTGCCGGGATGGAGAAGAATGAAGCATCGAAATAAGCCGGATCCTCCTGCAAAAAGTATCCCGTTGTTGGGCCCTTGGAAGGATCTACAAAGGAACTGGCGTTGAATCGACTGGCGGGGACATCACCGTGGCTGTCGTTCTTGTTCACTAGCATCTCCCAGAATGAGCTGGCAGAGTTAACTCCGCCTGGCAGGCGCATCCCAAAACCTACAATGACAATAGGGTCATCGTGAAAGAGACCGAAATCATCCGACTTTTCGTGGCAAACAGTACGTCGCTGGGAAGACATCTCGATTGATCTGTGGTTGTCCGGTTGCAAGTTTGAAAGGATGTGGAAACAAATGTGAATGGGGAAGGGTCTCAATAATGCTGCTAAGAAACGTAGATCCGGTTATCCTTTTAAGGTTCAGTCTTGCCAAATTGGTTGTTGCATTGCCAGCGAAGCAACTCAAGCCAGCGTGACACGACATCCAGAATAGGCCTGATGCAGCATACTGTATAAGACCGGTGACCATTTGCTCTACCTCGATGGGTACACGCTCGAACCGAGCGGAGCGCTGTGCTAGATTTAGTTGTCGCAATGAGGATTCGAGATTTGACTCTGATGAATGCGGTATAGAGATCACTACTGTCGTTTCAGCTGGAACTGGAATAGAATGTTTATAATGTTCAGCGATTATTGAGGATGTGATACAGAGCTAGGGAGGAAACAAGTTTCATGAGCACTATGATATTTCGGTGAGATGTAGATATGGCCAGGGCTGGCTGTAGCGTCGAGTGGGGAAACTTCGTATAATGAAAGTTTAAGATTTTATAAATTTCTTTATTATACTTTATAAACACAGGTTCATCCTTGTATACAGATAGATTGTTATTAGAGGAAATATACTTGAAAATATGAAGTTCTTGATTAACTTTACTGTTCTAGTACCCCGTATTCCAACAGAGGGCAGATAGAATAAGGACTTTTATTGGAATTGAAGATTCATACTTATAAAATTGTATATCTGCGAGAGGGTTTGAGATACTATGGGCAGCTAGCTTTAAGACGTATATACTTTCTAATCTGAACATGTTGTTGAGAGTTGGTTTCATGGGTTCTATATGGAGGGTTAGCATGGCTTTAGAAAGGTGTGTTCACCATCTGCTACTTTGTTAACGTAGCCTTGCCGCGGCCTCGTGGCCGTTAGAAACGAGGGATGAGCCCTATGTATATTTGTAATGCTTTATAGCAAGGATGCATAGAAGAAAGTAAGAGAGATATTAAGAATCAAACTCCGCATTCACCCACACCGGCATCGTCGTCTTTCTGCGCATCCACCCCCCGAAGTAATGTAGACAGGCAAACACCCCCGTCCCTGCGCCGACTGCGATCAGGGCCTGCGTGGTGAATGTCCAGATCCAGCCGGTGGATGCGTACCAGGGGGATATAAAGAACTATGTAGGCAAGGAGTTTGTCATGTTAGTTTTTGGTTAGGTTGAGGGGGAACTTTTTGTGGAGGGAGTACGGACCGGATTCACAAATGCGCTGAGATTCAATACCACGGCGTAGAATACCACTATGCTGGATGATTGTAGTGGGTAGCAGTCGACGATGTAGGCGCTTGTGATTGTGTTGCCGATTTGGAGACCTGAGGCGACTTTTCCGGAGTGTTAGTGTTAGCTTCTTCTTTCATTTTCCTATCACATCGGTTGGGAGTATATTAATGCGACCCGAACACCCATCCACTCACAGGTCTGGTAAAAAGAAAGTGAGAGCAAGGCAGGAAAGGCAAGAAGACATACACAGAAACAACCCCACCTGCCCAATTACCCAATGCCAACTCCTCTCAACACTGACACCCCAAACAACCAACCCGACACCGCTGACCACGACCGCCGGATACGCCATCCACAGCCTCATCTCCGGCACGCGGATGCCGCCGTTCCTTGCACTCAGTACGCGCATGAGTCGATCGCTCAACCGGCCCGAGAGGAACGCCTCGCTGATCACCGTCCCCAGCAACAGGCCTAGGAACAGCAGGCCCTGGATCACTGGGGGGTGGGACTCGTAGGCGGCTGGCATCATGGTTATTATGGAGAGGATCCACCAGTACCAAGTAAAGGAATAGCCGGTAACGGCGAGGACGATGACGGGGAGGCGGAAGGTGAGGAGGAAGCGGTGGGTTGCGGACCAGGGACGGGGGTGATTGAGGCCGGGGATGGGGCGGAAGTTGAGGATGGGGAGGGTTTGGGTTCGAGGTATGGTCTTTTCTTGGGCTGTTGTTGACGGGGGTGGTGTAGATGTAGATGTAGATGTAGATGTAGGTGGAGAGGATGAGTGAGGTTTCTTATTCTCTTCGAGAGCTGAGAGTATAGACTCGGATGAAGAAGGGTGTGTGAGCATGAGACTGCGAGGATAGAGAGTCTCTGGCATGAAGAAAAGTTCGAGGACGAAGAGTAGTCCGAATAGAATGGCTGTGAACCAGTTAATCCAGGCGGCGCTGACGAGATTGAGGAATCCGCCGACTTCATCACATTAGTCTTATATCCATATACATAGAACGATGTATAGAAAACATACAGGTAGGGCCTAACAGCAAACCCGAATCCAGAGCAAGAACCCAGAACCCCAGTTTCTGACCCCTCTCATAGTCGAAGAACAGATCATTTACTGTCATCAATCAGCATCATTTCAACTTACTAGGATAATCCCAGTCGCTGTATCGTATTACCCACCCACAGCCATGCCCACCGTCGCTCCCGGACTCACCCCCAACCCCTGAAAGAACCTCGCCGCCATATACCCAGCATATTTATCAGCGACTGCAGCGCCGATGCTCGAGACGAAGGAGATGACGGTGCCGACGATGAAGATGATGCGTCGGCCGTAGATATCAGCCAGGGAGGACCAGAGAAGCGGGCCTACAGATAGGCCTAGAGCGGGTATAGCTACGGTCCAATTGACCTGGTCATATGAGATTTCGAATTGGGCTTGGATGGCCGGGAATGAGGGAACGGTGGTGGTAGTGATGTAGGTGAAGAGGAAGTACCTGGTCTTGTCAGAGCGACTGCCAGTTGATGTTGTAAGTTCAAGTAGAGCAAGGGGTGGCAGGTATACTTGAGCATCACGATTCCGAGGATCGAATGTTTTCGCACCCAGGACCAGTTCAATGGATCTAGGGGATCGGATGTGGGCTGTGGATGGATTTTGACATCATTCTCCGTCTGAGGGATATTGACACTGATTCCTTCGACAGGTGCACGCTGCTTTTCGTCGAAAGGAGATGCCATGGTTGGAAAGTATACAAAAAGTGCATACTATACCTGTGTTTCCATTGTTAGAGCCTACTAAAGTACATACAAGTACTATATAAACCAGTCCCTCTTATCAGTAAAGTCTATCACTGAACATGGCAAAAACCAAATGGATGCATATGAGCGGACCCGCGAATCATACGGCATGGCGATATCTTGCTTATCGCCAGCCTCAGGCCTTCTATTAGGGCTTCTCACACAGTATGTCAACTCAACAACCATAACGCGGGGATTGGGGCTGACCAGTCAAAGCATTGCTCTGTTACTGATAAGGGCTAATATTGGTAGATCCTGGTCAATACCGAGTAGAATCATCCCGCAGCTGAGACGTCAAGTTAGGGCTGCCGCTGTCATGTGTGCCATGTAGATGCGACATCAGTCAGTTGTTTTTGTATTGATTATTGCAATGCGATAGCGAGGGTAAACAAGGGATGTACAGTACAATTGATATTACAACAACACCTACCATATGCAGAATGTCGAATGCCAGTCCAGATGATGTATTGAGCCAAACCCAAGCCAACCGATCTCTTTGTTTCATCTGCAGAACCGATCCTTTCCCGAATAGGTTACTATTTGGAGAGACTTGGATCGCTCAGTCCGCTGCATCAGAACTGATAAGAACCCTCGATCTGACCGGTTACATGGTGGCTTGCGTACAGGTTTGTCATGGCTTTATGATTCAATTCCTATCATGTCTGTCAGCATTCTGCCCGTTTAGGTATACAGATGGAGATTCTTTGCTGCGCGCAGCCATGTTGATTAGAGCTACAGGTAGATTCACGGTCCTCGGCCGTCTCCAAGGTTGCTGAACTATGCAGTCATAGACTAGTATATAGATATGTAGATGGCCTGCTATACAGTATACAGTAGCGTTGTTGCAATTCGGTTCCTTCGCTTCAGTTTCTACTATCTTTGCCGCTAGAATGTATGAAAGACTCACTCACAATGCCTCCGACGAACCAACCGAATACACATCTCTCATCCCTAAACCTGCGGACGAGCCCTATGAGCAAGATTGCGACGAGGGCCCTGTCGCAAGGCAGTACCTCAAGGAATTTTGGCATCTGTTGAAGGACTCCATCCCGGTCATTCTGGCGTACACACTCCAGAATAGCCTTCAAACTGTATCGGTTCTCGTCGTCGGACGCTCGTCCGCCGAGAACCTCGCCACTGCGGCCTTCTCGTTGATGTTTGCCATGATCACGGCCTGGATGATTGCTCTCGGAGGAACCACCGCTCTCGATACCCTAGCGTCCTCGTCTTTCACAGGTAGCTCGAACAAGCACGACCTAGGCATCCTGCTGCAGCGGGGGTTCTTTGTCCTCACCCTCTTCTACATCCCTATTGCTATTCTCTGGGCCTGTTCGGAACCGGTTTTCTTGCTCCTCGGCCAGGATCCACAACTTTCCAGACACAGTGCGCGGTTTTTGACCTGCTTGATTCCCGGTGGGTTGGGATACATCTACTTCGAGTTAATGAAGAAGTATCTGCAAGCGCAGGGTAAGACAAACCGGCCCTCCTCGTTTGAACTCACCGCTGAATTTGCCCCTGTAGGTATTATGCGCCCCGGTACATACGTCTTGCTGATTACATCACCTCTCAACGGACTGCTCAATTATCTCTGCTGTTACACCTTCCAGATGGGCCTGTTGGGCGCCCCCCTCGCCACTGGTCTCTCCTACTGGCTCTCATTTGCTCTGTTGGTGCTCTACGCCCGGTTTATTGCCGGCTCCGAATGCTGGGGCGGGTGGTCGCGCGAATCCCTCCAGAACGCCGGCACTTTCGCCCGGCTCGCCATCCTGGGCGTCATCCATGTCGGCACGGAATGGTGGGCCTTCGAGATCGTAGCACTGGCCGCTGGACGCCTAGGAACCATCCCACTCGCCGCGCAGAGCGTTATCATGACCGCCGATCAAGTGCTCAACACGATCCCATTCGGGGTAGGCGTGGCCACGTCGGCACGCGTGGGTAACCTTCTCGGTTCGCGAAACGCCCGCGGGGCTGCTATAGCAGCCAATACGGCGGCGTGGCTCAGCATGGTCCTGGGAGGGGTGGTTCTGGCCGTGCTGATGGGGACGCGGGAGCATTTCGCGCGAATCTTCAACTCCGACGAGCGTGTGGTACGACTGACGGCCGAGGTGTTGCCGTTCGTGGCCCTGTTCCAGATTGCTGACGGCTTGAACGGAAGCTGCGGTGGCAGTCTGCGTGGGATGGGTCGGCAGCATGTGGGTGCCTTGGTCAATCTGGTCAGTTACTACGGCGGCGCGTTGCCCCTTGGCATCTGGTTGGCGTTCCATGGCTGGGGACTGAAGGGCCTCTGGGTGGGACAGTGCATCGCGCTGTATCTGGTGGGGGCGCTGGAATGGACGATTGTGGGCTGGAGCCACTGGGAGAAGGAGGTTGATCGGGCATTCTTTCGGATGGATGAAAGTGAGCGGGTGGGAGTGTAGGCAAGGGGTTGCTAGAGACGGCTTCTCTTTGTAGTGACTGAAATAGGAAGCTGAGAGGAGACGCAGTGTTATCTTGGCTTATGTGCCCCAGACGGAGTGATCAGATGTATTTCCGAGGACAATCCTAAAATGCATGATTTCATTGAATGAAGAGAAGAGACGACAAGAAGGATGACATCAAAAGTTTAGGCCAGAGATAACAAAAGATTAGAGATAAGAGATGAGAGATAAGATAAGCCCGTTTTAGTCTCTCCGGCGGCCTTCCTTTTTGGGCGATGCGTCTCTCCGTCTGTTGCCCCAATCGGGTTTGAGACTCCTTTCTCTGTTTACAACCGTCACGTCTAACCATCAATGTTCATGCTGGGTGTCTATATCCAAATGAAGAAAGTCGTTGGAGACGCTGATGTTTCAATTACTCGGTGGAACATGGAGGTCAACTCTCGCTGGTCCCTCAAAGTCATTTGCAACCACAACTATAAATGAATAGGTCCCATCAATCTGATTGATTTCAGTGCATCTTTCTTCTTCTAGCACAAAGATCAAGTCACTAATCATGATGTTGACTAAAACCACCCTTCTTGCCTTCTTTGCTCTGGCATCTGCTCATAGCAACCTTCAAACCCCATTGTCCGGTCCCCATCAATCCTTATGGTACAATACTCTCCCAGGAGATGGAGGAACACAGGTATGTCTCCTCATCTTGAACGACATCAGCAGCTAATGGCCCAGGCCGACTCTGTCTTCTCCGGTATCTCAACGTTCGGTCGTCTTCCCTATTTCCCATGTCTCTCTAGCGAAGCTGAGAAATACGACATCGCCTTCATAGGTATGTGCATTCTATCGTCTCGTTGCGATCAAACATTAACGTAGCGTGATGACAGGAGCCCCCTTCGACACCGGCACATCCTACCGCCCCGGTGCTCGGTTCGGACCAAGCGGTATCAGACAAGGTTCCCGTCGTCTCAATCTCTAGTATGTCATGTCCCTCAGATGTACGCTCATATGTCGTCTACCAAGGCTCACGCAAATTGGCCTTCAGCGGTGGCTACAATGTCCCGCTCGAAGCGAACCCGTTTACCAGCGATCTGAGGATTCTTGATTGCGGTGATATCCCTGTAACCTCGTATGTCACCTGTTTGTTCGGTGTAATTTTTCTTTGCTAATAAAACAGATATGACAACGCCTGGGCCATCCAGCAGATCGAAGAAGGACACAATAGCGTCCTCATGCGCAAGCCCTTCACCGATGCAGATTCCTATGGCCTATCGAAGGCAGGCAAGACCCTGCCGAGAATCATCACCCTTGGAGGAGACCACACCATCACTTTGCCCCTGCTGCGGAGTATCAACAAGGCGTACGGGCCTGTGACTGTGATTCATTTCGATTCTCACTTGTAAGTCTATCTGCAGTGTCTTGCGTCTATGTCTAATCACTATGGCAGAGATTCCTGGAAACCTAAAGTCTTCGGCGGCTCCCCGAGTAAAGTGGCATCCATCAACCACGGCACCTACTTCTACCACGCCGCGATGGAGGGCCTGCTCAAGAACGACACGAACATCCACGCGGGCATCCGTACCACCCTTTCTGGTCCCTCTGACTACGGGAACGATGGATACTGCGGATTCGAAATAGTCGAAGCCAGAGAGATCGACACTATTGGTAATTCCAGCATAATTCCCCCGTAAAGATACAGCCAGCTAAAAGAAGAACCAGGAACCGACGGTATCATTAAGAAAATTAGAGACAGAGTCGGCACCGAAAACCCGGTGTATCTCTCTATTGATATCGACACACTCGACCCGGCTTGTACGGCTTCCTTCTTTTATCATTCCGATTTTATACTATTCCAAGCCATTCCGAGCTAACTACCCCTGGCCTTCACAGTCGCCCCTGCAACCGGAACCCCCGAGACCGGCGGCTGGTCTACGCGTGAACTTCGAACGATTGTTCGTGGCTTGGACGGACTGAACCTCATCGGCTCCGATATCGTAGAAGTTGCCCCTGCTTACGATACCAATGCTGAACTGTCTACTATGTATGTCTTCTTCCAACGCGGCTGCGCTCTCCCTCCCTCTTCTAATCTGCATTATGAATCGAGTTATTTAATTCCAACCGCTGACCATTTTGTGATTCCAGGGCCGCCGCCGACGTTCTATACGAGATCTTGACAATCATGGTGAAGAAGGGACCGTTGACTGTTCCGGAAAGGACGGATCTGTAGATAATTCATTTTTGTGGATGAGTTGATTACCCACTACATACTATCTACATCCCCAACCGTGACTTGGTATACATCCGTCTGTATTGATGTTTGCGCAGTACCTAGGTAGTAGTGCATGAAGAATAACTATCGAGAAGAATTGTTGACTATCTTATTTCTTTATTTTTATTTCCTAAATATGACCACGAAGAAATATAATTAGTAACTTTGATATACAAGATAGATTAGTCCAAGCTAATCCATCTCAAACCTCTACGTTCACATCTACCTTGGCCTACTTGACCAAGCCAGAAACATCGTCGACAGAATGATATCGCAGACGAACGCAGGTAGTGGGGGTCTAGTATGTAGTATGTAGTATGTAGTATGGAGGAGGTAGGAGGGAGGATGTAGAATGTACGTACATACATGCATAAAAACTGTTTCTTCTATCTATCTATCTGTTAAGAATGGACCTACAGATCCAACTAAGAATAAGGTACATTGATAGAACGCTCCGAACGTCAATCCGACTTTCTGGTATGATATGATATGATATGATATGGTATGATGGTCTAAGAAGTAGCTAAGTGCGAATAGGATAGAAAAAGAGAAAAGGAGAAAGATAAGTCAGAAAGGAACAGGAAAAATAAGTAGGTTAACGCCGTCTGTCTGTTTGCCTGGCTGGTTAACTGGCTGGCTAAGACAAATTCAAGTGCGCGTTTCGAACTGCAGAATTGCAGACCAGACCAATCCACAACCGGACGCCATCGCATAAAGGATCTAAGTTGGCCATCAAACGAACGCCCAAAAAGCAAAGAGATAAGAACAAAAAAAAGACTATAAACAGGCAAAGCAGATTATAAATGCCCATGCAACCGTACCCGATAAAGACAAGTCGTATCATTAGACCCCCAATTCGACTTCATCCTCAACACGACCTTATCCACCCTCACACCAGCGATATCGATCGTTGCGTCGAGGGTGTACTTCTGAACATTATTAGGCGCCTCGGCGTTATAGATCCAACGACCGATGCGATAAAAGGTCGAGCCGAGGAGCGGGTCATCAGAGAAGGCGCTATCAGGCTGATTGCGGTACGCGAAGCGCAGTGGTTCCATGAGGTTTTCGTGCAGAGTGCGGCCGTTCGCGAGGAGGGTGTCGCCCTCGCGCGAGAGGTAGGTGTTCGGGGCGTTGTCACCCTCCAGGAAAACGAACTGCGCCCAGAGTTCCATCTCCTTGGGGGCTCTTTCGGGGTGGACGACGGCGCCGCGGGGCATGTGTTCCACGACGACTTCTTGGGGCACAGCAGGGCGGCCGAGGTCGACGCCGAGTTGCGACATGCCGTCGCGGAGGGCGCTGCACCAGCAGTCGCCGACGTCTTCCCAGGGTAGCAAGGCTGCCAGGGCCGGCGATGAGCGTCCATACTGCATCTGCATCATCCAGGTGTACATTTTCTGGAAATAACCGTTCTTCACGACGTATGTGGGACTGCTCAGGTGGGGGTTGATGATGGCGCCCATGCCGAGCGTGAAGAAATTGGTTCCCGCTAGGTCTTGGTGCTGCGATCCCGGTTTCGATACCCGCTCGATAATCGTGGTGGCCTGCGGGCCTTCGGACTTGATCATTTGCATTTCTTTCGATAGCGACGAGACTTCGTTCCCGAGACGCACGACGTGGTGGGTGAGCATCTTGACGGATTCTGAGCTGTTGGCGTTGAAAGAGAGATCTAATGGGGCGCCAAACGGATAGCGCCAGCCGACGCAGCACGAGGTGTTCATGATGGTGAGGATGGATACGGCGGTCAATAATAAGGCCACAACGGTTCGAAATGCAGTTTTGGGGATCTTGAGTGGCGATTCAACGAAGGGGATGCAAACTTCATAGTGGTGAGAACGCTGCTGCGACGGCGTTGACATGGGAGGAGGCGACATGGTTTGTTGGTATGAGGACCCCCGTTTTGACGAGTTGTGTATTGACGGATCGCGCGAAAGGCTTCGTACGATGCGGCCAGGGATTATGGTTTTTGTAGCGCCCCAAGAGGACTGCGGTTGAGACTCGGGCTGCACAGAAGGTGCGGGCACCGGTTCGGGTTCTTGCACACGTTCTGGCTCTGGTTCTGGCTCTGGCTCTAGGTACGGTTCTGGTTCTGGTGAGGGCTCCGGCTCGGGGTCTGATTGAGGCTTGGGTTTAAGCGGAGGGGCCACTTCAGGGGATCGCGGTTGAGAGAGTGACAGTTGAGTTGTAGGCTCGTCTTCCTCTTCGATGACCTCATTAGCGAATGCAAGGCCTGAAAACCGACGAGGCGGCGCGCTGATATTCCGGCCTTGCAGTTCGTCCCGGAAAGCACCCCCACGCGTTCGTTGCAGGTTATCCTCATGGATGTCGCGCTCGACTGTAAACGAGATGACCGATTCGTTGTCCAGTGAACTCTGAAACTGGGGTGAGCTGAGACCGTTTAGATTGGGAGCCGCGGAACCAAATCGCATCATCGGCGAAGGATACAGCGAATCTGTAGGACGAGCAAAGTTCTGAGTAGGACTGGACACCGTAGAAAGGGTATGGGGAATAGGCGGAGTCGGCGTAGGCGTAGAACCCGACTGCACATCATCCGGAAAGTTAGGGGACTGGGTGGCTTCGCGCAAGCCATCGAAGAGCTGCTGGTCTGGCGTCGGCTCGCGCATCGATCTTCGAACCGGCTCTGGGGTGGGAGACTTAAGTTTGGGTTGCGAACGGGTGTTGGCTCCCGTGGATTCGTTCGCGCGATCCTCAGCTTGCTTCACACCCTCTTCGATGGTTTTGGCGATCTCGGCGAGACCGCGCTTGGGCTGCACGGTCAGCTTGCGCGGCAGAATGGCCGTCGTGGACGAGCCGTAGGCAAAGGAGTTTTTGGCGGGGATGTCCGGCAAGACGGGGTTCGTCGCGGCCGCGTTTAAAATGTAGGGCTGTTTGCCAGTCGGCCGGGCCACCGACGCCCCGGCACGCCGGGTGGAGGTGCGCTTCTTGGGAGGCATTCCCGTTGATACAGGCGGAGTCTTATCCTGCAAGCTAGTAGCAACCAGAAACGTGTGAATGTCTGAGTCCTGTCAGGACGGATTAACTTGGAAACCCCAGCAAAGAATTCACGGATACCTACGTCTTGCAAGGATGCAAACAGCAAATAAGGGCGGGGCTCTAATACAAAGAGAACTTCCGTTTCAGCTTCTCTTCAGACGAATCTGCGATCCCCAGGTTTTGGGCCTCAGGCAGGAATGATACTAGACGGTCTGGCTTGGCGACACGATCGACATGAATCCACGGTGAAGGTGGAAGTGAAATCCAGGATGGATGGACGGAAGCAAAAAGAAGGTCGACACGAGCAAAGGATCTATTTAGATTCTTGCATGTGGGACGTGACAATTGCCTTGCGTCGTTGAAGAGGATTGCAATGGCCTTTGCTCGACCTCGAATGGAGCCCAGGTGAAAGAAAGCAACGGCAACCACGTCGCGACCGCCACGGATTGGGTCCCTTTGTGTTGGCGATGAATGAAAGCACAGTTTGAGAATTGACGTTTCAGATTCTGCTGTGAAAGAAAGCAAGATGGTCACAATTGAATGTCTTCAGACGGACGAGATCCAGTGCGCCTTGTCCGACGAGTACTTCACTCAATTCCTCTGCGCGACAGGGAACACGGCGCGTATAAGACGCGGATGCAGCGATTCAGTAGGCGGGACTTGCGCGCAGCAACCACCGATGGCAAGACGCGACGCAAGAGAGTCTTCACTCGAGCGTCAGGATGAGTCGGAATGCTTTACTCAGCGAGAAGCTCAGGCGCGCCGAAGAGTCTCTGAAAGGAAAGACAGTTTGCTGGGCGAAGTTGACAAGACGGTACGGTAACTGCAGCCGGGCGGGTGATGGGAGATGGCCCGATTGGGCTTAGTCGCGTACCAGCCCGCCATTTACCCCGATCGGGAAGGTGTTTGTCGCTTTTGTTTCTTTTGTCTGGTTTGCCTTTCCTTGTCTTCTGCACTTCGAAGTCTTTGTTTTGGTCTTATCTTGGTGTTCTCCTTGTCTTCTCCTTGTGTCTTTTGAACTTCTATTCTTAACTTAAACTCATATTTCATACAGGCTTCATTTACAGCTGTCCCTCCTTGAACAGCAATCCCTGCGCTTCTATCGTAACTCCAAGTATGAATGATGGATAATGTACAAACAAGGAAATAAAAGAGTCCATAAGCCCATGACCGCGGCCTCATGCAAAATCATCGCGTCTAACAGGTCCAAGCACCGACGATGCCGTCCTTGCGGCCTTCGACGAGGAATCCTTCCTTGAGTCGCACGTGATCGACCGTCGCGTGAGACGGTCCCGTGTCGTCGGCGCCCACGCCGGCACCGCAATCCCAGTGCTGCCCGTCGGCCTTGTCGTACACCTTCACCACATTCTCGCCGGCCGCCGCAACGATGCGTTTGGAGTCGAACATCATGCTGGTGATGGGGTGGTCGTAGGCGTAGGCGTCGTAGATCGATCCGGTTCGGAGATCCCAGATCTAGATGACGTCAGTCTGCAGGGAACAATCGTAAAGAAAAGAGATAGCAAGCAAAACATACCCTGATACTTCGGTCCGAGCTTCCCGTCACCAGGTGGACGTCGTCAAACTGCAAGCACGTAACGGGGCCGGTATGGCCCACGAGACTCCGATGCACCTGTCCGCTCCGCAGATCCCACAGGCGAACCATTCCGTCGGCCGTACCACACGCCAGCGCCGCGTCGAAGCATTGAACGGCTCCCACAAAGTCCGCGGATGCATCGGGAACTCGGCCGGTCGGTCGCCACTGGGTATCTCCTCCCAGCGAGTCCGCCTGGGCCGCCGCCCATAGGACGTCGAGTGTTTGAACGCATCGGCCCTTGGTCAAGTCCCATTGCCGCAGCGTCTTATCCGCAGAACCCGAGATCAACGTGTTTCCGCGGAAGTGGAGGGCAGTCACCTCGTCGACGTGCGCGTCCAGCGAGAACACATGGCAATCCTCCAGGGTGGTGGAGTGCGATGCTTGGGAGGCGCCGTCGTCATCCTCGTCATCGTCACCCCGGTTCAGACGGTTATTACGAGGCACGGACCGAGCGCGACTCAGATCCCAGAGCTTGACAGATGCATCCATAGAGCCCGTAGCGACGATATTATCCTCGAGCTGTAGACACCGAACTGAGGCGTTGTGTCCCTCCAAAAATCCGGTGCATCGGCCAACGTTGAGGTCCCAAACCCGTACGGTATCGTCTAGGGCTGCGCTGATCATAGTACCAAACGGATAATCGAAATCAATGGCCGTGACCATGTCGGAGTGTGCCGGCATTTCTTTGATCAGCGACCCGGGGGCGAAGTGTTCGTGCAGAATTGGCATTGATCGTTTCCCTGGTGGAACAATCAGTGATTTGCTTGTCATGTAAGCACGCGCAGAAACATACGTATGGATCTCTGTTTTACACTCTTTGGCGAAGGGATCTTCTGGTAGATCGATTCCGACATAAACGATGCATCCATCGCCGGGTCTTCCGAGGCAACAGAGCCCTCGTTCCCTTCCACAGAAGCCGGGGTCACCGGTTGTGCCGGCGTTTCGGGCGGTTCCTCTTGGGTATCTTCGAGCTTATTCTCGATCTCGGTCACTAAGGCCACGGTCAGAACATTATTGCGAGCACGCCCCTGCTATGAGCAGAGGCAAGAAAGCTGTGCAACCCACATTCATGTTCCAGCTCCGCCTCCTCCATCTCCAACCCGGCCAAACGATCCAGAACGATCTTGCGCATATTATGGAGGTTCGCGATCTTGTTGTCGATCTCATGGATCTCCGAGCTACACATATTCTTGCGCACACCCATCAGATCCATGCGTCGCGTCAACAGCTCGCGCTCCTTCTTCAAGTCGCCCGGAGCGGAGGGCAAAGCCGCCCGGTCGCCGCCATCCTTCAGCAGCTTTTTCCCCTTCGAAGAGCGCCGTCGATGCGATTTGCAGTATTCCTGGTCGTCCTGCGAGGCCTGGAAGCCCTGGAAAAGGGAGTAGGAGCTGGCGTCGTCGGGGATGTTCGCGAGGAGGTCGTCGGGGAGGGAGGAGATGGCACGCGACTGGATTTCGGAGGTCGACAGCTTGGAGCGGACGAGGTCGGTCGGGGTGGTTTGGGTCAGGGAGAAGACTTTGCGCTGGCTGGTCGGTCGTCGGAGCTCGCGCTGGATGTCGGCCATGGCATTGTGGTAGTGACCGCCGCTGGAGGACTCGCCGTTGGGGCCCATCAAGTGGCCGGCGGTTGTGGTGACTTTCCGGCCGAAAGCTTCGATATGTCGGGTCTGTGGGAGGAAGAAGAGGGAAGATCAGCGAGTTTCTGGGTTTCTGGGGTGGAGGTATTCTTGGGAAGGCGAGTGTAAATTGAAAAGAAGCAGTGTGAAGCTTGAATCGCCAAGCATGAGGGCAAAGAAGAAAAAAAGAAGCTCATCAAGGCCTTACCGTCAGGCCGGTCCCCAGAAGACCGTCTTGTTCGACAATGTCCGACAGACCAGAAGGGGACTCATCGCGGCGGTGTCTGTCCATGAGAGCAGAAGAGCGAGATGAGGCCTTAGACGCCCATACGTGGTCCGGGGGATGGAGAGGGGGAGACGAGAGATGGTGGCTTTTCTTGGGGAGGAGGGAGAGAATTGATCTTGCGGGAAGGTCGACTTTTGGGCTGGAGCAGGGAAGAAGACGTAAGGTTTCGCTGGCATTACCGCCGTCACATTACCGAGGATAAGAGGCAGCGTCAATAGAGGAGGATGCAAGGGAACTACGTATGGGAATTTCTCGATCAGAAAAAGAAAAAGGGAATGTTAAACACTGACCTTTATACTATTCTTTTGTGGTCAACTGACTCTCTCATGCCTCATCCCCAGTCATGCTCTCATTATATTGTTGGTACATACCTGCCTATACTCCTACCTTAGTATTAATACCGGCATTCACCTGACCTCCGCCATCGGTAACTTACCAGCGGTATCCAGCGGTATCAACTTACTTCGTGGGAGTATGTGACTGACTTGCCCTCTGCAGTTGATGTACGCCCAGAGATGACGCCGTATACAAATCGACCAGTATGACTCAATTCCCCAGATGGAGACAACCCCGTCCCCTCGTTCAAAAAAAAAAAAAAAAAAAAAAAGAAGGCGGTCTCGATCCGACCAACATATTCTCCGGAACGAGCAGCACGACTCAATCAATTCAAATCATTCCAGAGATCGGCGGGTTAGCGCTTTTCCCTGACCAGTGGTTCTCTCTTTACATAACGAGCCCACTCCGTCCGGAGAACAAGAGCCAAAGTCAGAAGTTGGAGCCAAACTTTTGAGGCCAAATCTTCTCCTGCAGCTCCCAACGATCTCCAAAATCCTATTTAGTTCTTCTCTCTATCCTCCCCCCCTCCCTTTTTATTCTTTTTACAGTTCCTCCCAGCAGTGAAAGAATTACCCCTGCAGTTGTATACAGCATTACAACCCCAGTCCAACCTTTCCCACAGGAGTCCGTACAACATGGACACCGCCATTGATCTCTCAAACGCCTCCAAGGCCTTGGATCTGGCCAATATTCGCTTCCAATTGATGTATGTTCACCTCGCCTATGTCTGAACTTCTTCCTACAACCATATCTCCGGTGGCTTGAAACCCAACCACTCAATTCACGATCTACAGTAAACAAATGAACTAAACTAACCAAAATCCCACCTCCCCCTTCCTTCCGCGGGGTCGCGGGGGGAGGGTGGCACATCCCCTCTACACAGTCGCCTCGAAGACACCATCACCTTCCACCTAATCGAGCGGGTGCAATTCCCACTCAACAAGCCGATCTACGTGCGCGACGGCGTCAAGATCCCCAACAGCGACCTCACCCTGCTCGACTACCTTCTCCGCGAACAAGAGCGCATCCAGTCGCGCGTCCGCCGCTACCAGTCCCCCGACGAATATCCCTTCTTCCCGGAGGCGCTGGAAACGCCCATCCTCGCGCCGCTGCAGTACCCGCAGATCCTGCACGCCAACACCGTCAACGTCAACGAGACCATCAAGACGCGGTACATCAACGACATCCTCCCCGCGGTGTGTCCGGGGTTCGGGCGCGCCGACCGCGGCGAGACGCAGGAGAATTATGGCTCGGCGGCGACGTGCGACGTGAACTGTTTGCAGGCGCTGTCGCGACGCATTCACTTTGGGAAGTTTGTGGCCGAGTCGAAGTTCCAGAAGGAGCCGGAGCGGTTTGTCAAGATGATTAAGGAGAATGATCGGAAGGGGATCGATGATGCAATTACGGATGCCAAGGTCGAGCAGAAGGTTCTCGAGCGGTTGGCGCTGAAGGCCAGGACGTATGGCACTGATCCCGCGTTTCAGACGGAGGCGCCGAAGATTCATGTTGATGCTGTGGTGGCTATGTATAAGGTATCTCCCTCTCTCCCTCTCTCTCCCTCTCTCTTCTTTTCCCCCTCTGTCTCGTTTTGTCTTCGTATCTGTTTATGTTTGGTGCTGACCTGTCTAGGAATATGTCATCCCCTTGACCAAGGTCGTCGAAGTCGACTACCTCATGCAGCGCTTGAAGGGCACCCAATGGGAGTAAATGCGGGGATAGACTTTTATGACGGTAATGCACGATTATTCTAGATGTCACGATTGTAAAAACAGAAAAAGACCAAATAGAAGACACGGGACAACCGGGAATAGAATCATAAATGGGAATTGGACCTCCCTCAGGCACCCGACGCTATACATCATAAGTCATGATAAATACCCTGTCCGAACATGTCATAATATTGTTTTAAAATTGTTGATAGATCTATCCATCCCCAAATCTATACTGGCGGCTTCAAATAATCAATCATATCCTTAACCGCGCCCTCCAACTTTCCCCCCTCAATCAACATCAAGCTCCCCTTCGTCCGAATGCCCAGCTCCTGGAACGCGCGCTTCGAATCCGAATGTCCGTCATCATGCTTGTGTGTATAATCAATCGACCCGGAACAGAGGGCATGACGCTCCAGGACCTCATCTTCGGGGTGGAAGAAGAACCGCTCCGCCTCGCCAGCCTTCTTCTTCTTCTTCTGCGGTCGCGAATCCTCCATGTCCAGCTTCGACTCGACCTCCTCGTACGTCTTCGACACGATCAGGTAGTGCGAGAAGTTGTACGGCTCTTTCTCCTCCAACGCCCAGGCGATTTCCTCCTGCAGCATCGTGTACATGGGCGGCACGACCTCCGAGGGCATGTTGATGAGGCGCTCGGTGAGGATCAGGCCGATGGGCGGAGGCGGGGTCTGCGAGAGGAGGGTGGCGAGAGGAGCGAGGGAGGGGTTTGTAGAGGCTTTGCGGTGGAGGTAGGTTGTTAGGTCTTTGATGACGGGGGTGTCCTATTGCGGAGCGGATTGTTAGTCACTGTACCACAAACACGAGGTCCAGCGAGCAAGACAAGGCGCAGATGAGAGCGGGGATACCTTATGTTCCTGCAAGTTCAGCACACTCAAAAAAGCATAGGGATCCGACTCATTGCCATCGACCTTAACAGTCGAGCCCAGTAACGGCTGCGACAGAATCAAGTCCGATAGCGCGGACATGTCGAAGATCTGGGCATCGTTGTCGAAGAGCTGGCGCAGGAGGTTCTTGAGGCCGTGGAAATCCACCGCCGGTTGGGGATCGAACCATTCGAATTCCACATTAACCATGTCAATGTCCTAGATTGCGCCGTCAGTTCATCACTCACTCAACTACCTAATGCGGCGGGGAAATGAAAAAGTTAGAACACACACCTCGTCGGACTCGTCGCCGCCCACGGTCGGGTCGGTGCCGGCCATATCGACGTCGCCGTCTTTGAGTTGCTTGCGTTTAACCATTGTGTGAGAGATTGGGGTATTTGGTGGGATTGACGGATAGAAAGTGAGTTGTTGAACTGGTTGCAGTTGGATTTCTTCGTCGGCGGGCAGGAAAAGTTGCTCGGCGGACTAACCGCTTTTGAACGTCCCCGCGGAGTTTATTGAAGTATGGAATTGGATGGGAGGGAATGGGACAACTACGAGAACACCCGGTGCCAACACTTTTTTTTTCACACTACAGAGCAATAGGTAAAAGGTCGTATTTCTATGACCTCAAAGTGATTAGTCGTTGGACTACGCCAAGATAGCCTCTTTCATCCTTAACTTGAGCTGTCATTCCTGATATATATTGATTGAAGTCCGGATACAATATTTTGCACATGAAGCTCTTGAAGACTCCAACCAAGACCTCAATAAAAGACAAGTTCATCCCAGCATGACATTCTCAAACAACTGAAACAGACACTATGCCTTTCACAACAGCCCAACAAACCCCATTCCCATCCCCAAAGACCCACCAACAAGCCCTTCAAAGATCCTCATCATGATAAGCCTCTTCATGATACGCCTCTGCATGATGATGACGACAGACTCCTCGATGATGATGACCATGGGTAGCACAGAACAAGCCCCTACAGCAACGAGGATGACCAGGTCTCCTGTCACAGTGATGGTGGAGTCTGATGCAACGTCCTGAATTCGGGTTAGAACAACGCAACCCACTTATGGATTAGAGTAAGGAAGTTAACATACTCGGTTGCTCGAAGACCTCGGTGATGCGGAGGACGTAGTCCTGATAGTCCTGATTCTCGAGATCAGTGTCGAGATCGGTTAGGGCTGGGACTGCTGGTGCCGCCAGACCGAGGAGGGGGAGTTGGAGGAGGGCAGCGAGATAGAGGAGCTTCATGTTGATTTGGATTTGGATAGAAATGAGATATGGGATAGATCTTGTTGTGGGGTACTAGTTGAGCCTGTATAGCTGAGTGGTTTTCGAATCTGGGATTGAGAAGCTGGATAGGGAGGAGGAAGGGGTTACTTATACCCTTTATCGGGATATCGAGAGTATAGGAGGGGATGGGGAATGCAGACATAGTCAGATGAGACAGCCCTGAATGCTCATGGTTGGATATCGGGTGCATGCAATAAGAGTCACTCTCATTTTGAATCCATCTGAGACTGTTTCATTTGATCAGAATGCTTATACATTATTTGGCGAATGATAGAAGGAACAAAGGTTGGAAAACTACCCATGTTGGGGAACTTCATGAAAGAGACTAGGAGGTGTAACGGACTGTTGCATGAATGGCATATTGATGATGCTAGTATTACAACTCAAGTCTGAATACAAAGCCATGAAAAGACCTGTAGTGCGTTATTGTGTCTGTCAGCCAGCAACTCATAGATGCAAGTATTGTCAACGGTGAAGCCGTTTGGTCGACTGTTCGTATAGAAGTAGTCATCAGATCTCATCCACCAACCCCATTTCTCTCATTACGCAATCGAATAGGCCATAAGGAGCTTTGAGAATCGTGATGCACGGATTTTGTGGAGTTTCTCTGAGATACGGATTGTCTGTTAGGCCGTGCCTGTGGCCTTACCAGCGCTGCTTGCCCGCGAGTATCATTGCTCCAGGAGACTTGACCAGCCTACTGGGAGACAGGAGCAGAACGTGTAGAGCCACTGAGAAAGAGTTTTATTTGAATCTCTTGTCAGATCTACCTTGTTTGCACGTTCGCTGGCCGAGTCTGTTGATGTTACCCTCGGGGGATCAAAGCTGACCAAATTACATGCAAAGCTGTCCCAGAGATCATGGTGCTAGTTGATGTTTATCATGGAATATACCTCATTTCATCAAATAATGCCAATAATGCGTAGAGAGAATAACACAACCGGCTAATCCGCACTTTTATCTATATAACACTTACCAGAAACCTAGCATATGCACCACACACATGTAGAGAGTTAAACATCATCCTCGACCTGCTCAACAGTCGGGACCTTATCCAACTTCCCCCCAAAGAACTCCGCCACCAACTGCACAGCATCCCAAACGATCTGCACATCCTCCTTACACACCCCCAAGCGCCTCGTCCCCCGAATATGCCAATGAGTCTCTAGCTTCAAATTCTGGCTCATGATCGCCGGGAGCACCACCATCTGCGTATCCAAATCATCCAGAGCGTGCCGATCCGACAGGAACAACCCATAAGTAATCTCCTTCGACAGCCACGCAAAGTCCTGATGCGCTGCAAACAAGTCCAACGTGCCCGACGTGTTCCTCGCATACAGACGCTCCATCCAGGCCGTGCCGCGATCATGATTCGCCTGATCGCATTGCCAGTCCTCGCGCGAGAAACTGTAATCTCTATCTTCGGGCCGCTCGAGCTTGGCGATGGCCAGAATGGCCTCGATGGGCTTGCAGACGCCGACGATGATGACGGATTTGAAGAGCGCTTCGCGCAGACGGCGGATGAGGGCCTGACGGGCGGGCGCGGTGCGGTACGGTTCCTGGTTGATGAGATAGAGGTAGAGTTGGTCTGCGCGTTCGGGGTCCGGCCCCGCGACGATGGTGGAGATGGCTAGGATGTACCATTTCTCGGCGGGGAGGGTCGAGGTGGTGCCTTGGAAGCGGGATTCGAGGGATTCGAAGAGCTGCTGGAAGCGTGGCTCGATGACGGGGGCGCTGGCGGGGATGGCGCTCGTGGTGGACATACTGTGGGTGTGCGATTTCAAGGTGTGGTGAGTAATTTGGGATTGACGTAAAGGTAGAGGGTGTGAGTAGGTGGTGGTGGTGAGGAATTGACGTGGATATGCAGGTGGTTTTAGCCTCCGATTACGGACATCGCGGAGAGCCGCATGGAGATGGCGCATTTGTATAGGATTTCTAGCCATTGGGAATCGAATTGGTTCATGAGAACATCAAATATCTTTCGCAAACATGTCTGTTTCCCGATGTGTCTGGACAAGTACAGATCACAGATCACAGTTGCGGCCCGCGACACTAACCTCGTTGAGTGCCAACTGTATAGCCATCTTCACCATTTACTGCATCCAACAATCTCAACCTCACCGAAACCAAATCGACCGATCGAGACACACTCCACTCTGATTATCTTTAAAAAGGAAGAGTCCCTAGCATTCCATAACCCTCCACCCCACCATAACCTCATGCTTTTCATCATACCCAGACCTTGTTCGCTGCGACCCACTATGATCTCAGCGACTCGGCCATGACATCACATCCGCCTCTGAGATGGTAGTATAAGTATGGCTCTCCTGGTCGACCATTCACCCCTCTTCATCAGATTCTTTTCAACTCCTCTCATCGTCAACTCTCTTCTACTATCAATCTTCTTCTTTTCCACCAACTCAAAACAACACATTTCCAAACAATATGACTGGAACTCAGGGCCAATCCTCCGTTGGTAGCGGCAACCTCTACGTCGACGGTGACCAGCGCACCGCTCCCCAGTCCGAGCAGGGCCGTCCCGCCTACAAGCAGGGTCAGCCTGGAAGCCACAAGAACCTTGACTCGAGTAGGTTCTCCCCGACCTTAACCTTCCCTAACACCCCTTCCCACATACCTCATCACGAGCGATGAACCCACTAACAGGTGTTTACAGAGGACGAACGCTCCATCGCCAACAAGCTCGCCTCGCAAGAAGGCAAGCCCGACCCCGGCAGCTACAAGAACGGCGTCTACGACCCCGAGGCCGAGCTCAGCAAGAAGAACCCCACGCAGCCCGCCGTGAACCACGGCAACGAACCCTCCAAGGGGGCCAAGATCGACCGCGAGTTGCAGCTCGAGGATGAGCAGCGCTTGAAGGAGAAGGGTATCAAGAAATAAATCAATCATACATGACACATCCCGGTGATGAGATATGATTTCTGATTTGTTTGGGTTCTGTTTTCAATTTCGGTTTCGGGGCATTGTTTGAGCACATGTATTATTAGCTACCTGACTATTGGGAATGAAACCACGAGTCCATTGACTGTTTGATGAGATGTTTCGATTCAATTGTAAGTGGGTTTGAACAGAGAAATGTAAATTGGTTGGTTGGTCTATGTCCGAATTATAAGTCCTATACAAATTTCAAAACAAAAAAGAATATATGTTCGGGTAACCTTATGTTCCAGGTCGTTGTCTCGTAATCGGCATGCAGATCATGCACTGGAGGCAGCAGGGCCCAGTGTTGGTGGCATCCACTGTACAGGTTCGTACACCAGCTTTTCAACGTTCAGGTGTGTTGGTGGGGTGCCTCGGGTGGTAGGGTTGGTTGATTTTGGTCCAGTCGGTTCATGACGTCAAAGAGTCAAGGTGATCAACCCTCTTCGAAGAACTTGGGATCATTGTCATGGGGCTCTGCAAAAACATTATGCCAGTAGCCGACGACATTCTCGCACGTCTCGGGCTTGTTGGCCCACGTCTTGAATTCGATCTCGGGGTTGCAGCTGACCCATTTGATCTCCTCCCAGTAGGCGCGCTCGGCGTCGGACCCAAACCGCTTCAGCGCATCTTCCGGCACGATCCAGGCACGGCCGTCTGTGCCGTCCGGGCGCAAGGTGGGAGTCGTCTCCCACTTGTTGCCGAAGACGTTCTCCGCGGGATTGAATTTGGGGTAGTTGGCGTGGATAAAGAACACGCGCGGCGGGCGGTCCACCGAGGGATCCTTCACTCGCCATTTGCCCTGGCTGGTCATCGCGAAGTCGGCGATCGGGTCCGACTGCGCCATGGCCGAGCCGGCAATGCCGCCCTCTTCCTTCGGGTGTCCGATGGCCTGGACGCGCTCGCTGACGGCGTAGAACGGCTCACCGACCGCGGATGCGGCCTGCAGGAAGGTTTCCTTGTCACCCTCGCCGGGGGCGCCCTGGGACAGAAGGCGGAAGTAGTGCGAAGGTCCGTAGTAGTTATAATAGGCGGCTAGTAGCAGCGTACGGTAATGTGTCTTTTTCGATATGAGGATCTCACCGGTTTCCGAGGACTGTCGCTCCGACATGGGCGGCATTTGCTGCCGGGAGATGTTATAGTAGAGAGGCGAGACTGTGGACGTCCAGAAGTCGGGCCAGACGACCATGCCGGTGGATTGGAACGGCTCGTGGTTGAGCAAGATCTCGGGCTTGTCTAGCGGGAAGCAATCGGCATCCATCCAAACGACCTCCTCGAAGGACGAGAACAGAATCGCAAAGACCTTGAGCTGGTAGTGTTCGATAGCGTCCGTGCCGACGACATCCGAAAGAACCAAACACCGCGCGTCCATCTCGGGAAGCAGATCCTCGCAGATCTTCTTCTCATATTCATTCTTATCCTTCACATAAACCTCCACGGGCAAAGTGGACCCGGTGCGGCGCAGCATGCGTAGCGACGACAGAAAGACCGGAAGGTAAGAGCCGCCCGCCGTCGACACAATACCGCGGGTCCCCGGGGAATGGACCGGGCGCAATTTCTTCGAATCGGTGATATTCTGGATGTAGCTTGCATGGGCCTCCTCCAAGATTGTCAAATCATTATCTCCAACGAGCTCGACGAGGTCCGGTCGGGGTTCGGTCGTGGTGGCATTGTAACCGATGGCGCCGACGGGGTTCAGCAGATTGGGAGTGGCACATTTTGGTTCGTGCGTCTCGAGGATCGGTCTGAGGACTTTCCAAAATACATGCTGCCGTTCGGTGAGGGGGACTTCGAAGGCCGTGCTGGGGACGACGGAGGCTGGACTTGGAGTGGGGGTCCAGTTGAAATAGATGGTGCAAATGAGGATCAATGCGCCAGCAATGGAGAGGATGGTCCTCAACCTGCCCGGACGTAGAACCGGCATGGCAGGATTATTGGCGGATTCTTTGTCGGGGGCCTGGATTCAGGGTCTGGAGAAAAATTTTTTTTACAGAGCTAAGGCAATGCGGATGTTAAGCTGCCGGCAGAGGAAGATCTGTGTTTGTTATTGGCTCGGGTGCGCCGGACAAGATGCATGAAGTTTCGATATCAGGTTGGACGAGAGTGACCACGCGAGAATCTAGTCCGATCGAGAAAGTCAGAAAAGTATCAGAGACTCAGCAGCATGGCAGGCAGGGCCTGGGAGTGATGCGTAGGAAATCAGAAGCAAGACTCAGGAGACGCTTTCCGCGCGAGGCCTGCCCAGAGCGACGATCCCAGAAGCCAAGAGACCAATGACCGGGGAGTGATAAGCAGCGGTCCCTATGGTCCCTGTGGTTGAGTAGAACAAGAAATACTCAGTGCAGATATTATAGATGATCGTAAGACTGTAGAACCAAGAGTGAGAAGCTCGACAGGAATGTTCTGGACTGCCTGAGGTCATCATCTCGTCGTCATCTCATCTTTTCGCTGAATTGGCACCCGGCAGAATCTGACCGCTTCTATATTTAGTCATCTGCAAGGACCTTCAACCATAACTAGTAATCATACTGAGGTCTGTCTCCTTGGCTCGCACTTCTCTTCCGGAAGGGAGATGGAAGGAAAGCGCCACTGACGAGGGCGATCCTTTCTATGATCGAACGTACCAAAGAAATCCATGCCCCCCCGGCTCATTACCATTAACCAAAACAGGATATACTCGGACATAATCGGCCGGCGAGGAGGGTTTCAAGGTATAGCTTCGAGACTAGAGAGTTAGAGACACATGGTGGACCGTGGAGCAGAAGCAAACTTTCGCTAGCTCGCCCATCATCCCCAGCAATTCTCCAATCCCCATGGCGCAATGAGGACGTTGATCCAGGCCGACCATCCCTGGATGAACAGGTTACCGGGACAGGTACCTGGATGTGGCTTCACCCGTCGCAGCCTCCGAAGTACCGATGGGGCGGCGGCGTTAGTTCCCGCCATTTGGTCCAATGGCCGGCCTCAGGTTTCAGAGGCAATTTGCTTCCCACAATTAACCTCGACTACCAACTAGTAAGTTTGAGACGACCCATCGTGCTGGTCATTATGAGTCTGCCTGGCACGGAGGCGCGAAAATTATGGGACGAAAAGGAGTGGAAAGCCTTCGGTGGACCGAAGAAAAGGAGACCGGTCAGGTCCACTGATGGGAGAAGTAGAAAGTCAACAAGGGGCATCGTGACGAGGACGGAGTACAGAGTAACTAGATGCACCGTTAACAGCTAAAAGTAAACAGGCGGACTGAGCAAAAGTACCGGTGTGTTGGGATGCACAACGGCGAGTCAACTACAGAGTCAACAAGTCTAAAAGTCGGCTGACGCCGGGCGACACGTGCTCAACGGGAGGATTTCCCGTGATCTCGGAATTCCTCTCTCTCTCTCTTTTGCTTCGCTCTCTTTCCCCCTTCTTTCCCTCTCGGCCTCTCCGTCTTTCTCCTCGGAATCCCATCGGAATTAATCCACTATCCACAACGCGCTATCCACTCGGACCATGATCTCTCCTTCTCCGCCGGCCAGACTTCAAGCCAAGTCTGGTTCATGCTCGGGTGGATTCCTTGTCCACCGCACCGGTTGGCTATCAATTCCCTCCGGTTCTGCTGAATAAAACCGATTTATATTAAACGGGCGGGACATGCCGCAAGGATCGTCGCTTATCGTGCTCTCTCCAACTCGCGTGTTATGTTAGCACCAAACGGACTTCGATCGCTCACCTGTGATTTGACCATTCCTTAAAACTACTCTACTTCATCGTCACATCCAGCCTTTCCCCCCCTCTTTTCTCTTTCTCTTCTGTTTCCTTTTCCCCTCACCACCACTTTATCGTTCCTTGTCTCCTCCGTCCATTCCTCATTTCTACTCCTTGCAGCTGCCGACTCCATCCTTCCACTATCAATGCGACCCCGCAGCGCCGGTCAGCTCTCCGCATTTCTGGCTTGTGACCATCTGTACGCCTTCGGATAACATTCCGACCATGCCTGACACTGACCGGAACATGGCACCAACCACCAAAGCACCAACCCGCAAACCACCATCGGGGTCGGAAAAAGCCCCTCGGAAAAGAAGAAAGCGAACGGTGGTCAGCGGCGCCGCCGATGATTGTTTCACTTGTGCCCGGGAAGGCACTAAATGCGACCGTCGGCGGCCGTACTGCTCCCAGTGCCTCACTCTTGGTCGTGAGTGTTCAGGCTACAAAACCACGCTGACCTGGGGAGTCGGCGTCGCAAGCCGGGGAAAGCTCCGGGGCTTGTCACTACCTGTAACGGGATCCCAGCCAGCCTCAAACTCGCCAAAATCTCGTCGCTCGGCTGGCTCCCAAAGGCAATCTGACAACTCGGAGTTCCCGACAGCGACAACGACAGCCTCCCCCTCCTCCGAAGGATTCTCCTCAATCGCCACTCCGACAGTGCCCTGGCCCCAACAAGAACAGCAATCATCCCCACGATCCGATGTCATCAGCGATACAACGGTGTCTACGGGGTTGCCTGAAAGCCAGCCTTGGCCTGGATCATCTACTCCATATATTTCGGGTCACCAGTTGTGGAACAAACCATACTACCAGCAAGTGGGAACCGCACAAGATGTGATAAAATCACAGATCCCGCCCTCTATGATGGGCATGTTGCCGACACAGATGCACACAACACCAGAGATGTCGCACTGGCCTCCAGCAACACAGGCTTCAGAAACACAGGAAACGAAAGCGACCCGTGAAGAGTTGGAAAGGCAAACGAACCGTGAAAGTCCTTCGTGGATCAGCACCTCCCATTCGCCGTCATTTTCACAGCTGCTCCTAGCACGCTCTGTTGGGCGCACGCCGCGGCTGCAATATTTGATCAGTTACTACGCCGAGGTTATTGCCCCCATGATTGTCGCCTTCGATAGCCCTACAAACCCCTTTCGCACTCATGTCCTGCGGCTAGCACAGGAGAGCACATCTCTGCAAGAAGCGATTGCCACTCTGTCGACAAGCAACCTACGACAGCGACGCGAGCGACGAATGATGTCTACCGAAAGGACCCTGCCTGCTCGCATGTCATCCCTGGCCCTTCGGGCATTGACCGACGAAACTTTAGGGGTTCAGTATGGCACGTCCACTCCGGTGGGACCCGCACAGGAAGAACAATATCATCGGTGTATGGCGGTAAAAGCATTGAATATGGAACTGGCCGACCCGCATCAGAGACTCTCTGACTCGGTGCTCGCCACACTTCTGATTCTTTGCTTATTCCATGTTTGCGACACGGGAGTTGCTCAGTTCAAAACCCAGTTCGCCGGGGTGACAAAATTGTTGGCCATTAGGTTGCGTGCCTCTCCTACAGTGTCGGAGGAACTAAAATGGTTCATTCGGATGTTCACGTGGTACGATACCATGACGGCCACGACTAACGATCGTGAGGTGCAGCTCCGCGGCACCTGCTTGGACATCGCCACGGCCTCTGACGGCGAATGGGGCCTCGAGAACCTCGCAGGCTGCGATTCCGCTCTTTTCAAGCTGATCGCGCAATTAGGTCGCTTGAACATGCTGAGCCAGAACCAGGAGTCCCATGCCCCTGCGCTGTCTGAGGTGTATGTTCCATCGACTACGCTCCCGCCATCGATGGTCTATCAACCCTCAGACTCTTCGATACTCAATGCGTCTGGCGCAAACCAACCGTATTTATTTCCATTACCGGTCCCGCCACGATTGAATGACAACGAGCGACCAGCCTTAAGCCCGGCATTCTGGGCCGAATGGTTCTCCTACCGTCAAAAGTTAGAATCATGGAGCATTCCCTCCCACCGCGCTGGGTCTCAGGGGTCTTTTGAATCTACGTCTGTGCCTCCCCCTCTCATAACCCAGGCCTACATCTCGCCGCCTTCATCGCCATCTTCCAATTCCACCGTGGCGCCCGAGAATCTGGACGACGTGTATCACACCTCGGAGGCGTTTCGCCACGCCGCCATTCTCTACACCGAGCGCCTCGCCTACCCAGATATCCCCTCCCACAACCCGCGCATCCAACACATCGTCCACCGTACGATGCGACACATCCTCGCCGTCAAATCCGACGTCTATCTTCTCTGGCCCCTCTTCATCGTCGGATCCGAATGCGTGCTCGAAAGCCACCGCAACGTGATCCAGCAGCGTTGCAAAGACATTTCCAAAGACTCGGGGTTCCTCAACAACCTATCATGTCTAGAGCTCCTAGAGAAGATCTGGGCCGAGAGTCCTGCCTCGTCCAAGCTGGAAAAGGATCCCTCAGGCGCATACCACGTCGCTTATACTGGTCCCTTGGGCGCCGTGTATTCGACCTACCCGCAGACAGGCACTCCGAGGGAACAAGGATTCCGATGGCACAAGGTGATGCAGGCCAAGCGCGCCGAGGGTGAGTATGCGGTCGTATGATCCCTCGTCTTTCTTCCCATATCCCACAGGGAAAAGGTGTAATGTTTATGAAACCTAGAAAAGAGATACGCCAAGATACCCCAACCACACGACACCACGACTATACCTATCTATATCGAATTCTCTGCTCCCTTTTCTCCAAGAGGATCGCGGTGTCTGAAATTGCATGTATATATGTACCTATACGTACCTGTTTACAATATTATAAATTTACCATCGAAACTGCCGCCGCTCAACTGAGGTTATTTAGGGGTTTGCTTCGTGCGTATTTCATATCATAGATGATCGCTTACCGAGTACTTGACGAGTGACTTGGTCGCTGGTTCGTTGAGTTCTGAAATATTTACTCGCTTTTTATAAGGGCAAGAACGGCTGGATGAAACAGGATTGTCCAGCTTGTTGCTGCGGGACCTGATGGCCCCGTTATCATCCTCTTTTTGAGGGTGATGATGATAATACTGCTGGAGTTGGCATTACATGGGGCGCGTGTGGATCTACATAGATCCAGAGTAGGTGAAATTAATCACGCGTCGATCGTCTCCACATTAATCGACTTAGCAGTGTCTATAATTTGTGATTACCACGACCAAATAATACCCATCTCATTGGCAAAGCCGGTGATGGGCTTGCAGGACACTAAAAACGAACACAGCCTCCAGCACCTCAACAGATAATCATTCAAGGCAGCAAACAGGAACCCCTGTCAGGTATGACACCAGTCCCCCGCCATGCCACGTACACCATAGATACCACTGCCTTCATTTATGCCTCGATTCTCATTTGATTAAATAGCTTCGCCATATCAGGTTGACGGCCATCTAGAAGCCCACCCTTCCTCTTCGCACATACTTGACACCATGGATGGAGTGGGCCTTGCCCTTACTATTGTCTCTCTCTATTCCACCTGCCGCGACTGCTATATCTTCTACAACGACGTTAAGAATGGCCCACGGAGTGCTATCCGACTCGTACGAGAGATGGGTATCCAGGAGTTCATTTTGAAATCATGGGGCTCATATTGGGAGATCTCACGGCATTCCACCGTGATCGGACCCTCGAGCAAACAAATTGGGCCTCAAACACATGACAAGCTGGCTCGATACTTGGAAAGGACTCCATACAAGGCGGAAGGTCTCGGGAACGCATTGTGCTTGATCGCAGACACCTTGTCCAACAAGGAGATCCTCGAAAGTACCTATGGGCTCAAATTAGAGCCCGAGAAGCACCAGGACACAGTAAGCGCTTGATCCGATCTCTCCAGCAGTATAATAAATGCACATCAAATTGGGCAGCTAAAGCTCTTGACACGCAGAATCGATATTCCAAGCTTGAAGAGATTCCAACCTCTCCGGAGGCCGCCATGAAGAAGCTCAAAGCACACCAAGCTCTTTTACGATCGCGCATGGGCATATTTAAAAGGTGTAAATGGGCTTTCACCGGTCGCGAAAAGGTAAACGACTTTTTATCAGACCTGAAAAAATACAACGATTCCTTGTATATGCTGTGCCCCGACGGCGCCTTTGAAATAATGCAGATCAATTTCGTTGTCGACTACTTGACGTCCCACAATAGCATAACCATCCTGAAAAAGCTAGAGACCTCTTCAAGGGAGGCTTCTAAAGCCGGAGCACTTGCTCCTTCCCAACAGGGTCTCCAGGTACTCAATGAGGTGGCCAGTCTGAAGATCATGAAGCTACACAGCTCTCACAATGTGGGTGAAGAGGAGGCTAGGTTATTTTTCACCATTAAAGATACCGACCTCTCCATGGACAAAGAACAAGAATCTGGACTGGCATTATGGACGTGCTGGAGTGACAACTACAGCCGATGCGAGGCAGTCTACGTGGAGCGAAAATCGTATAGGTGTGAACAAGGGAAGGTAGACAAACTGATTCGTCAGGACATTCTCAAGCTGGGTCGCCTGTTCAAGAACCCAAACTGCGCGGCCATGCTTCATTCTCTACAGTGCATCGGCCTAGTCGATTATCCGGCTTCTAAGGAAATTGGCTTAGAATTCCGGTTGCCTCAGGGTATGGGCAAGTCGTCCCCTGGCTTTCCAGCAGGAGATCTTGCTGCCCGCCGCCCCAAGAGCAGTGGGGGCGCAAGTGCCCCAGCTCTTGGGTGGAGATTTGGCATTGCAAAAGACCTAGTCCGCAGTATTGCGTTCTTGCATTCGTGTGGCTGGTTGCATAAGAACATAAGTTCAAGTGGCAGTGTCCTCCTCTTCCGCAATATGCAGGTACGCCAAATAGGGAGCTATAAGCGCTTTGATTATACTGCTGCGTTCATGGGCTATTTCTTCTCACGCCCAAACCTAGAGGCAAATGCGACTCCTACATCCAGCTCTCGCAAATTCCCGGACCCTGAAGAACCCACCACGGACTCTGAAGAATCTGTCATAGACCCTAGGCTCGCTGAAGAACACATCTTGATCTATGAAGACTCTAAACAGCGTATTATGGACACCGAGGAACCCAATACGAACTTCGAAGAACCTCCAAATCCTGCCCAGGTCTCGCACCGCCGTCACCAGATCTGTCTCGATGAACACCACCACCCAGCAAAGCGAGCAAACCGTGACCGCGTTTACTGCCATGCCTTTGACATCTACTCTCTAGGAATTGTCTTACTTGAGATCGGCCTATGGCCATTCATCGGCGAGCTAAACATCCCAGACATCGATCCATATGCAGCGAGAAGAGAGATTTTAGATGTCCATGTGCCGCTCCTTGCCAATCAATGCGGAGAACTCTACGAGCGCATGGTTCGCGATTGTCTCTCTGTGGAGCCACCCGAGACGGCAGCCGAGGCGAGCGAGCAGACTCGCCTGTGTGCGACGATTGCTGCGAGATTGGCCGAATGCAAGGCATAGTAGCTCTGCGTCAGTGGGAGTACAAGAATGGCCGGAGATGCAAGGACAAGCGATAGTGGATATAGGTAACTTACGTACTGGTACAGCCTTGAGCTAAGTGGTCTTGTCAAGCACTAGCACACAAGTTCATACTCCATATGCTCGTGTGGCCACTGAGTTTGGACATGCACTGTTCGATGGATAGAAATTTGAAGAGGGGTGCTTGCGAGGAAGCAATACAAGCCCAAATTGTAAGGTGAGCTGGTGTTCAGATGACTATTACTTTTGGCATTGGCATTGAATTGCTTATCCTTTTAATAAGGTCTAATCTACCCTTAGGTCGTACTTGGGGTCTTTTACCTAGTGATTAAAACGTGATGAGGGGGGTGGGTACTAAGATCGAGCAAATAACAACTGATAAATTGATCAGTCAACGTAACACATTGCATTCTCATTGAATAAACCGAGACTTTCCTGACCCTCTTCAGACCTGAAGTTGATTCAACCATGATTATCGCGTTAATATGCTACTAATCCAGGCAAGTAGGTAATAGCTAGCTTGGCAAGATGCCCATCCTACTTAAGCCTCCTAACAAACAACACCTAGGGTATCAAATAGAAACAAAACCGAATCGAAAGCAATCAAGCTCTCTTCTCATCCCGCGCCTCACCCACAATTGCAGCCGTATCATCCTGCTCATAATCCTTCTCATCAATCATGTACTTGTCATCGTTGAGGTGCTTGAACCGGAACCAGAAGAGGATGGTCTGCAGGGCCAGGGCGACGGCCGGCGCGCCCCAGATCCAGATGAGATAGGGGTCCTTGGTGACGGGGATGAGGATCTCGCCGAAAGCGCTAGAGAGGGCGTTCATGAAAAGGAAGATGGCCATGACGAGGCCACGCATGCTGGGCGGGGAACGGGCATAGGCGAGCTCGTAAGCGGTTACGTTGCAGAGACACTCGGAGAAGGCGCCCAGGACGGTGTTGGGGATCTGCCACCAGATGCTGAGCGGGCTGACGTCGTCGCAGGTGGAGGCTTGGTAGCCGCAAGGGGAGGTCTTGTAGACGCGCCATTGCACCAGGGCGCCGATGAGGCCGGAGATGCCGGCGATGATGAACCCGCAGGTGATGCGGCTGATGCGGCCGAATTTGATGTTGTAGCGGGTGAGGAGGGGGTAGAAAACGTAGGAGAGGAAGGGGACTGAGACGATGATGGTGAGGGCGTTAAAGTTGCTGAGGAGGTCGTTGGGTGCGCCGTTGGTCACCATCGAGGCGCCTTGGTTGGAGGACACGGAGCCGATACCACCGTCGTTCATGTACCATATGGGGAAGTAGCAGAAGATTTCGGTGGCCACTGTTGGTGATTTGTTAGTCTCGCCAAGTAGGAAGTTTATGCAGTATGGATCTGAAGGTACTCACCGACGGTTCTGCGCACGTCATCGACCAATTTATCGGTCCATTTCACTTGTATACCCTCAGCCGCGAGGACACTGGGCTTGGCCGCGTCGAAGAAATTCTTCTTCCATACTTTGAACTTGTTGCGTCGAAGAGCTGTGGCGATAATCTTGATTGAGTTGCCAAGATCGGAGTGTCCACTGGGCGGCGTTCGGTAGGTCTTCCTGTAGACCGCAAAAAGAAGAATGGGAAGGAGGAAGTAGATGATGCCTGCAAGCAAGAAGGCGAGCCAAAAGCCGATATATTTCTCCGAATATGTAGTGGCAAGCATGAAGAAGGCACCGATGTTGACAAACCCATAGAAGATCAGCATCGTGCGCTGGCTGGTCAGTTCAGGATCCACGATGACCTTTTCGCCTGACTTGAGGGCCTTGGTATAGGGTTTCTGGTGACGGTTTTGATCGAGAACAACGGGTGCAATATTAGGCTTGAATATTCCCGCACCAAGTGCCAGTAACAGCAGACCGATGATAAATGGCGGAGCAGAATTTCCAGTCCCTCTTGCCAGCACGGAGGGTAGAGCGCCGAAGATCTGAATCAAATGAGCCACACCACAGATCCCCACGCCGACGCAGATGGCGTAGTATCGACCGACGTATACATCGGCCCACCTATCATGTCTTAGCAATCAACAATCGTTTGATAGGACGTGGCTTTCTCACCATCCACCAAGGATAGGCAGGACATAAGCCAAGAAGGAGAAGAGCAACGTAAGTCCAGAACTAGCCTGGAGACCCATTCCCAGAGCGCCGGCCGTTTTCTGTGTGCCTCGAGGAGGAGCACCAGCTCCGTTGCCACCTATGTTCTTTTATCAGCGCTACTGCCAATGTTAAACGCCGGGAAGAATAGCATACCCTCAGGCAGGGGAAACTGGATGAAGTTGGAGAAGACAGTCTTTGCTCCATAATACGATGCACGTTCCGCAAACTCGACCAGACACAGAGAAAAGGACACAAGCGGTAGATTGCCGGCGACCTTGCGAAGAACCTTCTCTTCTTCTTCGGTGGGAGTGGGGTATTCATCACTTTCAGCCGAACTCGAAGCCGTGATTTCGTAGGCGTTCTTCTCCGGATCAGCAGTTGCAGGAGCTCTGGTAGCCGACTCGACCGCCTCGGTCGAGGTGATGGTCGAGTCGATAGGTGCTTTATCCCCGGTAGTAAGTGCTGCTAAAGCCATAAGCCTCCAAGTCAGTCATTGGGAAACTTTCAATGAGAGATGAAAACATACACATTTTAACGGAAGTACCACCCGCAGGGAAGAGTGTCTCAGGAAGGAGGTCTGTCGATCTGAGAGCAAAGCAGCGAGAAGTGAGAAATGAGACGAGCGTCTTTTATAATCAGTTCACTTTCACTGAGCCATGGCTAGAACGACTCGGACTTCCCGCAACGGCGACGGCAAAAGTGGACACCGAGTGCACTGTAAGGGGTAGAGCAGCGCAGCGGCAGAGGACGGAGTAAACACTAGACTCTAAGACAAGGTCCGCGGTGAATGGCGACATCATTGGCCATGTTATGCGATGCAACGCTAGTAGTGCAGACTGGGTTTCCTTGCAATTGGTGTACTCGAGAGACTAAGATCTGTCCTGCATGCTTATCAGCACCTAGATAGACCGGCCCGAATACTTGGCCTCATTATAGTCTATTATCACGCGATCCGGCCTTTTCCCAACCTTCCCCTCTCCGATTTGCTTTACCTAAGAGCATTTTGAATCGGCGGCCAGGATGATTGCGTCTTCACGGCGGTCGATTCCTTTGTGGGTGCTGAATTCGCAATTAATCTATTTGAGGTTTATTTGAGAGACGGACGAACGATTCGGCGTGGCAATGCCAGAGATTGGACAGGCGACCGCCTGAAAGCGACCGGCGGAATATGAAATCTCGAGCAACAGAAGGCCCCCACTTATCGATCGGCCAGAGAAATGAGATTTCCTCCCAGCTCTCGATGGGAAGTTGATGGGGAAGAAAGGAAAGCAAGAAGGATGAAGAGCAAAAGAGGACGACCAAATGACTAATCCCGCGCAAGCCCTAAAGACTTCCCAATGCGTCTTCAACGCCTGAGGGGATCAATTTGTGCCTTAGAGCAGTCTTGATATGACAGAAAAACAGGATATGAGCATAGAAGTGCTGGGCCTAGCCATGCGTTTGAAAACTAGGTGAAGGTGAGACGCCATAATGAACCGAAATCGCATATGCACTTCCGATCCCCGGTCAAATTACAAGGCATCATAAATAAATTCTGACTACGCATTGGCCGGATTCTATCTACAGCTTCCCATATACACGACAGCTGGTTAGCTTTAAGCCGAGAGGTCAATCTTCTTGGCTGGAAGCAAGCATCCCAAGCCCGCCTTGGTACTCGCTCACGTCGCCACAAAGCCCCTTTCAACCAAGGAAGTGCGGTTACATGGCCGAGGTACCAGTGACACCTCGGAGAATTTCTTTCTAGTTTCGTATTATTTTCCCCATCATTTTTATCCGAAGGATGACAGGCGATTAGAATCGCCGCAGCGCTATGTTCGCTGATAGTGACCGGTAAATTGCGCTTCCCTCGAAACATAAACCACAACGCCTACAGCTCAACAAAGAATGCCCTGCTCAATGCCACCGTGTCTATTGAAGTTACATCAAGAAGAGTAATCCAGATCGCAAAGAATATGATGACTGCGCCACCAGAAAGGGTAGCATCGAGGCAAGTCGCGCCAGAAGCCCTGATCATGAAAGAGGCCGCGATGGGGCAATTCTAGTCCTGGAAGGCGAAAATAAGGTTTATCGTTTCTTTGTCTTATGCACGGCCAGTTCAGTGAAGTAGGGTTGCATCGCGCTTGGTTCCTCGGAGAATTTGGACGACTCTGATCCTGACGGTGGCATCATCCGTGCCCTATCAAGCTAAGCTTCGGGGCGCACGTTGATTGTCCCCTTTCCTGCACGGTCGCTGAAAGCGCGAGAAAAATCGCACTATGCATATCTTGGGCATTAAGGAAGAAAAGAAATCATATCAGCTATATCAGGTCAACGTTGGACGCACTAATAGAAATAGTGCAGTAAGATGACCCTGGACTCCTTCGGCACCTGTGCGGTTTTGGACGGCTGCAAGTAAGCACTAGAGCTAGCGTTAACCTTGAGTGCTGAAAGGTGAATCCGAAGAACTTGTAAACAGTTCAGACATTGATAACTCTATGCTGATTCCAAGGGTTCCGTGTATATCTAACGTGGTGGGCCATAGTAGACTCTCTTCTGTTCTTTTTACTATTTGTGAGATAATGTGCTTCTCTCCATATAGAGAATGAGAAAATATCAAATATTGTCTAAATGAATATAGTGCCTATTTATATGCAGTCAAAAGTAATCCCCCCCCCCCCCCATAAGAACCCACAAGAACACAATCAAAAAATGACCTTCTGCCCAGGGACAACTGTCTCCCCCTTCGCAACCAAAACCCCCGTCCCACGAATCATCACCCCCACCACCCGACCCTCTTCTATCTCCAACCCAACCTCCATAACACACTCCCTCCCTCTTTCTCGTCCCTGCACAACGTCAACATTCACACTACCTCGCTTCATACCCCCTCGACTAACCACCTCATTCTCCCAAACATACGCCCCCAATGGCCCCGCCGCCGATCCAGTCGCCGGATCCTCAGCGCCCATCCCAGGACTAAAGAACCTGGCCTCAAAACGCGGCCGATCTTCCATCTCACTCCCCGCTTCCTGACCTACAGAGCCAGGGCCAGGAACTGGCGCAAACACGTAAACTCCACTATTTCGACTCTGCGTCCTCTCTAGCTCCGTCGCCACCGCCTCGCTTGAGAACCGCACACGACGAAGAACCTGCACGTCGCGCACCGGGACAAGGAGATGGCGCGCCGGCGAGGTTGTTACAACACGGGCTTCAGACACAAAGGTATCGGTCCCAGGAACGTGAAATCCCATCTCGGATAAATCAAGACCTAACGCGACGCCGAGGGCAGCGGGGTCAGGATGTCGAGACAGAAATTGCGGGGTATTTTGGCGCATGGTGATGATAATCCTCCCCTTAGACATTGTAATCTCAACTGGAAAGACCAGCCCTCCCAGTTCCTGATGATATACGCTCTTTCTACCATCGATAGCACCTTCGCTGCCCAGGAGTCCAGAAGAAACGATATACCACCACGCGCCGAGCGCGTTGTGTCCGGCACCAAAGACCTCTTCACCGTTGGGAAGGAAGGACTGTAGTCGGTAGGTGGCGGGGACGGTTGTCGGGGGACAGATAAAGGTTGTTTCTGAGAGGTTGAACTGGCGAGCGAGGAGCTTCATCTGCGTGGTGGAGAGGGGGGAATCGAGGGTTGGGACTACGGCGAGGGGGTTCCCTTTGTAGGGAGTGGTTGTGAAGACGTCGATTATGTAGTAGGGAATGGACATTTTTGATTCTTGTTTTGATAGTGATGGGTTTGATTATTATGGGTGGGATGAAGAGGTGAGTTGAGTGTATGATATTGATTATTTTGTCTACTTTGAATACATGCTGGCTTGTTGGATGCAATCAAGACTTATGAATACATTTAGATTACTATTTGAATGCGAGGTACAAATAAGGCATCTCGTGTTCGGAGAAAGCCTACTAGAAGAGACTAGACAGGTTCGTATTCTGCCTTGGCTGTCAGAGTTACATCATTTACGAGGCTGAGAAGGGACTCGAAACTACATTTGATATACGAGGATATAATGAATGATTACAAGCTTGTTCAGGACTATGTACGTAGAGGATAATATGTACAGTAATATGAACAACAGCCGGTTCAACTCTGAGATAGACACACTAGTACCTCCAAATCGAAACAAAGTCAGTTAAACTTCAAGTTTCTCACATGTACAGCTACTGGCTATAGCTAGGAGATAGAAAAAGAATCTATATACATCTAATCATATTAATAAATACATCTCAAAAGTCCTTTCATTATAGAAGCCATCTAGGACCTCCACAAACAGACTCACCTCGCCGTAAACAAGAATACCTCGTACCTATACCCAGTATTTACTAAGAGCCATCCGAATACCCAGTTACCTACGGAGTAGATACCCTGGGTAGATACCTTAGGTACCCTCCTAACACAGCATAGCATAGCATAATATATGTAGCATAACATAATCCCCCACGTGGCCAGCCCACTTCTACCCTACCTTAACTCAACCCAGCCTACCCTACGAGAACACATCACATCACATCACACACATGCGGTATGTACATGCATACGGTGTACATACGTAGGGTAGGTACGGAGTAGGGTAAGGGATAACCCCGCAGACACCCACCCATCTTACCCACCCATCAGTTTATGTATATCTACTACTGAGTATGTGCCTGCTCTATCCAAAAGCTAGGTACTTGGTACATCCATCCATACATTCATAGATATGCTACTCCCTCCATAACTGAACCTCTCCACCAAAACCTACGCTCCTCTATCCATACATCAATATCTAGCCACTATGTAGTAGATACTCTGAACAAAAGAAAAAGCAAGGCCATATACACCATAAGAACTCAGTGCCCACGAGTACATATATACTTACATAAACCCGCCCACCTAACAACACACCGTGTTGATTGCTGACGCTGTACACCAAACGCACGTGCACGGGCACACGCAACCGCCACTACTGCAGCAAGATGCACCTGCACCGCCAACGCCAGCATGGCATATGTATGACTACGGAGTAAGTACATACATACAGGAAACCGAGCCTACATGAGTATTGCATCATGCAGATGATAGCCTTATGTAGTACGGAGTACCTACAAACTGGCTTACCCATGGGGGCAGGGATGCCTAGGTACCTAGGTAGGTATTATCTACAATACAAGTACAGTACATACAGTACCTACCTAGAACGAAAATAGATCAGTGAGGCAGGACCTGATTTAATGAATTCGAGAACCGTGTCCTACGGCACCTTGGTTCGGGGTCGGTTCTATTATTGTTGGGGAGGTGTCTACCTACCTTACTGTCTAAACTGCCCTCAGTGCCCACTGCACAGTAGGTAGGAGGTGAGGAGTCAACCAAACCTACTGCACTAGGCGCAGAGGGACTAGGTCATATGGGGTAAAGATTTACTCAACTCCAAAGTTGATAGGCAGGTTGTTTGAGGGGATGAGTTAGGCTATCACAATCACATACGTAGTGTAGGGTACCCTACTCGGTGCGCGCTAAATAGGTATATCGTATTGGATGGAGGTGGGGTTGCCGGTGGTAGCCGAGTATATTAGATGTATTGATCAAACAGACTGATAACTACAGTATAATCTGGGATAAGGCAAAGTCTAGAAAATAAATTGAACTGTCTATCGGACGATGGTAGTAGGTGGTCTATGTACGCTGTCTCGGTCGCACGTCATGTGCGGAAACATTAAGTATTAAAAGAAAGAACGAAACCAACCGATTCCGAGACGTCAAGCGATCAAAAATGCGTTCGCAGAATGGTATCATGAAAGACAGAAAGCCATAAGGGAAAGGGCTCAGACTTGCAAGAAGAGAAATGCAAACTCCTAAAAGAAGAGCAAGCGCCGGGTAAAAGCATAATACCCCGTCCCAAGAAGAATAAAAAGGTTGCAGACACAAGGAAAGAACAAAGGAAATGTTAAAGCTCAAAGCGAAATCAAATGTCCGCGCTGATAGCGGCCCATATCGCCGAGACGATCCAAACGCAAACGAGCAAATCCAGCCAAAATAGCCAAGCCAAACGCGCTCAAATGCAAAGTCGACAAATGCATCGAAAGAATTGAAATGTTGTAGGGTCAGACGGTCGGTCGCCCGCCCGTCGGTAGATCGTTGTAACAAAGTTGACCTGGGTCTTTCGTCAGGTCCACTCTAGAGTTCCACTGAAAGATATCGGATGTATCTATATCGCAGTCGGCCGTCGAAGTATATCCTCGCAGTTGGCGTCAAAGCGCATGTTCCATAGACGGATGCTGTTCATCAACTTCTCCGTGTTTTCCAGTTCGCGGTCGCGTCCGAAAATCGATTCGACAAATTCACATCCCGCGTTGCGGCCCATCGACACAGAGCCCTTGCCGCCTTCTCGCTTGGCTGCTTTCCACATAAACTGTTCACAGGTTCTCAGTAACTTCTTAAAGCGGCTCCACAGCCGCTCACCACTCTCCAGGAAGTCCTCCACGACTTCCTGCGCTTCTGGACGGCGGATGCGATCCAAACACTCATCGGCCCGCTTCACCTTGCCCGCCAGCTTGATCAGCAACAGCCACAAGTCACCCGCCACGTCAGCCATCGGAGTCGAAGCGCCGTGGTGAAAAACCGTCCAGTCGTAAATCCATTTGCCGAGCGAGCTGGCATCGAAAACGCTTCCCAGAAGGACGATCGGCATTTCGGTGGGGTCCCAGTTCTTTATCGAATAGCCCGGGGGGATACCGGCTCGAGCGGCGTCTTCTTCGGTCGCCTTGGGAGTCGGCTTGCTGGACGGCGGGGCGGGCTTGGGCTTGGGCGGGGTCCGCGTGGAAGTAGACTGACGGCGCGCACGAGACCGCTTGGGCGAATCGGCATCATCATAGGAAGGCGGGACCTGGGTATAGTAAAAATATTGATCAGTGGGTGGCTTTGGCTTGCGCTGAGACGTGGACGGATATCGTCGAGGTTTGCTGGCTGGATCCTCGCGGAAAACGTATCGCGGCGCATCCTCGAATACATCGTCAACCACATCCACGTAGACGGATTTCCTTCGCGACGAGGGCGACGGGGACGGGGAAGGGCCAGCGTTGTCCCAGGGATCTGCCGGGGCACCGGACATGGTGCTACGACGACGATGATAGCCACCAAAAGAAGCACTTACAGGCTCGTGCTTGCGTGGCGGAGTGCCATATTCGGGCATCGCCTCGTAGAAACCTGGACCATATCCCGGATGCCACCCTCCCGTGTCTTTGGGACCGGCGTAACTGGCCTTGCGGTTGTGGCGCTTGGACGGGCCTCGCGGAGATGCGTAGGGACTGGCGAACTGCGTGGCGTAGTAGGCGTAATGAGGAGAGGTCGGAGGAGAGGTCATGTAGTCGAAAGACCACCCGGGAGGTGGACTGGTATAATGATACATTATCGCGAGGCGAGCATAAGAATCGACGTCACGACGCTGGAAAAGAGAAAAAGAGATCGCAAGGTAATGAAATCGAGAACTTTTTATGGGCAGCTTTCCCGGACGACGCAAAAGGCAATGCTAAAAAACGGAAGATATAGAAAAAGGCAAACAACCCAGATATATTATACAGGATATCGTTCAGAACAAGCCGATCGACGCCGATGCAAAGGACAACGAAATCGGAATGATGATAAATCAAAAGAAAACGAGGAAGAAGAAGAGAGAACCGTCACCGCGGGACGGTTTCAAGGGGAGAGGAGGGACAGAAGCGTATGTACTGGAAGTGCATTTGAACGTTGTTCCACCGATCGCGAGTTGGTAAGCAAAGCGGCTATGCGGGAGGCGACTTGGTAGCGAAGAGGGATCCTTGGGAACGACCCAGAATCCACTGGTCGGTTGGATTCTCTTCCAACCGGTTCCTGGGGGGCAGATCGATCTCGATCTACCGAAGCCCAGGGGTTCAAGATATCCAGGAAATAATGCGACTGGTTGTTTATGAACCCCAACCGGGTGAGAGGGGAGAGAAAGTGAGGGAAAAAGAATGGAAGAGGAGAAAGAGAGAGGGAAATGGAGAGAAAAGAGGCGGGAGGTGGTTTTGTAAGATTGGAAAAGACCACGGGACGTCCGCCTGTGGGGGCGTATCTTTCGGTTCGTACGCCGTCCGGTCTAGTAATTACGCATTTAATCTGGAAGATTATGACTCCGTTCAGAGGGACAGAGCTGTGCCACGGTCTACGCCATATATACTTACGCAGTACGCCGTAGGCAGAGCAGGAAATAATAATATTCTTTTTATGTTTATTTTTTTTTTTTAAAAAAAAAAAGAAAAGAAAAGTCACGATCAAAATCGCCTCCTCGCAGTCCTGTCTAAGCGCCTGTTGGGCATACCCCGTAATCCTCCCATCCTGAGATTATCAACTGACTCCAACAACCCACTACACCTTTCTGACACAGCGATAGCATCTACGATCCCTCTCAACTCTACAACCCTAGTAACGGGCCTCAACACGTCCCTACGTCGGGGGGAAATTCCATGGCGCAACCACTCTCCACAGATCGATAAGGCTCTTCTTCAGCTCGATTGGCCCAATGTCCCTACACCAGGGTCTTCACCGGCTGCAGTGTCCGGATCCGAGGGAGGAGATTCGCCGGGGATGCTCTACCTCCCCTCCGGAGTGTCTTATCGGCTTCAAACAGGTACCAACCAGCTGGACATACATAACGGACAGGGTGGACGAGCGGCACAGATACTTGGATATTGGACGGCGAGATGAAAAGGCAAGGCACAGTCGATCGATGAGTCAGACCTTTGTTTGGCCACGTTTGTGACGAAGTAAGGGATGATCCAAATCAGGGCCACGGTGTTGAGTCAGGAAGCCTGAAACAGGAACTACCTGCGTCGGGTGAGGGTGAGGGTATACAAGAACAACCCAAGGGGACGACCGGTCCCATGGACTCGATTCGGATGAGCCCGCAGAAATTCCATGGTTCTAAACCCGGAAGCCAGTAAACAAGCTCATCGTCCACTTTTTTTTTCTACTGTCCCAGTGGAACCATATGGCAAATGGCATCAAACTTCTAGCGGATGTCATCAACTAAAAAGCATGGTTGTTGGGCAACAGTTGGTCGGATGGGCTTTACCGCCGCCCATCTTGCTGGGCAGCAACCACCCCCTCTGGGCAACGGCGACGGGGCGATGGACAGACCGCAATTTAGTGAGTTAACGGCGGATCCTGAGAAAAATGGGGACCGAAGACAATCCAAATGGCAAACCGAACATGATTGATGCAGCGAGAAAACCGGTTCCAATCGTGCGGTCCATTGGACATGGCATACATGAGAGATATCGCCGACGGAGGAGCGCCGCGATGCACTATTTCCCAGAAGCGGTAATGTGAAACGCACACTCGCAGATTGTAGAAATTGAGAAAAAACAATAGATCAAAGAAAATCAAGAGGGGAAGAAATGAGAGGATATCTTCAAAGCCACCCTTGGTTCCTAATCTCCTAATTGAGAACGAGGGCTCGGATTTTGGTGTCAATATCACACACGGTTCAAAGTCTAAAAGCCCCTGACGAGTCAAAAAACTTGGTAGGCAGACATTTTCTTTCATGATTAATATTGCTTTTTCATCTCCTGGATCTCTCGCCTAATCCTTTATTCTGATTTTTGAGAGAAACTCGGCGACGTCGTACATGGCGTCGCAATATTATTAATTCCACCGTTCGGAGTCATTCCAGCGCGCCCACCAAACTAACAGACGAGCGATGATATCAACCGCTAAAGTCAAATCCAGTTAATCAACCAGAAACGAGACCGGACCCGTTCAAAAAGCGACCGCAATGTTGAAAAACCGTCACAAAGTACCGACGCGGATTGGTCTCAGACTCCAAGACCTCCAAGCCCAGTCTACTCGAACCAAGAACCAAGAAACGCTAGCTAAATCAAAGTCAAGCCGAAGCTCCACTGTTGAGGTCCCACCGGCAGAGTTTTCATTATCCCTTGCTCGGGAAACGATCTAGACTGACGCATCTGATTGTTGTTGTTTTGCTTCCCCCAGCAATCCCCCAGAGTCCAGTGGAAACTGGAACTGCCATCGGTACCGTATGGTACTTACGCTGACCCGTCGGTACGCGCCCATCAGCGGTACCATCCATGTACCCATCCCGTACCCATCCATGGATGCCTTTTAGGTATACGGAGTCATGGAATTCCACTAAAACTCGTCTACCTGCATACTTCCGCCCTGAAAGTACGAATTCCATACCGATTCGGTCGTCTGATTCGGCGTGGCATTTTTTTGATCATTCGACAAGGTTGACTTAATTTTTGTTTCTTTTTTTTCTTTTCCTGATTCCTCGCGGGGCCTAGGATTCCGGTGCTGTCGCCAGCCGCATGCCGATCGCGTCGGCTGGAATGGGTGGAAAATAAACGAACCCCGTAATATTCAACAGAATTCGGTTTGTGATTTTTGTGGTTTCCGCAATTAGGAATCAGGATTTACGCGAAAGCACCGAATACCCTAAGAAAAGGAATGGAAGAACAGGGCAAGGGGAACTGTGCGCGTGACTGGTGCCCTTGCCCTGAGCCCTAAAATTAAAGGGTTACCGTCAGCAGCAGTTCAGCTGTCTCGCGACGGCTGAAAGTCCGAAAGGATGCGATGGAAAGCAGACTAAAAATAAAGACTGGAAGTGCGCAGTGACTGCGGTCAAACCGAATTTCTTTGCTCCCATTCGACAGTTGGGAGGGCACCGCCAGCCGTGACTGCGGTTCGCCCTGCAGGCTTCCATGTTCCGCGACGGTGACCCGACTAGGGCTGGCTGTCTTGGGCTGGAGACTGAAGTACTCTTCGCTGCTGTGCCCACAGTCGTTACCCCTCTTCTGGGCGCCTGTCGTACAGATTGCGGCCTTTTTGTGCCCTCCTCTCCTCCCTCTTAACTCCGTACACAGTTAGTTCTTAGTGAATCTTGCGCTGAATCGAAATACAGTCAGCCAAGGCATGCAACGCTGACGAGTAACCTTTCCCATGTGCCTCCCCCTTAATTTAACATTGCGATTCCAACTGACAAGATATGACTCCATTTGAGCAAAGAACGACAGTTTAATCCCCGATGAGATCTGCGGGCGCGCCACTTGCGCCGTGCTGACCCAAGACATCTTCTCAGCCCTCGTCCCATCAATATCCACCCCTCCATCTACTCCGTACTCAGTGGGTAGGTTACCAACTAGTAGTAGTAGTATCTGACTACCCCCACCCCATATCGGGCCTTTTCCAAATATGCATGTTTATCAAAAGCCCCATGCATTAGCCAGCGGTGGTTAGTCGGTCCGCCGCAGACACTCTGGCCAGTGACCAGTGGCCATCCAACCATCAATCAGTCAATCAATCAATCAGACACTTGCCCAGCGCCCGCTCAACAATTACCCACTACAGAGTAGGCAGTAAACGGAGTCCCGAAAGTATACGATCGCTAAATAAACTGATTGGCGCATTCCCACCCAACCGCGTCCCTTTGAAGTGCCTAAATGGCCCCGTTACACTAGCATCATGCATGTCCCACGCGCCAACGAGGGAACATGCTGGCATTTCTCAAGACTAGTTACGGAGTGGTTAGTACGGACAGTAAGACGGAGATTGACGCAGACTGGGCCATCTCGTGGGTTGGATTTCCGGGACTTATGTATCGTACGAAGTACGTACAGTAGTTCTAGTTACTAGTTATTGGTTACTGGTAGTAGTGATAAGTGCTGTGGTGCACATGCGATGGCATACATTATTGTCTACAATTACAGAGTGCATGTCTGGATGTTGGGGTTACAGATTCATATTTCGACTATGAGTTGCGTGATGGTATCAGCTGGTCATGGGGTCGATATGACATGACTTGGCTCTAGAGTATTCTGTTATCTGTATCATGAATACTGTGGGGTTGTATGTAGTTATAATTTTTACCTAACCATGGACGGAGTACACCGCACTCCATGCAAGAAAATGGATCATACTCTCTCACCCCACCCCGGTGGATTAGAATAACAAGATGATTGACTGATCTCCTTGGGTTGCCCTTAGCGATCAAGGAGCATTGCCTTGTTTCAAAGGAAACCAACCCTCACTGAGTGGTCTCCAAAGTCCAAACTCCAGCGTTTCAAAGTGGAGAGTGGGACTTGACACTGCTAGTTTGACAGCCACTGACAGACATGACTTTTAGTCATTTGCATTGTTCTAGTTACGGGTAGTCCGTAGCCCGTACAGAGTGCTAAATGCGATCCACCGCTTAGGGCCGTGATTATGGGGTCTTTCTCCTGTGCGGACTACGGTATACTCCGTAGGTGCTGTGTTGGGCATCTGTGTTTGAGTGTGACTGTGAGGTCATCTGACTCTGGATCCTCTGATGATCTGATCCTTCGAGAGCGCTGGCTGTGGGGACTTGCGAATTCGGCAATTCCTCTATCGTGGCGTATTTCAAGTCAAGTATTCCGTAGATAGTCCTATGGTAACATAGGTGGATTCGGGTTTCTAGCGGAGTATGTAATCTCGGAAAAACCATCTCAGATCAGGCAGGTGGTTTATTTTGTTTTAGCCTTTGGTGCATGCATTGGTTGGTTCATGACATGGAAGATTCGACACTCAGGGTTACATTCTAGGCCCTGTAGCCCTAATTGGGCTGCAAACCGGTCTGCGTCGGAATATTGTTCAATGGAATGGTTTCTTCGAGTATCCCGTCAAGAGATGTGGCCATCTTATGTTTACCGAAGACTACTAAACGATATCATGCCAATGAAAAAAGAACTCATGCTTGCTACTCCCGGGCCATTGTTGCTAAGCTTTCTTAACACCTGAATGTGATGAATTGCGCATTCGTCAAGACTATAGCTGTAAAAGTCTTGACGAGACAACTTCGGAAGCGCTGCTAACGTCGGACCCGTTTCCAGTGTATACCTCTAGGAGACTGTTTGTCGTCTTGCAAGTGGTCACATAGTCAACATGAATCCTACAACCTTCCTCAAAGAATGCACGGCCGCAAATCTTGCAGCCTCCACCCGTCTCCTGGAAGATATGGTCGTAGGCACTGCAACAGAATGAGATCAGCAAAGCCAAACGGGAAACTCGAAGAGGTTTTAGTGAGAGCAAGGGGCGTGCCACTTACGCTGCCATCTGCTTCCCAGTCATCTCGCAGTTTTTACCCTTGACAAAAACGCCACACCCAAAGCCAAGATTTTTGCCGTCAGTATAGCAAGTCCCGCTATCGATTCCACCCGTAGTTCTGCCGTTGTTAGTTTCTTGCCTCTAGTCTGCTCCTAGGACACAACAGGTCACCTACCCGTATACAGTATTGTCTGTTAGGAAGCTTTTGGCCATGTCACAAAATTTGTGTAGGTTGGCAAACGTTTTGCACCGGTCAGATCCATCACAGTCGTACCCAGTTTCGGTGGGAACAGGCGGAGCTGAAGTTGTTTCCTTCGTGGTCGTGGGCTTGCTGGTAGTAGTCACTGTAGTAGTAAATGCTGATGCAAGAAAACTGCTCAGCTCATCACGTACTTGACTCGCAAGCGATGGTGAGCTGGCGACACTGACGCCAATATTGGAAATAGTGCCTTCGACCAACCCATCCTTGTCGACGGTACGGGTTGTTGCGGTCGGAGTAGCAGCGCAGGCGGTGATAGTTTGGCACCGAGAGGTCACAGTAGTCGTTGAATAAGTCGAAGCTGGCGTTATTAGGGTGCTGGATATATAGGCGGTACAAGCATTTGCCTCTTTGTCCTCGCAATCTGAATCTTCGGATTGACACCCTTTGCCAGTACAGATACCGTTGGAACAGCCACGACCAGAGCAGGTTACAATTCGGCATCGCGAACCAGTACAGGTGAAGTCGGTTTTAGAGCAGGCCGGGCCTAGACATCCCCATGAAAGACACGAGCGTCCGAGGCACAGGCCGGAGATCCCGCCGCCGCCGCTGTCATCGTCGTCATTATCGTCATTCTTACCATTGCAGTCTTTGCCGATACAGCCGTGATCTTGACAATCCTTGCCAGAACAATGACCGTCATCACAGTCCTTGCCCGTGCAGGCCGTGGGGATGCAATCATCACCTACACAGATCCGATTTTTGCAATCTGCGCCAGTACAACCCCTTTCAATGCATAGGCTGTTCCCGGTACACTTGCCATTTATGCACCCAGGACCGGAACACTTGCTGAACGAAGGAGGATTCTTATCAAGGGGGTCAATAAAGCTGGAGGAGCTCCCTTTGCCACAATCATGTAGGCAGGGTCCATCACAGAAGCCATAACATTTATGACCGCAGTTAGCCGTACAGGTAGGCCCTGGGGGACTTCCTTCTTTGAAAGTGACTGTAGGAAACTTGGTACCATCGGTAGTCCAGGGCCAGGGAGGAATACTAACGGTGCGAGTCACGAGGGGTAAATGAGTTACACCTGTCTCTTTGAGCGGGTTGGGATCGTCTGTAACCACGACTGGCGCAATCTCGATACTTGGTATAAGAGTTCCGATGCTGGAGGTGACGATATCACTAATATTCCAATTGTAGTAGTTAATGGTGGCCGTAGTTATGTCTTTGAGGGGGATCGTTGTAGACATGATATGCCGAGTGATAGTAGAAGTAACGGTTGTGAGAGTACCGATAGTGACGGTTTTAGTGGTGCTCCAAGCGACCTCAAGGGAAGTTGGATAACCACCTCCCAGGTTGATTGTTGTAGGAGAACTAAGAACCGACTTGGGGAATATGACGCTGACAGGAGCAATGGCGGTAAAAGTGGGCGAGTTGCCTAGTACCTCCTGGCCTACATAAAGAAGACCAGTTCCATCACTGCCCCCCTTAGCATTGGCGCCATCCATGCCGGTATCGTCCGCAGTCAACTCATTTGGGTTCTTGAGCGAGCCAGGGCCACCAAGATCAAGAGCCCAGCTGAACAATCCGCCCAGGCACCTACTGTTGGCAAGGTCGGCTTTTTGTTTGAGTGTGCGACCATCATCGAATGAAACCCTGGATCCGCCCGGTCAGGGTCAATAGCTCATACTAAAAGGATATCGTTCGTCCTTACCATTGGTCTCCAGCCCATGTCATCCAATTGACGCCAGAAGCCTGGTCGTAGTGGATGTTAGGTGAGTAGTTCTTGATGATACGGCTAATTTCATAGTCGGATAAAAAGCCGCTGGTCCCAGTACATGACCCAGGCGCCGCTCCTCCAGTGTTATTATTCTCTGTGTAGAAATCACAACCTGGATTGTTGCAGGAAGAATCGTCCAACGTGAAGGAGCGACCGTAGAAGCCTAGACCAAGCAGAACCTTGCTGGGGTCAATGCCATTGCGCCACAAAAGGTCAAGCCCATCAGAAATCTCTATATGTGAATATCAGCATCACGTTTCGCAAAGAAGCACACAAGAACAACCCGGCGAGAAAAACACGCCATGCCATCAGACACTGTAGCCAAGCCCAAGGTTGTATGCGGGGATATAGTCACATACCTGTCAAGTTTGTATGTGGGTTGACGACGGAGCTCGTCCATTCACTCGTGCCATCCCAAGTTCCGTGGATGTCATAGGCCATGAAGTTGAATGATTCAACATATTTGGCTATACCCACAAGATCAAACCCCTTCAGATACCCTAATAGTTATCAGTCATCATTAGTCTTTATAAAACATCGCCTGCTCATGTGGCAACTTACAATATGAAGATGGTAAAGTAATCGTCAGGCCAAACTTTGTACCCACTGCTTTTTTGAGCTCAGAAAGGAAGGTCACAAGATTTGCAATGTCTCTCGGGGCGCCACCTGCTAATGATTAGAGCGCAAAGAGCTGTGTGAATAGTAGGGGTATGTGAGAGAGTCACATACCACGGTCATCGGCTGCAGGGTACTCCCAGTCGATATCGATTCCATCAAAGCCATATTCGGTCATCATAGAAATAGAAGAATCTATGAATCATATTCTCAAGTCTGCGCAGATAACTCACGGTGAACAAACTAATACCTCGAAGTAGTTTGGGTACATGCGTATTCATAGATATCATGAATACAAACCAACTGGGTTACCGTACCTAGTACGCGGTATTTGGGGCTACATGTGACCTGCAAGCCCCACAGATTCCTGCTCCTCCCAATCCTGGGTAGGTTCTCTACTTTCCCACAACCCCCCTCACCTATCTGCGTGGCTGAATTGTTATATCTGTTTCTGAAACTCATGTTTGCGATGCCTCGGAAATTGGACCGACTGCCGATAGAGCTGCTTCTTTCCATCGCACGATACCTACCAAGCCAAAATGACATCAATCGCTTAGTACAAACTAGCAGAAGCATTTACAACCGCTTGCACTTTTTCCTCTGTCAGCATAATGTGCACCATGGCCAAGGCTCTGCTCTGCTATGGGCCGCGCAGAATGGATACACTGAGTTGGCAACCAAAATGCTTGATGCTGGGCTGGAAATCGCCACGTTTGAACGCTCCAGTGAAGTGGCATATGACAAGAATTCCACGGGGGATCTTTCAAAAGTCAATCCACTTCTAATATGTGCCGAGGCTGGACACATTGACATTCTTAAGCTTCTGCTTTCCGAAAAAAGACCAAACCAAGCATGCTCGCCTGCTCAACTACGCACAGTTCTTCATTGGGCCCTTCGCTCTCATCAAGTGCAGATTGTGGAGTTGATGATTGAGCACAAGGCCCCCCTGGATCCTGCGGGAGAAAACAAAGAAGCCCCCTCTGCATTGGGCGCTGCTATTCTTGCTCGTTATAACTCTGTCATCCCTCGTCTTCTTGAACTCGGAGCACAACCGGGCGAATACGAATGCCCATGTCCTGTCGAGCGAGCAATATGTACTCATCAGCCACTACTCGTCGAGCTCTTGCTCAAACACCGTATCCCAATGAACTGTGACCAGGGTGTTTGTTATATAGCTTCTCAAGGAAACAAAGCACTACTCCAACTCCTAATTGATCATGGACTTGATGTGGGCGTTTACGGCAGGGCGGCGTTGTTATTCGCGATCAAAGAAGACCACTACGACATAACCAAGTTGCTCATTGACAATGGTGCAAGCCCTGAATTTGAGTGCGAAATATGGGAAGGTCTCGGGAATCGGTTCTCTTACAGCGCTATAGGCTATGCAATTCACTTTGGTCGCGTTGGTATTCTGAGGTTTCTGCTGAATGAGGGTGTCCTCCCGGGAGAAAGCGATTTGAAGCATCTCAATAGGTATTCGGAAGAATTCTTGCGTCTTCTTTCCAGTATCCCCAGGAAGAGATTGCCCAGGAAGGAGTCTTTGTATATGTTTTGTTCCTTCGCGGATCAGTACTACTCCAAGAGAGCGGAGAAGGATCCTAATTTCAAGATGCCAACCCTGACCTGTTTCATCGACGGCAGTATCTGGAAGGAAGCTCAACGCGGACCAGAATCTTGACTTCATTCTTTGAAACAAATCCCCCGTGATGAATTGGTGTTGAATTCTTCCGTACATCGATAACTGCGCTACTGCAGAAAGTTGACTTTCCAACCCCCGAATAATACAATTTAGGCATCACCTCTATAATTCTGTCGATCTGTCTCCATGTTAATCCATTGCGCTGATTGCAGCCTGGTGTGTTCTTTTGTCATGAATTATTCCAGATACACGCTGTGGCTTTCACCAAATCTGTTCTCCTTATGATAGGTAAGTTTGCTTCCTCTCCGGAATAATTGACATAGTAATGAATTCTCCAAGAAAGTGGCAACTAGGTAGACACAGAGCTACTGGTCAAATCTCTACCTACTGAACCCGTGGGCCAATGGCCGCATTAGATTGGTGCTATTTTTACTTGCTGGAAATTATATGTAACGCTTTTCTGGGTGTATCGGGATATTACCGCTAGTAAATTGCGTCAATTATCATAGCCATTCTAAGCACAGTACATTTCCAGGGGTGTCGGCAACTCTTTCCCGAGTATCAGAAATTCAATCTTTACTAGTGGGTATCTCAAGCTGCTGGTTGCACGGAGGGAGACGGAGTATCTCTTACGGGAACCCCATGTGCAGATTTAGCTTATGAGATACACATGCGGACCCTTGCAGTGAGGTGCATTATTTGGCAATGCCTAGCAGCTTCCTAATTTATATTTCGGAGAACTCGCCATATAGGGTATAGAGGGGTTATCATGGATTCAGGCACGATGTAACCAAGCAATTTCAAACTCCAATCTCGGGACGAACCGCCAGCTTAATGCATGCCATCATGGTGTTGACTAACTAAAGTACGTTTCTCGGCAGGTCATGCAGAGATTTGCCTTTTGCCTAAGGGCAATCAGGGCCTGCCTACTCCGCTCCTAATGCAGGTCTACTTTCTGTCGCACCCACTTGCTTTTGCATTGTAAAGTGGGGAGACTTTCGATGCAACCTCGGTTCGCAGGTACGTGACCAGAGACTATATCCGATCGTTGATATAGTCTCTTGGCTCTTCTGTTGGGGTGACATGGTAACCTCCAATCATTACTGGTAACTGCATGTCGTGTGGCAACTGTCTGGGGCTATATGCAGCCAAAGAAAGCATCGAAACCACGCAGGTGTCATGCGAGCTGCTATCTGGAAGAAGGTGGAGGGCTGGACACTCGCGATGCACCATGCAGTGTCTTTGGCACATTGCTGCAGCATCTAGTCTTTCAATAGTCCAGTTTGATATAATCTATCCGGCAGGTAGTGAGGGGGTGCGGTGTCACGCTCCCTGCCTTTCCAGGTGCAATATGCTGCTTTTCATGTCGGCTCGATTGGCTTAGTTTAGCAATGGCTTCGAGTAAAGGTCTTGGTCCCGTATCACAGGTGTGATATACCTAGTAAACATGAAATAGGTATAGCATCGGGCTTCAACCGACCTATGGATGTATCAGCCGAATCATAGTATTTAGTAGTTGAAATCTCTCTGGGTAGTGTTAAGACCCATCCTCCTTTGCACGAGAAATTTGTGCCTAACCCCAACAATACTGCCGCTCTTAACCATCATGGTCTCTCCTCTTCGGCTCTAATCCTAGCTCTTCTGGGCTCGGCGAATGCTGCTACCATTGAGTTACAATTTGCCAACGGGGACTCCGCCACTGGTGAAACGGACCCTGGTGTGAGCAGCGGCTGTACCTATTGGGCCAATTCTATCGAGTCAACCGACACGTGTGCGGCGCTGGAAGAATACTTTCGCATCACAACGGCCCAATTAGTTTCCTGGGTAAGCAAGATGAGTTTGGTCTATGTACCTCAAACTGACAGTATCCCTAGAACCCTTCTCTTTCAGCTACCGATTGTACTTTGAACGAGGGATGGAGCTATTGTGTAGAAGCACCTGCAGTCAATCCCACCACTACCAAACAGACAACCACCACGACTAAAGCCACAACAACCACTTCCACCACCCTCAAAACGACAACCACTACAACCAAACCCGGGGGCCCATCCCCTACCCAGTCGGGCTTGATCTCCACGTGTAATTCTTATTACTACGTACAGAAAGATGATTCCTGCTGGGCGATTGTGAATTCTTACGGCAGCTTCACCTTGGATCGGTTCTACTCCTGGAACCCGTGAGTCAACATATGGGACACCACTTACTTCCATGATTCTGACGAGATGGCATGATGGGATAGTGCTGTCAAGAACGACTGCTCCGGGCTCCAAGCAGGCTATTATGTCTGCGTTGGAGTCACCGGATCCAAGACTACTACCACTTCGAAGACAACCACGACAGCACCGCCGACTACCACCACGGACCCTCACTCACCGCATCAAAGTGGCATTGCGTCGAATTGTACGTGTCTCTCCAGTACTTTGCATTCTTTAAACTCCAATACAGATCTCAGGCTAACATGGCGTCATGAATCCAGGTAACAATTTCCATTTCGTCCAAGCCGGCGACGAATGTGGCAAGATCGCCACTAAATACGGCATCACCCTTAGCAACTTCTACGCCTGGAACCCTGCTGTCGGATCAAGTTGCAGTAACCTTCAAGCAGGTTACTGGGTTTGTGTTGGCGTTCCCGGTACCGTTTCGCGTCTCTGTCCTCACTTCATCCCGTGCTGATATCGGCTTCCAGGTAAAACCACCACCACCACCACTAAGACCACTACAACCAAAAAGACCACGACAACTACAGGCACCGGGCCGTCTCCAACACAGTCCGGCATTTTTGCGGGCTGTTCAGACTACTATCAAGCCAAGGAAGGCGATAGTTGCTGGTCAATTGTAAACGAGAAATACACCTACCTGACGACGGCCAAGTTCTACAAATGGAACCCAGCCGTGGGATCGACCTGTAGCAATCTACAGGCGGGGTATTATTACTGCGTAGCGACAAAGGATGAGGCACCGATGCCAGACACGATCAAAACATGCAAATCATGGCATCTCGTGGCTAGTGGTGACACGTGTTGGTCAATTGAACAGAAGTACGGGATTACAGCGACGCAATTTGGGAAGTGGAATCCTTATGTAGGGTCGTCTTGTACGTCTTTGTGGCTAGGGTACTATGTCTGTGTTGGTGTTTGATACAATTGATTGATTTGTCCGGTTTCGTGGAAGTGTTGTTGCTGGAGGACACGGTGGGGATATATCACCATGATCTCAATGAATAATTCGGCTTATCTAAAGGATTCCTCCTCCCCAAATCCTTATCCAATTGCATGATACAAATACTGAATAGCAGATATTCAATGCGTCCGGATGGTTCAGTACCATAGCCCTCGCCCTTCCGCCTCGCTCTTCTAGTTCGAGTTGTTCTTAACCGTGGTTCCGCTGGAACTACTCGTTTTCCTCCATCCTAAATAATACCTTTCTCTGCCGTCCGATGATCCGCTCCAACTTGGACCCAACCGTGCAATGCATTTGTAGAAGCCTGGGAAAGATCGAAAACGTATCAGCCGGATTCAACCTCGCGATCGATTTGCTAATCGTGCTTCTAGCAATCCCGATATTCTGGACACTCCAGATAATTGGGAAGATAATACTCAGCGTTAGGGTTGCCCTTTTGTAAGTCACTCTGACGTCTGCTCGTCCTCGTCGTACGTTTCTTGACTATACCCCCGACATAGTACGGCAGGAATCAAGTTGGGCCGGATCTTATAGCCCAATATATATGGCCAAAGCAACATCACACATTGTGCGCTCCATCACTTCATTCCAAGGGCAGCGGATGTTATGTCGAGGATCATCGTATTCTGTGCTCCTACTCTAGGTCCTATCCCGCTCGGTGCCCTCACGCGAACATTCCTGGAACGAGCAATGAAAGGTTATGTGCAGTAGAATCTTCTCGTCGGATATGAGCAAATGAAACGCCACAGTCCGATATTTCACTGAGCCCGTATGATGAAGATGTGCAGCTCGATGGCAGCGAAGTTCTCGCGGTCACTCGCATCGAATGCCGGCCTGCGTACTGCGTCCAGAGCCCTGGCTCTGGCAAGGCCCTGGTGGTGCGAGGTTCTCTCTTTTGGAAGGCGATGGATCAACTCTTGGGGTGGTAATAGAGCGCCACAAAATGCGGGAGACCACAGGAGGGAAGTGGAAACGTACTATATGACAAGGGGGCGTTGACTTTAAACATTAGCCATTCTGGAGCATGGATATATCTTAAGTTGCATAATACCATCTGTGTTAAAAAAACCCGTGGCATGGAAAGAGCCGAATTCTGGGCAAACTAGCATGAGAAAGAACTGAAAAGAAAGACCGTATGAGAGTCTTGTCTAGATTCGCCTCTCCAACATCAACGCCAGTGAAATAGCTGTTCCTGCTTATCTCATGCCTTCTGTTTTTACATTCACTGTTTAGGTTTCCTGCCTATGAGTGGCTCGACTAGAAGTCTTCATTGCTGTAGCTATTTTATTCCATGCACATATCTAGCTCTACTCTGTCTGGTATTCCAAATCCTACTAGAATTAAGGGCACGTCAAGGTATAAACCCATGGCTCAATATGACTTTCGTCTCGCTTAGGTCAAGTCCCTATATTTGAGATCGGGGCAAAGTGATCGAAAGTCAGGGTGGCACCAAATCTAGGCTATGCTTGGTCAATTAACTGAGACCTAATATGGCAAGGACGAGGGACTGCTCCAAGTCACCTGTCATCTTCCCCTCCTTCGCCAGCTTCCTAGCCTTACCTTCTTTCCGCAACTCACCCAGCTCCTAAGCCTCGAGTCTCCATCCCCAATCTCTACTCTACAAGATGTTCGCGGCTAATTCCTTCTACATCAATTATGCAGGTGAGGTGAACTTCTGGAATTTCTCCATTGAATGTCAGACCTGTGGGCGTGTCTTTCGGACGCAGTATTCTTGTAACCAACACATGGATGCCAAAGATCATTGGGCCCCTGTCTACGAATGTAGGACCTGTTATAAGAATTTCTATTCCATCAATGCCTTGAACCAGCATATGGACGCCAAAAGCCATCGGGCTCCGGTCCATGAATGTGAGACATGTGACAGGGTCTTTGGTTCCCTCAATGCCGCCAACCAGCACATGCGAGATAAGTCTCATTTCAAAAACTACTGCCCTGCTTGCGATCGACACTTTACGAATGAGAACAATCTCAAAACGGTGAGATACGTCGATTACTAGAACTCCGCCCTTTACCATGATACTCACGCGGTCTCCATACTGACAATTGACGGTTCTATATCTAGCATCTGAACTCGAGTGTTCACCGTGGTCTCACCATGATCTGCCCGTTTTGCAAGCACAGCTTTACTTCTGCCAGCGGTGTCACCTCGCATCTTGAGAACGGATCCTGTCAAAACGCCCCGTCGCTTAACCGAGAAAAGGTTTACCGGATCGTGAACAGGAACGACCCAAGCGGATTTATCACGAAGAAGCAGATCGAATGGTATCCTGAAGACTCCGCTCAGTACTCTGCCACCAACCATGCCTTCAATGGTTCTTTTTGGCAATGCTATATCTGCCATGGGGAGTTCTTCACCGTGCATGGTCTTAACCAGCATCTAAACTCTCCAGTCCACAAGCAGAATCTCTACCAGTGTCCAAATAAAGGCAATTGTGGCAAGGAGTTTGTCACCCTGGCTGCTCTCCTCAATCATCTGGAGAGCGAAAGCTGTCGCTTGGTGAGGTTCGAAGCAATGAATCAGTGCGTCAACGATGTCGTTCAGATGGGATCGTTTCTTACTTCCTGATCTTTGTCGCTTCTGCTGTTCAGGACGGTGTCACTGGACATGTTTGCAATGTTTACCTTATTCGATGATTACTTGTTTCCCTTCTTTTCGTTCTACTGAGCAGATGGGTGTTGCGGTCGGGTCTGTCGGACGTGTGTGGTGACGGATGTACCTTCTAGGTGAAGCTTTGCAGATGTTGCTTGTACTTAGTGGCTGTGTTGCCCCTGTCTTATGTCTGACAAGTCATCAATCAACAAGGCTGGGTTTCATGGCGAGAAGATTTCCAAATGAAGTTTCTCTCAGGAACCAATGGCAGTACATTGTTTGACAAACCTCTCCGCCACGAAAATCCTTGCAGGAGAATTGACCGATCAGGCCGAATTAATAATTGATCTATCATCTGTACGAAAAGAACCGAGGTCCTCGATCTATGTCTATGACTATATTACCACGTCGTCGAAGTCCATCCAAATAATCAAACCTCTATCCCCGCCTTCCGTCGATCCGTCTACTTCGCCTCCGTCTTCTTTTCCTTCCAGACCAGCCATCCCAGTCCAATCACGAACTTGAACCCAGCTGCCATCCACAGCGCCGACTGCATTCCACCGCTACTTTTACTCAGCCACCCGCCTACGATCGCTCCAACCAGCAGCGCGACAACGCCGCCCACGCGACGGTTCCGCTTGGGATTCGTCGTCGGCACCTGCGCCAGTTTCGGATCCGACGCCACGTCGAAGTATACGCTTGTCAACACGACGGTGGGAATTTCATTATACCCCAGAGACCGACTGGAGGTGATGGATCCGGCGGACTGGAACGCCAGCAGCGCAATGGGAATCAGCTCCAGGAACAGCGGGCCTCCGGTCAGGGTCATATCATCCGAGGTGTGAGGGATCAGGTCGGCTTCGATCAGGGCGACGGCGATCACGATCAAGATGGTTTGCGCCAGGAACGACAGGAACAGGGTGCCGCGGCGGAGGGCGCCGACGCGACGGGTGATGTTGGAGAAGACGAATGCGCCAATGAAGAAGGCCGCAATGGAGACGAGCGATTTCAACCAGCCCCACGGCTTGTTGCTGGGTTGGCCAGATGCGCCAAGGCCAAGGAAAATGGTGTTTCCTGGCGTTGGTTGGTGTCTGTTAGTTTGGGGTTTCTTGGGGTTTCTCGGCCGATTTGAGGGGGGAAAGTTGGAGAAGGGGAGCCACGAACCGGTTTGCATGGCCAAGAAACAGGACCAGGCATTGTAGGCACTGCTGTCGCAGAGACCGGTGACCAGACACAGCAGGATACAGATGAGGTCGGCGTGCTTGGGGTCAACGGATTGCTTCCATCGCTGGGTCAGCGACGACGATTGCGCCGGCTGCGCTTCCAGGTCGCGGGGCCCGTCGCTGGTTTTGTTTTCCGCCATTGTCTGACACGAGAGGGTCCCAGGTATGAGGAAAAGAGAGTGAAGGGCCTGGGATAGGGGAAAGGAGTGGACGGCCAAGCCCAAATGGAGGAGATGGGAAGAGGGAAAGAGTGACTTTTAATTCGGGAGGGCAGAAAATTTGCGGTCGGAGTCATCCGTATCTTTTCGCCGGAGCGTCTCCGATGGCGTGCGTTAGTGAGTCTTCAACCATCCCCCTCAATCAATTGCTTCTGCGATCGTCCATCACTGCATCCAGTTCTCTCCCAATGATAATAGCTGCTGCCTGATTGCGACATCGGGCTCGCTCCATTTGATTTGTCTCGGCGAGCCACTAACTGCTTGCCAGAATCCACCGCTGCGACTCGGTTGTTTGCCAGTGGATCAGGCCCACGCCCCGCACGGATAGGGCTGAGAAATTCCTCATTATGGGCTGATATTATTGATGGAGCATTGACGGGAATAATGGGAAGCCATGCAATAAACATGCACGATGGAGTGCAGGTGGAAAGGGAAAAAATGCCTGACCTCGCTGTCAGCCTCGGCATTGCCAAAGCATACAGGAAGATTGGTTTTTCCATTCTATCGAAATGTCTCCATTCAGACAGAATCCCGGGCCGCTGATGACACAATCAGAACATAATCATTAATGAGCATATTGAGCCTATTGAGCAGAACACGTCGACCCTGACGGACTCCCTCATCCTCATTGAACGAGCGACAGTCATGACCTCACGCTTTTACCAGCAAGCAATCAGCTTCTTTGTCCTCGAGTCTCGACTCGTCCAGTGACTCCGTCCCGACGCGGGAATGGCGATGGATGTCATCGTCATAATCGTATCATCAACGCCACCCATTGCCATATAAGTAAGCCCCGCAACTTCGCACAATTCTCTTGTTTTTCCCCAGATATGACTCGAATACTGCTACATCACATACGAATCTGAATCAATCCATAGCTTGCTGGTACGTGTCTCGGAAAAAGGTGCCTTCAAAGTACCTCAGAAGCTGCTGGCAAGTAGCTTGCTGGGCGTGCAGACAAGGTCTAACCAATCAACAGTAACAACGCCAACATGCCTACTATGCCGACCTCCAAGTTGGAAAACGTGTTCCGCAACATGACCGGGGCTCAACAAGATGAGCAAAAACAAAACAGCTCCTCTGTCAATCCCGCATGGAACACTGAGGAATTGCTTGAGACTACGCTGGATAAGAATGGGAATCCTGTCCCCGATCGCTATGCATACACCGACGGCGAGAGGATGTCCTCTAAAGGCCCTCATCAACAGCCCGAGGCTGATGCCTATGAAGCTGCCACCGAAGACTTTGACTAAATACTGCATCGCAGCTGATACTGTCGCCTGAGAAGGCCAGGCAAATTACGAATATGCTGACACGCATGATTTGAAAATTGAAATGAAACGAAATGAAGTGATATGATGTTGTATGTTTAAAACATATAGTTAATATGCCGACATCCCAATGGAATTGAGTTCACCGGCACCACGAGAACAACTTACGTAAATTATGCACCCGGGAGAATTATTGTTATCCGTAGAACAATGGCATCTGTCGAGCACTAGAAAACGCAATGAATCATCTAGACCTGGGCCAAGTGCCCAAGGCCTGACCGACAGATGATGGCCAGCTGGAAACCTGGCGAATTGCTATGGCAACCGGTCCAGCTCGACCGTCGCTGCCTCAGGCCGCCAACACTCCGAATCGGGCAAAAACCAAACTGATGCAAAGTGGAATGCAGTGCATTAATTCTTATTCTCGTCCTTATCCTCTCCACGTCTTTCCTGTCTCTCTCCCGCGCTCCAGATTCCACTCTGTCTCTGGTCCTTGCGTTGTGTTCACTGCATGTTTCTCTCTTTGATCCTCCATCGCAGCAGTCTCTCTGGCATATCTCCCCGACACACTCCCTTGTTGGAAATACCGACCGGTCCCCTAATCCATGTGTTCGCCTGCACGTCGTGGCCCTGGAACATAAAATCCTGGCTTGTCGCTGTCGCTGTCGCTGCTTTCTCCGGAGAAAACAAACGGGAAGCAAGTAACCTCGCAGGAGCGACCATCCGACACCCTCGTCTCGTCTCGTCTCACCTTTGTGCCTCGGCCCTTTCCCAGCAGCAAATAACCTCCAAGCGACCTTCCTAGCTATCCATCTACTTCCTGCGGCGCCTGTCCTCCCCCCATTCTCGCCATCCATCGGTGGTACGAGCCTGTATGTACCATTACCTTCTAAATCGCCAACGAGACCTCGTCACTCAGTTTGAACAGTTGTTGAGGCATTCCTGTCAGGACATGGCCTTGGATCCCCGTTTCTACAACCACCTTGGCCATGGCACCGGCCCCAGCTCGCAGTCCTCGATCACGTCTGCAGGCTCCGCCATCACCGGGATAACCAGTCCGTCCATTCGCTCCACCAATGCCTCTTCTGCTGCTCTGCGGTCCACCGCATCTAGCCCTTCCCTGCGCGCCAAACAGGGCGTCGTCATGTCGCCGAGTCGCATGGAGGGGGTGGCTAGTCCGTCGCCTGGAGGGAATGTGCGCGTGGTGGTGCGGGTGCGGAATTTCTTGCCTAGAGGTATGTGCTTATCGTCTGGGAGGTTGAATTGGATGGAAACGTGCAGGAGGTGAATGTTGAACTCACATGTGGCTATGATGTATAGAGATCGACCGCAATGCCGAGTGTCTGATCACCATGGACCCGAATACGCAAATGACCAAGCTAAGAGCGCCGCGCATCAACCCGCAAGACGAAGGGAAGCCGAAATCACAGGCCCGAGGGAAGATCTTGGAGGACAAGTCGTTCATATTCGACAACTCGTTTTGGTCGCATGACAAAGATGACGAGCACTACGCCTATCAGGAGGATGTGTACAATTGCCTCGGAGAGGAGTTTCTCGACCACAATTTCGAAGGATACCACACGTGCATTTTTGCCTACGGTCAAACCGGTTCCGGAAAGAGTTACACGATGATGGGGACCCCAGATCAACCCGGGCTCATCCCGCGGACCTGCGAGGATCTGTTCCAGCGCATTGAGGGCGCACAAACCGCCGATATGAGTTTCAACGTCCGCGTGTCCTACTTCGAGGTTTACAATGAGCATGTGCGCGACCTGCTAGTCCCCCGAACGGACCCTCCGCATTATCTTCGCATTCGCGAGTCGCCGTCTGAGGGGCCCTACATCAAAGATCTTACCGAAGTGTCGGTGCGCAACTTTACAGAACTCATGAAATTCATGCGCAAGGGAGACGTTTCGCGGACTGTTGCAAGCACCAAGATGAACGACACTTCCTCGCGTTCCCACGCCGTCTTTACGATCACTCTGAAGCAGATCCACCACGACCTGTCCACCGACGAAACCACCGAGCGTACAGCGCGTATTCGTCTCGTTGATCTGGCGGGTTCTGAACGAGCCAAGTCCACCGAAGCCACCGGCCAGCGGCTGCGCGAGGGGTCCAACATTAACAAATCACTGACGACACTAGGCCGAGTCATCGCAGCGCTGGCGGATCCCAAAGCCGGCCGACAGGGCAAACGTAAAGGCAAAGATGTGGTGCCCTATCGAGACTCTATACTCACCTGGTTACTGAAAGATAGCTTGGGAGGTAACTCGAAAACGGCCATGATTGCTTGTATCTCGCCGTCAGATTACGAGGAAACCCTATCGACCCTGCGGTATGCAGACCAAGCCAAGCACATCCGCACGCGGGCTCGAGTAAACCAGGATCATCTCTCTGCGGCGGAACGAGATAAACAGATCGCAGAAATGGCCGAGACGATTCGCACACTTCAACTCAGTGTCAGCCTTGCCACAGCAAACAAACGGGAGACTGATATGCAGAATGAGAAGCTTGAAGATTACCAGCAGAAGGTGGAGAAACTCCAGCGAATGATGGAAGAGACGAAGATGGTCAGTGAGTGCAAGATTAAACAACTACAGACTGAGAACGAAGCGCTCCGCAACCATCTTAAACTCGCACTCGATAGTTTAAAGAACCCAATTCCTCCGGTGACCCTCGAGAAACGCAGCACCAGTTTAAGCACTGTAAGCGAAAACGACAGCTGCTTGTCCGCTCGAGATAAGGAGAATCGTCCCGGATCACCTACATCAGACGTTGAAACCGAGCCAGATCTTGTCTGGGAAGATGACGAGGATACCATCCGTATCAATGACAATCACCTCGAAGCCCAAGACATGCAATCTCATATGGAAGATCTCCTCATGGACCTCAGTCTTTTCAAACGCAAGTTGGCGTCCGACCATGAACGCTTCCGAGCAGTCCAGGGACATCCAAGTCGCAAACGCCGACGAGCTCTAGGAGACATCTACCAATAACCGATAGGTCTGGTTTGGGCTGCACATTGGGCGGCTTTTTGTTTGTTTGGGCTTACGGCGCACTGCGATCGGAGTTTGTTCTCATTGGTTCTTGTAGATGGACAGCGGATGGAGAGGCCCTGATACCCTGACCTTTTTTCCCTGGAGATTAGAGGCTGTCTATTACCTTGGGAGGTTATTTCTTGTCTGCCTTCTTTTTCTCTTTCTCGAGTCTTTTGTCTTTTTGATTCTTGCCTCCTTTTTTTTTTCGATTCTTGTGACTTTTTTTTGGCCTGACGAAATGACGAGATGAATGTATGCCATAATTTGATGCCGGCATGACAGACTAATCACGATGCAATTGATGATGATTCCTTCCATCCGTGTTCTAGCGAGTACCGTAGAAGCCTGCCTGCGCGTGTTCAGGCATCCTGTTTGTCCTGCATGCTAACCCACTTCCGAATCGGGCCATGTTCATGCATAATTACATAAGCGCATTATTCACCGCCTGAGGCAGAAAAAAGTCGCCCGATGCAGTAATTTCCCATTATTACTCATTCATTGAATTGTGCCCCTCCGATTCTCTCTCTCTTCGAACCTCGCCAATTCCCCTCGCCCTTCTCGCATTCGTCTCGACCCATGCAATCCACCATGGCGAACCCTGTCGAGTCTACGCAATCCGCGTCCCTGGAAACTTCTACACCCGCCCCTTCTACGCCGTCGCAATCCGTCCCAGAAATGCAGACCCAGCAGCAGCCCTCGCAGCCCTCACAACCGCAGTCCACCGAACCCGCCTCGAAACCCACCCCCGCGAAGCAGCCCAAACAACCTAAACAACAAGCCAAGGCCGACGCTGGTGCCGGTGCCCCGGCCGACGGAGCCGACGCGAAGCTCACGCCCGCCGAGCTGAAAAAGAAAGCCAAGGCGGAGAAAACGGCGCGGCGCGCTCGCGAGAGACTCGAGCGAGAGGCTGCTGGCGGCGGCGCTGCCCCTGCCGGACCGGGCACGCCGTCCAAGAAGGGCGGTGCGGGTGGTGCTGGGGGGGCTGGAGGAGGAGGAGCTGGGGGCGCCGGAGCGAAGGATGCGTCTGCTGGGGCGGGCGCGTCGCAGAAAGGTCAGCGGCATCGGAGAGGCTCTGCGCATGGCGGAGCACCCGTGGAGGCGAAGAAGAAGCAGGAGGATAAGAGCGTGGCGGTGTTTGGACATTTGTATGGGCAGCCCAGGAGGACAACTATTGCGGGGGCTGGCAAAGAGGTGCATCCGGCTGTTTTGGCGCTGGGACTGCAAATGAGGGATTATGTGGTTTGTGGGAGTAGTGCTCGGTGTGTGGCTACGTTGTTGGCGTTCAAGAGAGTATGTTTTCTTTGCTTTTCTCTCTTTGTTGGTTGGAGGGGGTGTTCCTGTTGTCTGGGGAGCGTTCATGCTGATCCGCGTTTAGGTTATCGAGGTTTACACTACCCCTCTGGGTACTTCGCTGCCTCGCCACTTGACCACCCACCTGTCTCATCAGATCACCTACCTTTCGACATGTCGACCGCTCTCGATCAGTCAGGGCAATGCCATTCGGGCTCTTAAGCTGGCCATCTCGTCCATTGACCCGTCCATGCCAGAGGCTAGCGCCAAGGCGTCGCTCAGCGATTTCATCGACAGCTTTATCCGGGAAAAAATCACGGTGGCCGACCAGGTCATTGCGGGAAGCGCTGCGCAGAAGATCCAGGATGGCGATGTGATTGTCACGTTTGCGGGCAGCTCGATTGTCAAGCAGACGCTTCTCACCGCGCACAAGCAGGGCAAGAAGTTCCGCGTATCCATCATCGACTCTCGTCCCCTGTTCGAGGGCAAGAACATGGCGCGCACGCTCGCCAACGCCGGTCTGGAAGTGCAGTACTCGCTGGTGAATGGCATCAGTCACGCGATCAAGGATGCTACTCGTGTTTTCCTCGGCGCTCACGCCATGACCAGTAACGGACGGTTGTACTCGCGAGTCGGCACGGCGCTGGTCGCCATGTCGGCCAAGGAGCGTGCCGGCGGCGTTGAAGTCCCCGTGATCGTGTGCTGCGAGACCGTCAAGTTCACCGACCGCGTTGCGCTGGACAGCATCGTCGTCAACGAGATTGCCGATGCCGACGAGATGGTTCCCCACCCCCCTGCGCATCAATTCACCGATCTACCAGACCCTGCCGCCGAAGCCGCCGCACAAGCAGAGACCACGAAGAAGGGCAGCAAGGCGGCTGCTCCCAGTCCCGAACCCGCCAACATTCCTAAGAACAGCGATTCCCCTCTGGCGAGCTGGAAAGACACCGCGAACCTGCAGCTGCTCAACATCATGTACGATGTCACCCCCGCCGAATACGTGGACATGGTGGTTACGGAGATGGGCAGCTTGCCGCCTAGTGCCGTGCCTATTGTGCATCGGATGAGTACGAATCTGTGAGAGGCTTGATTTGATTTCTTCTTTTTTACCCATTTTCTCTCTAGCTGGAATGAATCTGTGGTCTCTTTATTTTCGTTGTTTTTAATCTCGGGCTTGAGGATGATATGGAATGGAACGGCATTGATTCTTGGAGGATTTGATCTGGTGTATTGACTAAATGGTGTACTGGTATAGGTAGGCAGCATTAGAGTAAAAGTTTCATACCTTCTTACAACTTGTGTGGTCACTATGCAGCATTTGTTTCTAGGCATGGGCCTTTTACGAGGAATCTCACCGCCCGCAAGACTCCTAGGCGGTCAGTCATCTTGAGATATCCTGTGAGACTCTGACCGCCCACGCTAAGCTGACCGCCCAGATCCTCGCGGGGAAGAATTCTCAGGCAATCTGCGCTTTTATACACCACAGACGCGTACTAGGTTTGATTACAGAAAGACTGATATACTCCTATCCACTCGTAGAGATTTCTGCCATCTTTCGGCTAGGAAAGGGTACTAGCGAAGCCTCCAGGCGCCGGTACCTCACTAAAATAAACGCTAGTTTGTGCCGGCAATATTTCCAGCCAGTCACGTGGTTATGACAATACTGCCAGTGTTGAAGCAATCAACAACCTCTCTCTACCTTACTACTTGCATACTTCTCTACCTTCTCAACAATTGTGCATCCATCTATCTGTACACACCAAATTTAAAGTCCAAGTCTACAACAAGCAACACAATTCAAAATGGTATGCTTCTCCTTTCTCCTCCCTGCCTCCTACTCTACCTTCTCTCCATCCACCCCTCCCAACCAACCCATCCAAACCCAAAGCTAACAAACTTTCCCTCTAGAGCAAAGACTCCTCCCCCACAAACATCCACATGCACCACCCCCGTCTCGCCGACTTCTACGAAGACTTCACCCGCCCACACACATCCCTCCTCACCTCCTCCAACCCCGGCACAACAACCACAACAACAACGCACGCCCCAACCGCCAGCAACACCAACAACGGCGCCACCGGCTCCGGAACCACAACAGTAACATACGGCTCGTCATCCCCCACCCTCGTCCCCTCCTATCTCCCCATCGAAGACATCTACGTCGCAGCGCAATACCAGCCCCCGAACCCGGAAGACGAAGACGACGTGGTCCCGGACCAGCACGCGGCGTTTGGGATCGCGAGGGCGATGGAGCGGAGACGCGAGGCGGTGTGGCGCGATCTGGGCATGGAGGAGCTCATGGGTGCGAGTGGGGGTGTTGGGGGGAGGGGCGGGGGTGGGCTTTTGGGGGGTGGTCTTGCTGGTGGTGGTTCTGGTGGGATTGGGGGGTTGAATATGGGGGTGGGGAGTGGAAGTGCGGCGGGGGTTAGGGTGAGGGTTAAGGAGAGTGGGAGGAGGATGGGAGGGAGGAGGGAGGTTATTTGTTTGAGGTGATCTTTTTTCTTTTTTTTTTTTTTCGATCCTGGTGCGAGTGTGGAGTTCGAGACTATGGACACGGTTTGTTCTATGGTGTTGGTGTTGGGTTGATTGATATGGTATGGGATGGATGGATGGATGGATGGAGGATGATTATTATACCCGGTCGTTATTTCATTTCATGGTTCACTAGTAGGTAAAGCCTATCAATACACTATATCCTATCCTATATCCGGATGATATCTACTCGCGCGCGTTCGTAAAGCTTATGGCTGAGTTGTTTCTGCTCGCGCTCCTCCTCGTCGATCTCGCGGCGATGGATCGCCATCTGTGCGTACGTTCCGGCTGCGCGTCGTTTGGAGAGTGTGCCGGGGTTGATGACCAGGACACTGTTGACCACCTAGACACACGGTCGATTAGCACTGTACTATCCAGTCCATAAAGTGGGATTTACCTTGACAAATGGTGGAAGCATACTCGGCGTGATGAGCACGTCCGGACGCACGTTCCACCACTCTCCGAGCTTGAGATAACTGACGTCGAGCATAGCGCCTGTAGCCAGCGCGTCCTCGATAGGAGGCTTGGGAAAGGAGTCGCGCGACGATGGGGGGAAGATGGGAAGGAAGTGCCGTTGCTCGATGAGGTAGTTTGGTAGTCGCGTGAGCAGGTTTCCTTCTGTGGGCCGTCCCTGAAGGACCTCCTCCTTGCGGAGTTCATATAGAACGTCATGCGAGCCCATGCCGATGACTGTCTCATTCAGAGATAACGTCACGGGGTTGGAGACCATGCGCACTTGTTTTGGTAGTCCCAGTTCCTTTTTCGGGAGCTGTTCCTGTGGCCAAGAGACGTGTTTGCTCACAGCATCGCGGACGGACGGGACCAGGACGATGGTGATGCTGGGAACAGCGGCAGCCAGGCGCTGCAGTGGCGTCGAGATACAATGCCGGAACACTGTGGTTAGGGTTACTGTGTCCGGGTCCCCGTTGAAGTCTGGAAGATCGAAATCCCCCGACGCTAACAGCGGGTGCTCGATGTCCAAGAATGGCCCCATCAGGATGACGCTGTCTGCCATGCTATCGGCGGCCTTCTGGCAAATCTCGTGTAGTGGCTCGAATTCTAGATTATCATCGGCAGTATACGGTCCCGAGGCAACCAAAATGTTCAATGGCGAAGATCCGGACTCCTCCAAGCGGTGGTTGATGTTATCCAGTGCCGCCACGGACGACGCCGCTGGTGGGAGGAGCGGCGTCGGAAGTATTTCCTTGACCGAAAAATAATTTCCTGAGGCATTGATGCCCCTGAGTGCAACAATCTGGCCGGGAATCAAGTTCACCGACGGGAGCGAATCGATCTTCAGAGGTACTCGTAAGCCAGCTCCCGTTCGTCTCGAGGTTTCCAGCACCAGGGACGCCGGGTTAAGCTTCCCCTCCAAACTGTCGGATGCGATCCGCCCAACAGCAAACACCTCGCCCGTGCTCTGAATAGACGCACTGCCAAACGGGAGATCTTCGGTCTCGTATTGTTTCTGAAACAACGCCATGAATTCGTCGATTCGATCGTCCAGGATCTCGGACGCCTCCGACTGCCGCATGGCCATAGGTTTATATCCGAACTTTTTGAGATCCGTGTTTGCCGTGGGCTTTATCCGAGCCTCGGAGAAGGGTGCCATAGGCGTGTCGGGCGCTGATAAGTGCGAGTTGAGGGTTTCGAGCGTCTGTCCAGGATTCGTACGTTCCGAGAATGGTACCGGTCTGCGATTGCGGTCAATGGGGTTTACTAACGACAAAGTTCTCTAGCACCTACTGAGGCCCATCACCCACGGGTCCGCCGTTCACCTTGCGGGGAGTTTTAGAGCTCATCGGCGACTCATTGTTTCCAGCTCTTCCAACCTTCGAGATGGACGGCGACCCAAAATCGGATTTGCGCTTCGCCGAGCCATTCGCATTAGGAGTTCGGTTGTGGGAGGCATTTGGTGTCAGGCCATCGAGCCTAAGGCACAATCAATAGACTTAGTCTGGGATAGAAGACAATTATTTGACAGCGGGTATACTTACATGCCAAATACATCAGAGGTTGTATTAGCCCGCGGGGTTGCCGTTGTCGCCTTTCTGTTATCCGCATGTCGTCCGGCCTTGCTTCGACTCTCGCGCTCCAGGGTGTCTTGCACATCTCGCTTAAACAGGCGAACAGTGTCCAGATTCAGTTTCGTCTCTTCCGCGCCCATCTTCAAACAATATGATTCCCACTTATAGAACAGCTCTTGCGGGGCGATCGAGTGCACTCGCAACACGGACTGCAGTTCCGCCAGGACATCCTGGGGAATCCCGCCGGGGGAGGCTCCCGCAAAGAGCTCATTGAGCTCAGCGACGATGTCGTCTTCCATGGTGTCGACTTGAGTGAACTTCAATTCAGGTGCTTCGGGCAATGCGAGCCTTCAATGTCCGCCAGAAAGTGCCGACGCGCGCAGAGCGAGAGACGCGCACCCGCGTTTTGACCGCCTACCGGATCGAGGTGCCAACCCGTCCACGTACTCCGTAGATTATTCTGTAGACGATCTTCCTGTGGGCCTTGTCGATCACTGCTGACTGGTGACCCTGTTCATTCATTTGCTGAGTTTCCCACGAGAAAAGACAAAAAGGACAGACTGCAAATTGAAAAATATCACGGCCATTGAGGTGATATATGGTGCACTAATTCCCTTCCATCTTCATTTGTTGACATCTACTCCCCAGATCCAGCCCCGCTTACCTACACATCCGCTTACCATGTCCGCACCGTCGGAAACCGCTGCTTCGGCGGAGAATTCAACCAACCCACCTGCAACCCAGGCTGGCGGTCAGGAACCGACTCCCACCCAAACCTCCCAAGTTCAGGCCTCCACTGAACCCACGACCAACGGCAAAGATGCTGAGCTGGACCTGCCATCCTCCGCCGCCGACGGCCTCATCCAAAAGCCCTTCCCCCGACCTCTCGAGACCGCGAAGCCAGAAGCCCCCGCCGAGCTCAGTGAGAAAGACAAAGCGACATACGATGAAGTCCTGAAGGCCGTTTCGGAGTGGACTACCGTGCCTACCACGTCCGCCCCCAATGCCCCCGCAGAACCGATCACCGACGAGGAGCGCATGTGGCTGACTCGGGAGTGCCTGCTACGATACTTGCGAGCGACCAAGTGGAATGCCCAGGAGGCCGTGGCTCGACTCCAACGGACCCTGACGTGGCGCCGCGAGTACGGCGTGCAAGGATTGACGCCGGAACACATCTCGGTTGAGAACGAGACGGGAAAGCAGGTCATTCTGGGATACGACATCCACGGGCGGCCATGTCTCTATCTTCTGCCGTCCAACCAGAACACGGAGAAGAGCGATCGCCAAATCCAGCATCTCGTGTTCATGCTGGAACGAGTTATTGACCTTATGCCGCCTGACCAGGAGACTCTGGCGTTACTGATCAACTTCAGCGACACCAAATCTGGACAAAATGCCAGCATCGGACAGGCTAAGCAGAGTCTGAACATTTTGCAGAACCATTATCCGGAGAGACTGGGTAGGGCCTTGGTCATTAACAGTACGTTCAATCTGAATAATCTTGGCCCCCATTGCGTTCTTGTTTTTATCCATCTGACTTGATGTAACAGTGCCATTCATGATCATGGGCTTCTTCAAGCTGATCACCCCATTCATCGACCCCAACACCCGGCCAAAGCTCAAGTTCAACGAGGATCTGCGGCAGCATGTGCCCCAAGGACAGCTGATGAAGTCCATGGGAGGCGATGTCGAGTTCCGATACGACCATGCCAAGTACTGGCCTGCTCTGATTCAGTTGACCGAGCAGCGGAGAGCCGCGTATCACGAGCGGTGGGTTCAGGGTGGCAAGCGCATCGGCGAACATGAGCACTATCTCAAGACCGGAACCAGCCCCAGCCTCGCCCAGAGCCAGGGTAATTGATGGGCTTTTGCTACGGTCGATTAGCCCGCGTTTGACCTGCGGGTCATGCCATTTATCTTCGTCTAATTCTATAGAGCACATTTTCAGCGCGCGGCACTGCTTGGTTTAGAAGACGCATTACATTGTGCTGTTGATTAGATCTATTTCGGGTTATTTTTATTATTGATCACTTACTGTTCGTGCTTTCGGTTTTCTATCATTTTCATTATAATATTTGTCTCGGCAATCTACCGGGATTAATGATGTATAGACATTAGTTAGAGCCATCAGGTACTATGATGCTGGTTGAGATATGCTTTCCTTATGCTGTGTTTATATAAGCGGCACAAACAGTGCATTTCTGTCACGTGGCGATTGTGGGGCATGTTTCTGCCTCGTTCCTCGGGCTGCGAAGTCTCATACTTCCCTCCGTGGAGGATGGAACAACTCAGTTGCCATGACGTGCAATATCCAAGACCGAGGATCGGTTCATCATGACAGACAGATATTTGTGGCAAATTAAGAATTTCCAACAAAGCCATCCCTGTCTTCTCTTTCCCCCCATCCTCCATCGAGCAATGGGACCTGTCGATCCAAGGCAGATAGTGGAAGTTACTGTTCGTACGGAGTACTGCCTCGTGGTTGGGGTAGATAGAGCAAAACTAGCATCATCATGTACGTAGATGGGTCAAGTATGCAGATAGATACTCCGTTTGTAGATAATCGAAGTACCGTTTGTGTGTTCCCTCTTCCCCGCCTACATAACATAAGCTTGGTTATGCATAAAGTTATCCAACGCGGCAACGGCGGTAGTGAACCATTCATCCAGCGAGACGAACTCCAGACAAACCGTTGCCAACGTCGCTCTTTGGCTTGTTCTGCCGCATGCCAGACCCTCCAATCCATTCCACTGCCTGTCCATGTTGTAAGGTTACTTTTTGACTTTCTCACCGGTAGAGAAACCACCCTCTCAGACTCCCGATCGCCCATCTCCATCAATCATGACGGCGGGTGAAGACCCCACGGGCAGAACCAGCGCTTCACCACCGCCCCAGCCCGCCGCGACCGACGACATCCATTCCTCCACTACGTCGTCCTCCACCACAACTCCGATCACCGCTTCCTTCCATCACCATCAAATCCGCTCCTCCTTCCCTGATTGTCAATCAGTCCGCGGTCACGAGGGCTTTGTGCAGCCCTCTTCTTACCTTCGTCCCCGAGGTCTTTCGCATCCAATGGCCCCTGCCCAGCCCGAGAGGGCGATCGATCGGGAAGAACGTCAGGGTCTAGTGAGTCTTTCTCTCTTTTCTTTTCTTTCCTTTGCTTTTTTTTTCTGGACTTCTTCTTTATTTCCTGCTCTACGCGCCTTGCTTCGTCGCGCGTTCCTGTTTGATTACTGCTATTTTTATCTATCTGTATTTTCTTTTTCCCGAGTATCCTTGCATCTTCCCTCCCCCCTCCATGCCCCTCATCTTGTCCTATGGTCGTGTCGCGGGCTACGATTCTCCTCCGCGTCCACTCACTCGTCAACGTCGCATGGGATTCTCGAATCCAGGGCAAATTAATTGTACCGTTTGAACCCGTTGTGGCTTGGCCAGTACACTTACGTCTGTCGTCGATTTCGTTCAGTTAAAAAGCGTCGAGATCTGGACTAATAGAGCCCTATCCATTCTATCTACTGTAGTCTGCCATTCGCAACTTCCTCAAAGTCCGTACCAGCTACGATGTCCTCCCGCTTAGTTTTCGCCTGATCATATTCGATACGTCCTTGTCCGTCAAAGAGAGTCTGAATATCTTGATCCAGAATGGCATGTACCCGAACCCCTCGAATCGCGTGCCCGACCCCTCACCGAGCGAAGCAGGACTCCTGCCAACGGACCTATAAGATTGAAGCTTCGGCGTGCTAATCAGATGCCAATGGCTGTTTCGCAACTTTTAGGCATTGTTTCCGCTCCGCTATGGGATTCCAAATCTTCCACCTTCGCAGGTCTACTGACCACGTCCGATTACATCAATGTCATCCAATATTACTTTCAAAACCCGGCCGCGCTGGACCAAATCGATCAGTTCCGGTTAGATAGTCTGCGAGGTACGCATAATCCCCGGTACAAACATTGACGGTTCAAGTGAGCTGATAACGGTGTTATCTCAGACGTGGAAAGGGCACTGGGTGTCGCGCCGCCCGAAACCATCTCTATCGACCCCGAGCGACCCCTCTACGAGGCTTGTCGGCGCATGCTCCAGTCTCGAGCCCGAAGAATCCCTCTCGTAACGAATGACAGCCAAACGGACCGATCCCACGTTCTTAGCGTCGTGACTCAGTATCGCATCTTGAAATTTGTCGCCGTCAATGTTAGTGAGACACAGAAGTTGAAGAAACCGCTAGGGGAACTGCGACTCGGTTCCTATCAGAATCTGGCCACCGCTTCGATGGATACTCCTGTCATCGACGTGATCCATATTCTCGTGGAGCGAAGTATATCGAGCGTGCCTATTCTGAACTCGGAAGGTATGTACCTATTCGGTCATTGGTCCGACGTTGTTCGACTATTTCTGACAATGCTTTTCGCTCAGGGGTCGTCTATAATGTATTTGAGGCAGTCGACGTGATCACATTGATTAAAGGTGGTGTCTACGGTGATCTGAGTCTAACCGTCGGCGAGGCATTGAAAAAGCGGCCTCAGGTATGCACATTTGGCTTCTCTTACTCGCCGGAAGCTGCGCTAACATAAAGCCCGCTGTAGGACTTCCCTGGCATTTACACCTGCTCTCTCAACGATGGTCTGGATACTATCTTCGACACGATTCGCAAATCCCGCGTGCACCGATTGGTCGTGGTGGATGATAACTTCCGACTAAAAGGAGTCCTCACACTGAGCGACATCCTACAATACATACTACTGGAAGGCGAAAATGATGAACTTTCCTGATCAAACCTGACTTGCGCGGTCGATGCGCTTTTCGTACACTTACATAGCATAGGACTGGCGTTCAACTGGATTTCTGTTACAAGCATCGGGTTTGGCTGCTCAATTGCTTTTTTCTTCTGCACAACCGAGCCTGACGTGCCATGATCTGGCGATTTTTCTACTTGTTTATTTTTTTTTTTCTTTTTCTTTTGGCTCATGAACCCGTTACGCGAAAGAAAAGAAGGTGCTGTAGGATTGATATTCATGACCGGCCTTCTGGCTGGACCGGTTTCGCATTTGGCCAATGCCCAACCTACTGGCATTGGCGCTTACTTGGCTTTAAATCAATAGATTTCTTTTTCGTTTCTATCTTCTTTTTCCCCTGTGACTCTAATTCAGTGTTGCCTGTTATCTTTCCATCTATCGAGTTATACACTGCATTTCCTCTGCTGCGCAATACAGCGACGGACCAGACCGTCGCGCCTTCCTGGTCAACACATGTGTCATATGCGGAAGGTGCGTCCTTCACTCGCAGAGCGGAAGAATCATCCGGAGGGTGAATGGCACGTTCCACTGTCATCATGTCCTTCTCATCAAACTCGGACATTACACAACCTTCATTGAGAATCCCGCTGAGCTTTGCCATTTTGCTGAAATTATCATTGCATCATGAGGTTGTTCGATGGTCTCTTCTCTCGGTTTCCGGCAAGGGCCACCAGCGGATCCCAAATTCATGACCCCGCCGCTCGTCCTACTATAGAAACCACTTGCAATGAAATCACACCGACAGCGTGTTCTGTGGAAGGTCGGGATTCGACCAGATCTGATCTTCGAAATGGTAATAACGAGCCATGTCTGGACAACCCGCAATGCCCGGCGCTTTGTACAGATCCAGGAATCTGTTACGAGCTGGACGCATCTCCACAGTTCCAATCTACTCCCCAGAGACGTCCAGCCAGAGGCTCCAGGCGACTAGCCGGCTTCAAGACCTTGCTCCGTCCCCGCAAAAGTCATCGTCATATCGCGCTCCCTGCACAGGTTGACGGCGCGCCTGTCGTAAGTCAACGATTGACACACACTCTCAATGGCGTTCCTGTAGGTCTCGGAGTTCAATATGATCGCTCTTTATATGCTGCTACAGAATTCCCATGCAACAAATTTCTAGATATCGATGTGGAATCCCGAAAAGTGAGCGACACCACTACCCAATCGCTCAACTCTGAGCAAACCAGCGGAACGGTCTGTCGCCATCCGTCGCGGTCGGCATCCACTCCAATCGCTCTGGTAGATCGCGAAGAGACCATAACCCAAAGCTCGTTTACTGATACCGCTTGTCTCATACATCAAATACCAACCTCCAACCCGTTCTCGGACCCTTCCACTATCACCACCACCACCGAATACTCCACAAGGCAGCAGAGCTCTGAGTACAGTGGCCCAAGTACTCGGTTCATAACCATCTCAGGGAGCAACGAAATGGAGGAAATCCCGCTTGCCCAGCGATATCCTAGTTCGGTCATGGACGATGTATTCGCCCGCAAACCGTCAAACAGCGGGAAGGGGCTGGTGAAATTTGATCAACGTGCAGCGGTCACTGCATTCAATGAGTTTGGGCCAAAGTTGGGACTCAAGCCTCTCAAACTCGTCAAAGCCGACACCGATACTTGCTCTGGTCAAACCAGCGGTTGGTGAATCGCATCTTTCATTGTTCCCTTTCGTCTGACCGTAAATAGGAAACAGTACCGGTCTCCCGAACGAGAGAAAAGTCTCCAGGCGTCACACTGGGATATTTAAGAGAGTGCAGTCAAGTCTTCATCTGAAAGTGTCAACTACCACAACACAACAACGGCCGTTGCGTCGAATGAGGACATTTGCACACTTCCCCTTGCGCTCTCAGGATATGACCTCGCTGAGAGGCAGATCATTGGACACTCTAGCTCGACTTGGAGGTCACAGCTTTCTAAATCTCCCGGCGGACTTCGCCCCTTCCACATTGAGGCTCCCCGCATGTTATGTAGCCACGGTGACCTACTTGAAGGTTTTTGGTAGGTTTCTTGTCTTGAAAATCACAGCTCAGTATGCTCATGTCTGCTGCGTCTAGCCCCCACCGTGCGAAATCTGTTCCATAGCCCGGGGGACTTGAAGACGGCGGCCCGGACATATGACTACTTCGCGCAGCAGGTACTATCGGCCGAAAAGGAACAAGATCGAATTGAATTGACGTTGAGGGGCAGCGAGATGCCCATTGACCTGGTCGAGGTTCTCAATCAAGAGGCGCCGGGTCAAAATGTATCACAGGTTCTCGGCGTTGCGTGGGCATTCAAGGCCCTTCTGGGCGGGCTTCCGGGGGGTATCCTAGGGTCGACTGAGCTTCACTGCGTTCTGGTGGATATTTACTACAAACATGTGGGCGGTATCATTGGGCGGGAACCCTGTAGCGACGACCGCTCGTTACCAGGGCGAGGAGCGAAGTCTACGGCAATTGGTCTTGCGATCCTAGCGCTCACGCGTCCCCTGCAATACAATCTGATCTGCGCCGTTTTCGGGCTTAGTGCGCACCTCCTCCAAGAGACGGCACGATCGGTGGAGTTGAAGCAACAGGGAATTCGGAGTGGGGATACCTCGGGCGTGATGACTCCCGAGAGCCTAGGGCGGATTCTGGGGCCGCTCCTTACGGACAAGCAGAAGGACGACCAAGACATGTTCCGGGCCATCGAGTTGGAGATCGAGAGCCAGCGGGTGGCCGTGATGTTGGTGGATGGATGGGTTGACGTGAGCCGACGATTGCGACGATGGCAGAGTCGAGGCCTTCCATCCGCGGCACACGGTGGGGAGCGCCGGAGATACAGTCTGCAGTCTAGAAGGACCGCCAGCAGCGACGAGACCGGGTGAGATGGAGAGGGGGCGTTGGCGCGACCTTCGATTGGGAATATTCAGATGGGAAAACCGCGGAATGGTTGGGGATTGAGCAGGAACGGCGGCAGTACGAGTTAACGGGGTACTTTTGTGGAGGAACCTACCAATTAGCTAACATACCTCATTTTCCAACATTTTAGGTTCATTGATTCGCATATTGTTCCCTGTCGGCTGGCGTGTACACAGTGTACGTACTGAGTACAGCGGAGTGGTCTGTAGCAAGTTGATAATGCCAACGGGTGGCAAGGGTCATGACTCAGGCAGCATGGAAGGGGACATCACGCCAGATTTGACTTTAGTGGCAGAGATGGAGGGGAGTTGAACCGTGAACAGTTGCAACAGTTCCAACTCCCACCGGAGCGGAACCACCATTCGAGGATGACTCAGCCAAGCCCGGTCGCTGATCGGTCGACGGTGAATCGTTGGCTGTTTGTCCCGGTCAAGTCTGGAGGTGAAAACCGGTTCTGGGAACGGCTAGACGGTCAGCGGGCGATAGCGTCGCCTATCAGACTCGGTAGATGGACTGGCTGTATGGATGAAGGAGGGGGGGGATGAAGATCTTTGATGTACGGGCCTACACAGACAGGATTTCCTTGCCGTACCTGCTTATGTACAGTACTACCTTAGTTTAGTACCTTTTCGGTGGTGGCCGGACTTTTGACTTTGGGGTTGGAGTGAGGGAAATAAAAAATAAAGAAAAGAAGAGGGGGGGTAATTGTACACCGCGTACCCCCAGGTGTAAGATAGCCCGCTAGTGGTTTCCAATCTATTGTTCGAAATTACCTGGTGGAGTTATCCAAGCAGGGATTCCGAGAAGCGAAGACAAGGCTTAGCAAGACCCTGGCGGCCTGGCCCTGACCCTGGACCTGGAAGACCCAGTGGGAGAAGAAATGAGAATTGAGTGCATTCCCGGTCGTTTGACTTCATGAAGGTAGGCCCGTCTGGCCGGTGGAAAAAGGTATCCGACGGGGCTGAAGTTCCTGGGAGGCTATACAACTTCCGGGATGACACTGCGGACGAATGCCTGGCTGAGTAGTGTGTAGAGGACAAAGTGTACCACGGACTGCTTAATCTATTCCGGGGAAGGCCAACCCGCGCTAGTCCGCTCCACTTCCCGTGACAGATCGACCATTCCTCTTCGGGTTTGACTTCTGTTTGTCTTTTCTTCTTCTTCTCTCTCTCCATCTCTTCCCTTCCAATCGTCTCTCGCTATCCACTCAATTCCTGCTGCAACGTTTCCCTGATTTCCCTCCCATAACCACACTCGCTTGTTTGTCTCCCCCCGATCGGTTGCATCCCATTGGCCATGATGTCACCACCTCCGATCAGTTCGCTATCTGCAGGGTGAATTCCCAAGGATCCAAACATCCCAGCCCTCTTCACCATTATTATTCGTTTCCTAACTGGGAAATGTCCGATGATGGGATTACCTTACGCCCTGCTCGTTAACACGCCCGGGGATCGCTCCGGACTACCTTTGATCCCCTAGGACAAACACCAGATCTGGTCAGTCACTAATAATGGGCACTCGCAGCCTTCCATCGACACTCCTTTTTCTTCTTTCCTGGCCGCTTCCTGGCCTTCCCCGGCCAATCATACGGTTTGGTTCGGGGAGATCCCAAGCCATCCAGTCATCTGTTTCCCCGGGTTGCGCAACCCTTCAAATGTCTCCGGGATCTGAGGTCATGAAATTTTATTAATCTTTCTCGTTCTCTCTCTTTGGGTTGGCAGGTAGATAATGAATGGGGATCGATGTCCTGGGCGGCCTGATCTCTTTTATTTAATGTCATTGGATTTTGCTTCTTTTTTCTGGAGCAGTGTGAACGCATATCTCGGTTTCCGGTCTGAATGGGGTAGACTCATCTCTTGTCTGAGACTTGTGAGGAGATCGTTTGAATGTTCCACAAGGTTGTAATTCCAATTGATCCATCTGTTCATTTCTTTTCTTTTCTTTTGATTTGTTCTACCTTTCCTTGCCCACTGTTTGTTTCCCTCTCGCTTCTCTCCTCCGCTTTGCGCGGGGTTTGTCCAGGATCCTTCCGTTTTCTTTGTCTAGATCTTTATCACGGGCTTCGGTGCCCTTCCCATGGTTCTCGGTGATCTCTTCTCATTCTACCGACGGACCCCTTCTTCAATACCTTGCTAGCTCTAATCTCCTTCGACTTCCGTACCGCCCATTCACTCGCAAGTCCGTGCTTCGGCCGCTCCCAGGCACTTCCGCTCGCCTACCGTTCCGTGGTTAGCCCTCGTCTTTTGGGCGTACCTGCCGCCCTCTAAGGTACAACTTGGTGGTCTGGCTTTCCTTCCACCCGCGGAACGGACTTGTCTCTGCCCTCCACTACCAGCTCCAAATCGGAATCGAGAGCGTTCCTGTCGGACCTCTCTGCATTTAAGCCGCATTCTCTCGCCCCTCTTCCTCGGCGGACTTCCACCCATCAACTACACCTCTGTTCTCTGAGTAACCTCTCCCACCTTCCATGCAATAACTGGAAGAGTCTCGGTTACTTGACTGCATCTTCATCTCGTTCTCTCGTTATCCCTCATACTCTCCGTTCTTTTGTAACCTTTGCGGAGTCGCTCGCTCACGATGACGGCGGGACAACCTTACTTTGCCCAGGATCCTCTGGGTATTGATCGGCCTGGTCATAATGATGATCTTTGCCCCGACCCCTTTAATGGTTCTTATCAAGGCCCCGTTAGCTCGGTAGGGCACCCAATGGAGCTGTCCTCGATGGTGTCCATGTCCCGTGTCCCTGCTATGCTACCTTCTATGGAGCATGGTGGTCTTTATGGTTGCAGTTATATGCAGGAGGCAATGCCGTGGCCTATCAAGACCGAACAGCCGGACGCTCTCACCCTAGCACCCCTAAGAAACACCCATGTCCGCAATGGTCAGCCAACCCCCCCACCATATGACGACAAGAACGTGCAACAGGCATCGGCACTGGATTTCTATACCATGACTCGCTATCCTGTGAATGGGTTTCACCCTGTGAATGCACCTCCTCCACCTCCGCCCTCACTCCCATTGACATCTTGCTCCTGTAACGGCAACGTCGAGCAGCCTCCCGTGAATGAACATGACGGGTCAAGAAGTAGTCCTCCTCCTAAACGGCGGCGAAATAGCACGTCTGTGACCACGGCAAAGACCGAGGTAGAACAGCAAAAAGCCTCGCGCTCCAAGTTCCTAGAGCGTAATCGGGTGGCTGCCAGCAAATGTCGTCATAAGAAGAAAGTCTATGCCGAACACCTACAAGCCCGATATGACCTGGAGGAGGATAGAAGGGAGAGGTTGCTTAACGAAAAGTCGAGTCTGACTACCGAGATACTCGTCCTCAAGAATCACGCGATCGCACACGCTCAGTGCGGCAATGAGCCTATCAACATTTATCTGAACGGAATGGTCACGGACCTTCACAAAAAGTGTGCGGGTGCCCCCCGACCATCTTCCGACATGATCGCGTCGGAATACGTCGCCATGTCCATGCCCTCACCGGACACGTCTGCTTTCGGCTTCGATGGTCCCGTGCAATTTTCTCCATCAAGCTCAGCGACTTTGGAAAGAGAGGTTCTTGAAGAAACGGCCCGACGCGCCTCGATCCATTCCATGGTCACCGACTTCTCTTACTCTCTGATGGATGGCGAGCCTGATGACACCATGGAGCCAGACATCGATTTTGATAGTCTCTTGGACGTGGACAGATGCGCCTAGGGCGTTTGGTCCAAATGCCGGGGTCGTCCTGAACCGACTATTTCCCCGGACATCTTTCTTTTTCTATCGCACAACCTTTGAGTCAGTGTTTTTGAATGTCCAGCATCTGACATCACCCGGGGATGTGCCTCTTTTGCTTACCAGTACTTCCTTTTCCTTTGGGTGTTGACCGCCTCTGGTCCTGGTCCTTTTTTCATCATGCAACTTTAGCGACGGTGTTTGGTGTTGTCGAAAAGAGCGTTCTGCGTGTGTAAATGTTTCTCTCCCCTGTATCCCTTTATCTACGTCGGGTTCCATCCTTCGGTCTGTTTCTCGGTTACTATGATAGGAGCAGCTCGCAAAGGTCAGTTCGCGGATGGGCCTTACTTGTCTTCTTCTCTTTTCAGTTTCTTTCTAGCGACTCATGGCGGCTGCTATATGCAAAAACCCGCACTTGCGATGTTCCCTGCGATTTCTGTGATTTTGCATCGTTTTTATGTTCCCCTCTCCCCTACTCTCCCCTAACCATGTGACTATCTCGGTTTGATTGCCTTTCAGCCTGTTTCCGGTCTCTTTCCTCTTTCTTTTCCTGTTGGCACGACTACTTTGGGAACCTACTTGACTAGCCTGACGGGTTCAAACTGGTCGAGTAGGATGCGTGTGCTTGAATATGTTTTGTTCTTAGTCAGCTACCAGGAATACGACTATTGCTTTCTTGCTCTCCCTTTTTAGTGTAGAGAATGTTCCTTCAGTGTCGTATGGGGCTCCGCATGGGAGTCTGTACGTAAATGCAGATCTCGAGGCTGTTATTCATGGTATCTATCTATACGAAGAAGTATGATATGGTCTCATAATAAACGGAAGTGTTCAATTCAGTTCATGGCTCATGGTTCATGGTTTTGTATATTGCGGTCTATATGATATGATAATTTGATCTATCAGTAGATAATCACGTGGTGAGATGAGTCCAGCTCGATTGGAATGGGAATCGGATCTATGTGAGAGAAGATAAATGCAGGGGATTGTGTGTGTGAAGACGCATATATGTGAAGAAGCGGACAAAAAAGGAGGGGCCAAGGCATTCGGAAAAGGGAATAATTGGACAGAAATCAGATTGAAGGGGAAAGCGTAGTCAGTTTACGTTACGATTAACCCCTCTCCCTTTCTCTTGACCCTTTCCCGTTCAATGGCGCAGATTCCCCCTCTTCCTCCTCTTCTATTTCCCCTCTGTCTTCTCCATCCTCTATCAACGCTCGATGACCCATACCACCAGTACGGATTGATCTCCCAGAATCCAACATCGCCTCAATCTCCTCAAGACTCTTCCCCCCCGTCTCCGGCAAAAAGACACCCACGAAGCCCGAAAACAGCAGGTCAAGCAGCCCAAAAAGCAGAAAGGTAGCCCACCCCAGCCCGGCAAGGAGATACGGGGTGGAGAAGGACCAGGCAAAGTTCGAGAGCCACTGGGCGGCGACAGCGATGGCGACGCCAGGTTCGCGGATGCGCGAGCTGAAGAGTTCCGACGTGCAGGGCCAGATGAGGGGACCCCAGGAGAAATTGTAGATGATGATGTCGAGGTATATAAGGGCGATAGTGGTGATGGCGGTGGGTTTGATTGAGGATGAGGAGGTAGAAGAAGGGATGGGTTGGGTATGGTCGTTTTTGACGACCGTAGCGGTGGCGAGCATGCAGAGGGACATTCCGAGGGCGCCGAGGATGAGGAGGGGACGACGGCCGAAGCGTTCGGCGATGCAGATGATGAAGATCAAGCAGCTGAGGACTTTGAGGGCGCCGAAGACGCCGGTGAGGAGGAGGGTGAGGGAGGCGTTGTTCTGGCCGACAAGGAGGGCGAAGAACTGTGGCCCGAAGTAGGCCATGGCGGTGGCGCCTGTAGACTGCTGCGCGATGAAGAGACTGGTTCCCAAGGCGAGACGGCGTGCGTTGCGCCATTGGAGAAGTTCGCGGGGGTGAAAGCCATCCATGGCGTGGCGGTCTGCTTCGACGCCTTGTTTCATCTCGGCAAATTCGGCGACAACGTCGGTTCCGTTCGAGGCTCGGATCCAAACGAGACTGCTCCAGGCACGGTGCGAGTCACCATGCACAAGTAGCCAGCGCACGCTCTCTTCCAGCGTCAGCATGCCGAGCCCCATCAGTGCTCCGGGCACCAGTTGCAGCGCCAGCGGGACCTGCCACTGGGACGGCGTCGGGTCGCTGAATTGGATGCCGTAGTCGATCCAATAGGAGATTAAGATGCCCACGGTGAAGGTGAACTGGTAGCAGCTGCCCAGACGCGCGCGCATGTCCTTGGGGCTCATCTCCGACAGGTAAATGGGGATCACGGTGGCCGATCCACCGATGCCCAGGCCGCAGACGACGCGGCCCAGGTAGAAGACCGAAAGCGCGTGAGAGTTGAGCACTTCAAAGATGACTCCGACACAAAAGATCGCAGAGCAGATCATCATGGCGCAACGACGTCCGAGACGGTTGGTAAGGGGCCATATCGCCAAGCATCCCACCAGAGCCCCGGCCTGTTGAATCCCGACGGCGATGGAACTGACACTGGTCTGCTGGTCGACGGTATATCGGAAGTCGCGAAGAAAGGAGTTGAAGATGAGAACGCCTCCTGCAGTTATGTGTTAGTCTTAGCCTTCGTCGTCTGACAAAAGGGATCTCCTACCAATAACACCGGAGTCATATCCGAAAAGAATGCCACCGCAGCAAACAACAGCTGTCAACCAGTAGATGCGGAGCCTGGCCAATCGAGGGGGTGAGGAGGGAGGAACACCCAGAGAGTTTGAAGATGCCTCATCGTTAGAGATAGGGCTGTAGGAGGGGTTCATGATCCCCCATTGGAGATCCACGTGGGAGATGAGAATGAAGATGAAGAAGATGAAACATGTCCATAACAACTAAAAGGAGTGCCGATACTGCCGAAAGGGGAAAGAGGTCATATGACGTCAGATGATCACCCGAACGGGACAAACAGCCGACAGCCGACACGCAAGTCTCCCGCTTCATCGCGCAATCGCTGTGCTGCCCTTCATTGGTGATCTTCTTCTATCCCTCTAAACTCTTCTCCTCCCTCCAAGGATCCTCGTTTCAGAGAGCCGAGAGCCGACAGACGATCGCATCGAGAACGGTTGTCTGCGCCAATGTGACTGCCATTCGAAATCGAGGACGGAGTATATAAATTTCACTCTTCGTATCCTAAACAACCACCCTCATGTTGGTCCAGCACCACCAACTTGCTGTATCTACTTTGATACTCCCTCTCGTCCATCATGGCTCCTAAGCGCCCCAATTTCCTTATTGCCGTGGCCGATGACCTCGGTTTCTCGGACATAGGATGTTTCGGAGGTGAAATCCGCACTCCGCATTTGAATCGACTGGCTGAGCAGGGTGTTCGATTCACCGATTTCCATGCTGCTGCCGCCTGCTCGTACGCAGTTCTCCAATGCAAACCCTCATGTTCTTTTCGTTGACCAACAGACAGACCCACCCGGGCCATGATCATGACCGGCACCGACCATCACATCGCTGGACTGGGCAACCTCGTTGAATGGACCAACATATCCGGCCAGAACGGGCCCAAAGGCTCGCAGATGAGCACCGCCCCACAGCGAGGTATGCCTGGTTACGAGGGGTATCTCAACGAGCGTGTTGTCGCCCTGCCTGAGGTTCTTCGCGACGCTGGTTACCACACCCTGATGTCTGGGAAATGGCATCTAGGCCTCACTCCGGAGCGGTCGCCCTTCCATCGGGGCTTTGACCGGTCTCTAGCTCATCTGCCGGCCTGCTCCAACCACTACGCCTACGAACCTCAGTTGCAGGGGAACGATGAGACGCCTACCTTCTTGGAAGCCAGCTACATCGCCCTGCACATGGAAGACGACAAGTACGTGAAGAAGCTGCCTGACGGCTGGTACTCGTCGGACGGGTACGGCGACAAGATGGTCGACTACCTTCGTGACTGGCATGACCGTGAAGACGAGCGGCCTTTCTTCGCATACCTCCCCTTCACGGCGCCACACTGGCCGCTCCAGGCCCCGCGCGAGTACATCGACCACTACCGTGGCGTATACGACGACGGCCCGGACGCCCTCCGACTCAAGCGTCTTCAACGGCTGAAGGACCTTGGCATGGTGCGTCCCGACGTCGAGCCGCACCCCGTGGACGCGGAGGAGGTCAAGCCCTGGGACGAGTTCACCCCGGAGGAAAAGAAGCTATCTTGCACGGCGATGGAAGTCTTCGCCGGCATGGTCGAGTGCATCGACGCCAACGTTGGCAAAGTAGTCGACTACCTCTCCTCCATCGGCGAGCTCGACAACACCTTCGTCTGCTTCCTCTCCGACAATGGCGCCGAGGGCGCCGCCTACGAAGCCTACCCTATGGTCCAGAGCGGCGTGATGCCCCATCTCCAAAAATACTACAACAACTCGCTCGACAACCTCGGCAACGCCGACTCCTTCATCTGGTACGGTCCGCGCTGGGCCCAGGCCGCCACCGCCCCGTCCCGTCTCTACAAGGCCTTCACCACCGAAGGCGGCGTCCGGGTACCCTTCCTCGCTCGCTTCCCCGACTCTGTCCCCGTCGCCGACCACGCCCGCAACGGCGGCATCACCGACCAATTCGCCACCGTCATGGACCTTGCCCCATCCATCCTCCACATGGCCGGCGCCACGCACCCAGCACCCAGCTACCAAGGCCGCGAGGTCGTGCCCATGCGCGGCGCCAGCTTCTACGACTGGGCACGCGGCCACACATCCCGGATCCACGCGCACGATTTCATCCAAGGTTGGGAGACCTGCGGCCGCGCGGCCTTGCGCTTCGGCGACTGGAAGATCGTGTATATCCCGAAGCCGAAAGGTCCGGAGCGCTGGCAACTGTACAATCTTGTCGACGACCCCGGTGAGATCCATGACCTCGCGGACATCCACCCGGATCGATTGCATCAGTTACTCAAGCTCTGGGATCAGTACGTTATCGAGACGGGTGTGATTCCGCTGAATCCCGATCTGGGTGAGTTCTTGGAGGCTACGGAGGCGCAGATGCCGGAGAATGCGTGGATGGAGTATGACTACTGGAAGAAGGGGGCCAGGGATGAGCCGGAGAAGTTTATGCGGAAGCCGCCAAGGTTGCAGAGGGTTGTGAAACCTTTTTAGGTTGGGGTATGGTTTTTTAAGGTGGTATGGTATATGGTGCTGCCTATGCCTGGTGTATGCCATCTATGCGTTGCCGTCGGGTTGTTCATGATTAATGATACGATATGAACTGAAATGAAACGAAAAAAAAAGGGGAGGGGGGGGGGGGGGGGGGGGGTTTGTTCAGAATCAAAGTATTTACTTGATCTATGGTGTGAATTGATATGCTATATCCAAAAACCGAGGGACTATATCATCACGAAGAAATCAGTAAACATCTCTCCTCGTACACATCGTGAATCAGCCCATGTCCGCGACGTATCCTGTCTCCGGGTCATTTCTTCCAACAGGAGAAGCGCTTTGGTCGCATTCGGATGGCGCTGAACCCGGGCGCAATTATCTTCAGAAACAGTAGGATTAGGCTCCTGGTCCTCACATCTCTGGTCCTGACGGGATAAACCTTCATCTTCATGTGAATCTTGTCTTTGGCTATCTAGACCCGCCATCCGTTGCATGGCCTTGACGATCCACGCACGCTGCTCATGCGAACCTTCCAACCCAGCCACAAACAGCGGCCAAAGGAATCCAATCGGAAGCGAGGAAGCACCAGAGGCCTCTACCGTGGCGAGTTGAATGATTTGATCAACAGCGCGATGTACGCGGTCTGTGCGCGGGTAAATGACGAACGCCACGCGGTGAAGATATATGAAAATAGCTAGGAAGTTGGCGACATATTGGCGGAAGGTGCGGCATATTTGAATGGCGACAGCGGGGCGGAGCGTGTCGAACAGGTGTGTTTCAGGGCGGTTGTAGATATCAAGGATGCGGGGACGAGTGTTCCAGAGTGACTCGAGGTCTGCGTTGACTTGGTGGGCGATTTGGAGGACATCGAATTCGTCGCTAACGGTGCCGCGACTGCGGTGGTGGAGATCAATTGAGACAATTCTGCGGATGACTTGTTGGGTTTGCGTGAAGAAGTGGAACGCTGGAGCGGTGATAGCGTGTTGGACGAGGTAGGCAGGCTGGAAAACAAGGGAACGTTCTTCCTCGTGGCCATCGGCTGGTTCGAGGTTGTTTGTAGTTGGTTTCGACAGGGTACCGAGATTGAGGAGAGGGTCACCTCCACGACCAGCGATTAGGGCTTTGACGTCTAGAAGCGATACCCACGAGACGATTAGATGGCCGAAGCCGATCCATGTCTTGGTTTGATTGTGATATTGTTGCAGTAAAAGGTAGGCCGAGTGGAGGTACGACGTTTCGGGGCGCCATGATTCGGGGGTAGCCATCGACTTGTTCATGTTAGTATAAGGTATCTGATGGACTGGGACAGCAAATGGACGCCAAACCTCGGCCATCATGAGTAGAAATACAGCGGTGAATATTCGCTTCAACTTTGAAACGTTCAATGGCTCTTGGATATACATCTGGATTTCCGAGCTCGCTTGTTGGTGAAATCTTGATGCCATCCGCCATCCTTTCCCTTCTTTTACAGCCTTGTGGATATCAGAGTAGCAGTAGATGCTATTCAACAAAACGCTGCATTCCCGTGAGAGACTGGCAATCACCCCACGTATATAGCCCCAGTCAAGACCTACCGGCCCAAAGATTGTAGGAGGAGCCTCTGAGTTCAGAAAGTAAGCTATGAGTTGGTCTTGGTACGTTGCATTTGTTTCGGGCCTGCCCATATCAATGGAGAGGTCATTTTGCCCGGCATCTGAATAGCCACTGTCGACGGTAGGTATGTCTTCAATTGGCCTATTCTCAGCTTGCACAAAGGACGGTATATCAACAGCCAAGGGAAATTCAGACAGCCCATTCGTCAAATCGAGGTGTTTCTGTTCCAAATCGGAGTTAATTTCCCCGATGAATCCAAGCATATCAAAAGCGCCTTGGAAGTCGCGGGCAGAACTGGACCTTGCTGGACTCTCTGGTGCCAACTGCTGGCCTTGCTCAGGGAGGTGAGCATGCAAAGACTGTCGACGACGCTCGTCGGGCCGCAATACTGTGTTGAAAAAGTTTAGATCAGGACCATCAGGAGCCGGCGAGGCTACTGTCCGAACGCGCTTCTGACCATGACCATTACGTCGAGCAACCAGGCCAGGAACGATAGTCTTGTAGCTGCATTGCAGATGCAGGCGAACGCAATTGGCACAGTTGGGTTTGGCTTCGTCGCAGCGTACTTTGCGAGCCCGGCAAGTCAGGCAGCCGGTACGTCTGCGGGGACCTGATCGGCCCGAACCCTGTGCTTTGGGAGGAGAAGCCTACGGGTTGGAGTCAGTTGGGAGGTAGAAGAGACGAAAGGGGGAAGGGGGAAGCGAGGCCCGTACCTCCATGACTGAGGGAGATTCATGATCGGACGGCTGGTGGTGGACGCTAATCGTTCCTTCCCCTTCGAGGGAATCCCGTAATCGTCCCAAAGGGGAAGGTGCGTTCCCCGCAGTTCGGCACGTGGCGTGATTCACTTCACCTCCTTCTATCAAGGGAGACAGATCCTGGACTCATTGCTGTTGGACGTTAGTCGTATCATCAGAGAGTGCAAACGCGGTTAACCATGACGATCCAGAAGACCGGCATTTCGCCAGCTCGTCTTTATCTTCCAGATAGCTAAACCATCAATGATCTAACCTTTCAAGCAGTGACTACAAAAGTTCGAGGGTCTGACGCAATCCGCCGAGCATCTTATCAGGTAAACTCCGGGTATTCCTTTGCCAAAAGGAATATTCCCGCAAGTTGATCATTTCTTAGCTGGTCGGTCTGCGTAAATAGGGCCACCTGCTTTTCTGTGGATAGATCATCATCTTCACCAATTCGATCATATCTACCGCACGTCTGCCAACAAAATACCTTCTCATCCCGCAGCTGATCCCATCGACCCGCTTGTCCATCCATCTTGACTACGTTACCGCCGATTCGCTCACCATGAACGGTTCCATTACTGATATGAGTGATGTCCCTGAACTACAGGGCGCAGAGAATGTTGAAAACTGGGACAGATCTCTCATGATACATCTTCGGATTCATGGCTTGTATCTGATCGTCTCGGGGGATAGAAAACGGCCAGTTCTTCCTGTCAAGACAGAAGGAAAGGAGGAAAATCCCATTATCACCGTTGAAAAAATTTCAGACGTGGAAGATAAAATCGAAAGATGGGAAGGTGAGCATGCCCGAGCTATGGGAATCATTCGCTCCTCCATGGCTCCCGCAATTCGTTATGAATTCAAGGACTACACGCACGCCTCGGAACTCATTGAGGCGCTGAGATCGAAGTACTACAATCAGCTTTATGATAGTTATTTCATTGAAGGCCTCCGGACAGCAGTCCATACCACTTATGCTGAATGCAAAGGGGTCCGGGACTATATCCGCAAGATGTCCGCTGCGTTGAATCGATTCAGCAAGAGCCTCGGAAAGAACAAATCTCTTGATGATTCCATCAAGATCCAGTTCCTCTTGTGCAACCTAGGAGAGGGTTGGGAGACCTTCCTGACCGTGTATTTCAACTGCTTCGATAAAAAGAAAACATCATTCGATGAACTATGCAATGTCCTGGTTGATGAGGAAATGCGCAGAGAATATAATGCGATGTTCACGAAAGGCAAGAAAAAACATTTTTGAAATAACAGTTGAATTTGGGGGTGGTGAATTGTGTGAGCGTTAGTATCTAGGTCCATATTGCCATCCTTGCTTCCGTGTGTGATAAATTATAGCCAGTCGGGTATATTTGGGCTGGTTTGCTCATGTCCATGTATTCTCGGTTCAAGGATGAATACGAGCCTGGGTACAAGTGAGCATAAGTATTCAGATGAAGATTGAAATAAGTTGAAGGAAATTTTGTGATTGACTCTGTCAAGTCTGAATTCTGAAAATACAATACATGGCAATCGACGAAAAGAAAACAAAACCTGTTTATTATACTGATATCCATCCATATGCAAGGAACTGATAAAAACTACACATACAAAACAAAAACAAACCTCTCTATTGCTTCCACTCCAGAGTGCCGTCGCCACGGGTGGTAGTGCATCGAGCCAGCACCTCCGACACCTTCTCGCGCACACCCTCCTTGTTGCCCCACTGGGTCAGGAACTTGTTGACGACCTCGCCGCGGCCACGGTTAGCGCTCAACACGAACTCCTCGATGTCCTTCTGCGTAGGCAATCCGTACTGCGCGTGCGGGTACTGGTGGTAGTCGATCTCGCTGAAGAGCGGCAGCCGGGTCTCGCCCTCGGGGATCTCGAAGAAAGCGTCGACATCCTCCTTCTTAACCTCAGCGAGGGTGGCCGGTTGCCAGGAAGCCTGACGGGGAGGCTTGGACATGAGACGGGCCTTCACGCCCTCGACGAAATCAGGGTGTCTCATGAACTTGCCGGAGATGTGGTGCTCCCGCTGGAAGGTCTCGGAGATGGACCACTTCTTACCCACGCGCATCTGGCGCAGCGTCACCTTCAGCGAGGTGGGCGAGCGCACAGACAGCGTCTGCAGCGTCTTCTCGGCCCACTTCTTCTGTCCGTTCTCCCGCTGAGTCTCCCGCTCCAGGGCCTGGAAGATCTCCTCCACCGTGTTGAACGCGAAGCAGCGGTCGATGGCCTCCCGCAGGCTACCGGCCAGCAGCATCGGCTCCTCGCGCTGCGGTGGCAGGCCGATGGAGTATTCGGCCATAGTCTTGTTGATCAGGTCCAGGCGCTCCGGAAGCGTGGCGGAGTCCCGGAACACCAGCTCGGAGAGACGGCCGGTCAAGTTGCTCAGCACGCTGGAGTGGAGGTAGTGCGTGGCCACACCGGCGTACAGGGCCTGGACACCCTTCAGGCGCTCCGAGGTCAAGGCGAGGTAGGTTCCGGTCTCGCCGTCAAGACGGGGCAGGAAGAACGAGCCACCAACGTCGGGGAAGAAGCCGATGGTGGTCTCGGGCATGGCGAAGAGGGTGTTTTCCGTGGCAATGCGGAAGGGGGCGTGGACGCTGAGCCCGACACCGCCGCCCATGGTGATGCCATCCATGATGGAGATGAAGGGCTTCGTGTACGTCGCGATGGTGTGGTCGAGGCTGTATTCGAGGCCGAAGAAATCGGTCGATTGCTGCTGACCCTCGGCACCCTGTTCATTCTGCAAAGCCAGAGCAGCGACGTCTCCGCCAGCGCAGAGAGCCTTGGGTCCTGCGCCGGTGACCATGATCACGTTCGCCAGTTGAGATTTTTCCCATTCCTATATTGAACCCAAACAGCCCTTTTAGCACACAGCATTTCACACACATCCAGTATACCACCGCGGGGAGACAGGCAAGCTAACCTTCAGTCGAGGAAGGATCTTCCGTGCCATCGAACCGTTCAGGGAATTGAGTTTTTGAGGCCGATTGAGCTCAATCAAGCGCACGCCGTAGAGGGAGTTGAACAAAACATCGTCGGGCTCGTCTCCGGGGAGCTCTGTGGGAAGAGTTGCGGAAGTCGACATCTAGAATCATCCCCATTAGCATTCCGTCTGGTCACAGAGTGTATCGAATGGATATCAATGGGATAACGTACAGGAGCCGTCGTCCTAAAGGCTGGGTTTGTCACCTTGGCGCGCAGAGGCATGGTTGTTGAAGCCCGCGAGATCCAGCTCGACGGTGTTGGTAACCGGGAGAAATTGCGGAGTAACATCAGGCAGGAGTCAGCCTGTGAAGGAGGAAGAAGAAAGGAGGGAAAGAGAGGACCAAAAAATGGGGGGGTGTGGAGAGAGGGAGGAACTGATGACGAGCAGCAGAAAGTATGAGATCTCCGCTTCGCTTGACGGTTGACCTCGGAGTTTTTCGCGGAGGGATTTTCCTCGACTTCCGAGCTGCTCAACTGCCGAGTTCCCCTCAACCTGTTGGACTTGCGAACATGTGTTAATTATTAATGAAAAAGAGGATTTGATCTAGTCTAACTGGGATGATTATTTTGAGAATTTTCTCGTGTTTGATTGATTTTGGTGGTTGTCAGCCTGGTGATGGCCCTTACTAGAGGTTCGATATACTCATATCGACTACATCGTACTCCGTAGTACCGTCCTAATATCTAGCACAACAAGGGGACATGCGTACAAAATCCTCCTACTGTCTTTCTATAGCCCTAGAATGCCATTGGCCGACTTCAGACGTGCAACAAATCCAATCCTAAACCGCGTTCAAAACTAGACAATTCATACATAACTCGAATCTATTTGTACAATAACCTTTCTTCACCCCAAAAAGCCGATACTAGAGTAATCATCCAGCCAGCCTATAATCAATACAAGGCCTTCGCGACCTTGGCGTTCAGGTCCCTCGAATGCTGAGCCAGAAGGGTATCCAGTGCCTTCTTCTCGATGATCAATCGTCCCGTTTCCAAAATGTCCTTGACATCCACATCCTGTCGGTCCAGGATCTTGGCATGGTTGCTCAGGTTGCGCACCGTCTCAAACAATTGCTCGTCCACGCGTTCCGTGATTAATGTTGACCGTCCGAATTCCCGGCCCCAGCCGTTGGCCTTGAAGATCTCGCTGACCAGATGCGAGGTGGCGCCCTCCGGAAGAGCAATCTCGTTGTCGATGATGATCAACTGGCCGCGACGGTATCGGTAGCTCAGGGCTATCCGCCACGCCTGGTCGTAGATCTTCCTAGGGAGACCCGAGGAAAAGTCACGGGGGTGAGGACCGTGAGCAACACCACCGCCCTTGCGAATCGGCGAGGTCTTGTCTCCAACACGCGCCCGGCCGGATCCCTTCTGTGCCTGAATCTTCCTGTGGCTGGCGTGCACTTCGTCCCTCCACTTGGTGCTGGCGGTACCCTGTCGGGTCATGTCACCTTCGTACACGACGGCGCGGTGAAGCAGATCCTTCCGGAGAGGCACAAGGAGATGGTTCTGGGGGTATTCGACAAAACGCAATGGCTCCATGGAGGGGAAGGAGTAGGTGGTGGCTCTAGCGGGCGCCGGGGTCCAGATTGGCCTGGACGCGGAGTTGTTGGAGGCGGTTTGGGTTTCGGAGGATACCGATCGCGAGAAAGTTTTCGATAGGCATCGTTGCTGTATAACAGAAAAAGCCATCAGACGTTAGCTAAACTGGTTACCTGGTGAGATAGAAGATGGGCTGTAGTCGAAAGGGTTCTGGGAACAGGGAAGAGCCAGTACCGTTGTAGCCTCAGACCCCGAGAGAAGACCACCGGAGCTGCGAGAGAGCCATCTCAAGGCTCGCAATGCGTCGTTTCCAGGCATTGTGAAGGATGCAGGGCCCGTGGAGGCGTGGGAGGTCTGGGCAGGAATATGGGGTTGGGGCAGGTGAAGCAGCAAAAGTTCAGATGGCGCTAAGTCCGCTGAGGCTTGGCTTTTCGTCCGCGAAAAAAGTTCCCTCCGCCAAATCGACCTCAACCACCTTCGCCCGGTCCCGTCACCACTACACCTCTGCTCTCTCCCCTTCCCCCTACGCCTTTCAATTCCCGTCACGATGGCCCATTGTGAGCGGGCCTCGAAGCCTTTGCTCCAATGCCTACACAAGGCTAGCAGAGGTCTCTCCGGCCTCCAGCTCCAGTCGACCCGAGCCTTCCAAACAACGGCCCTTGTTCGCGAGGAAGCTCAGACGGAAACCAAGAGCCAGCCATTTCACAAATCCCCCGATCCGGAACTGGTCTCGAGTCCCCGACTGGAACGGCGATTGCTACGACAGGGTATCTCGCCCATCGGCTCCCGTCGACGTCGTGCCGCACTGCAGAACTCGGCCAACATCCCCTTCGAACAATTGCCGTACCAGTGTTTCCAGGAGGCCCGCAACGTTCTGATTGGCGACCGTGCAGAGAAGTTGAAGGATGTGACGGCAATGAGGGAGAAGATTGCCCGGCTCGAGGCCATCCCTACGGAGGAAGCCGGCGGGGAGCAGGTGAAAAAGTCGAAGCTCGTGGCTATGCAACGCCATCTCGAGCATCTGAAGATTCTCGCCGACATCAACGACCCCATAGTGAAGAAGAAGTTCGAAGATGGGCAGGGTGAGTATTCCGGATTTCAATGTGATAACATTCTTTATTGCATAATCTAACCATACTTCTCGATTGCAGGTGACATGACCAAACCTATCTATCGTTTTCTGGCCGATCGGAAATGGAGGGAATACCGACGCAAGATCTTGGTCCAGCGCATTACGCAGATGAATGTCATCCCTGACGTGCTTCCTCACTGCGACCCCGTGGCGGATACCAAGCTGTACTTTGGCCGGAATGCGGTTCAGCCGGGTGATTTCGTCAACTCGCAGCTCAGCATGGTTGCCCCTAAGCTCGACGTGCAGCTTTTCGAGCAGGGTGAGAAGCTTGTGACCATTGCTGTTGTGGACTCGGATATCCCCAACGTTGAGAAGGATGGTTTCGACTACAAGATGCAGTATCTCGCCGTCAACGTCCCCATCTCGGTCGCAAAGACGAAGATCGACCTCGGCAGCCTCTCGACCGAGTCGCAGGTGGTCCTGCCGTGGGTGCCTCCCGTGGCCCAGAAGGGCAGTCCCTACCACAGGCTATCCGTCTTCATTATGGAGCAGAAAGACTCGAAGCCATTGGACTTCGCTGCCGTCAAGGCCAAGGAGACGGAGCGCGACAACCTCCTACTACGAACTCTCCAGGCTCGCTATCACCTGAAGGCCATCAGCGCGCATTTGTTCCGAACCCAGTGGGATGAGACCATGGCCGCCGTGATGAAGCAGATTGGATATGCCGACGCGGACTTGGAGCTCCGCCGGAAGAGGAGCGAGGCTCTGCCTTACAAGAGGAGAAACCCCTCAACCTTCCGGTGAACATGCTCATCGGCAACTTTTCCCTTTTTTCGTCTCTTGGTGTTTTTATCATTCGGTCCTCGCTATGTACTGTACAATTGATATGTATGAATATGCACAAATTCCCAACAAGATCCCAACTTCCAGTCGGAACTCCAGACTCCGTTATAGGTATACAAGACAAGATAAGGCGAGTCATTCCTCGGACAGCTGGGCCGGCTGCATCGTGTTGCGCACCCATTGCATCTTCGAAGGCGGCCAGACGCGACCGATAATTTTCCCGTTTATCAGGCCCATCGGAATAGGCCCGTAATTTCTCGAGTCCCTCGACCAGGGCAGGTTATCACCACCCACATACACATGACCTTCAGGCACCTATCCATCAACCAAATCATTAGCCGCCATATCTTCAAATCCATAGCTGTAGTCCGAAAAGTCTTCCAATTATACCTGAATCATCTCCTGCTCCTTCCCAACCTCCGTACTGAACGGCATGTCCCGGCAGACAAAATCCCCCGGCATGCCAATGACTCTCTTAGCGCCATTGACACCCAAAAACGTCGGATGATAAAATCGCACCACGTCGCCCACCTCAATGCCTTTGCCGTGTTTATGCACTCGCGAAATCAACAGGTAGTCGCCCCGCGGGTTGAAAGTCGGGTACATCGACGGCCCCTCGCTGAGCTGCACGGTGATCAGATGCTCCCAGATTAACGTGCAGGCGCAGAAGAGACCCAGGCCGTCCAGGGTAAGGCGGAAGACGGCGCCGGGAGTAGCCTTTCGAAGGCCGGCTCGGAAAAGTCGTTCCATGAGATTGTAGGGACTAGCTTTGGAGCATTTCGTGTGGAAAGCGGTATGAGGTGTTGCTGGTGCTGCTACTAACTAACCGTCTAACTATGATTTACTGCTGCTCGGAGGTGGAATCGGGTGGATCTCCGGGAAGGTCACGTGGGGGTCACTTTAAAAAGTCGGATTTTTGTGCGGAATCTTTTTTATTTCTCTCTCTCTCTCTGCACCGTGCGACAACACAACCACTTCACTGGCTGAGTGTGTTTTGTCTATGCAGTTCGCGTGTCCTTCAAGGATCCAACAGTCGACACCATGATCATGCTTGATCCCCTTTTCAAGGCTCTCTGATCTCGCCGGTCTGCCTCTACCTCGAGATTTATGCGTCTACAGGTTTCGGCTACGACCCCCCCTCATAGAACACCGTACACATGGAAGGTGTTACATTACACCAACCAAGACCTATCGTTGTCATCATCAACCGCTTCTAAAATTGCTAGAGCTCGTCGTTGCCGAAATTAAACACCAGAACGCGCGAGTGTGGACAGTGAAGCAAGATTGACATTTGTGGTCACTTCGGTGATCGCTTTCCCTGAACGATAGCTCAGCTTGGACCCCATTTAACTATGGGACTGGGATGCTGAGTGGTAACGATGGGAGACATTCTTAGAACTATTGTAGACATAGGCATCAATCATATCATCGTGCACCGCGGAGATCTCCAATTTGTTCGTTCCAATACAATTCACTTGTCATTCTGTTTCCACATCGCATCGGCATCTATCAATCATTATTAGCCATGAATCCAACCACCCATTGCCAACCACAACACAATCAAACAAAGAAAAGAAGAGGAAGAAACTTACCAGGATGCCTCTCCACCCCCTCAATCTCCTTCCTCAACTCCCTCTTCTCCTTGAAATCCACCCCAAACCTGCGATCCCTCTCCTCACACAACGCCTCCATCCCCCCCTCCCCACAAGCCCTCTTCACCGTCTCATCCGACACAAAACTCCCCATCAACTTCGGCGCCCCCATCGGCACCGCATCTCCCCGATCGACCTGCCAGAAGTGATACGTCTTGCCATACAGCGGCGCCACGTCCTTCATTTCGGACGTCTCGGCCGCATTCCACGCCGCCGACGGCACCGGCGCCGTGCTGGGGAGCGGCATGATCAGCATTCCGCTTTTGACTTCGTATTCGTGCGTGTGCCAGAGCGCGCGCTCTTCGGGGGGCAGCGTCTTGTAGAGACGCGGCGAGATCATGTATTCGACGCCCAGGAGCTTGGCGTTCGCGGAGGGGGAGGAGTAGAGGAGGCATTGGCGGACATCTATGTTGGTTTTGTAGCGTTAGTATCGAGGTTTCATTGTTATACTGTCGGGGGGGATGATGTAGGCATGTAGGCATTGTAGGAATGGATGGATATACTCACCTTCCGAAACATGCGCACAGTAATGATTCGCCTCGACGCACCGAGTCGGATCATCCGCGTAGACGTGGAACGCGTTCAAATGTGCACAGATCTGCTTGACGGGAGTGAAGTCCTGGGTTATGCTGGCACCTGTCTCAAGGACATGGCTTTTGGTAGATAGAGGGGGGCCTCCCTGGTCGGTGGAGGTAGACTGGGACTTGGACTCGGACTCGGACATTTTGGATTGAGATTGAGCAGGTATCTGGTTCAGTAGTTGCGAGAGATGAGCATTGTCAATGGGGATGGAGTGGGTTTGGCAGCTGTTTTATACGACTTTGTTGATGTGGTTGTTGTACAAAGATGGATTGACGTCACGATGATAGAGCATGTCCAAGCATATCTAGTCTACCTTACTGGATGGAGATTTACGGTGCCAATCAGGAACAAGCAGGATATGTGAAGATCCAGATAATGACTCTGCAAGGCCAAGTTCATGACCTAGTGACCTAGCTGATTACAGCGAAACCGCTCCTGCAAATGCCCGCTACTCTGCACCCATAACTACATAACCACACCCCAACGCCACCAAAACACTCACGCACTTACATGGCATTCTTCATCTCCCGCAACGCGGCCATGACCTCTACGGGATCCGTCTTTCCGGTCTTCTTTTGAATCTCGGGGTCCTAAGGTTACATCAATATATCAGATCCTGCAACAGGCGCGCATACATCGGATGAAGGAATCGGGATACTTACATTCACCCTCATAAACACGTTATGAAGCTATACTCCTCGTCAATAAACAACCCAACCAGAGGGGGCAAGATGAAAATACCTTTTCATCACCAATCGTAAATTTACCCTGCGTTTCTTGGTTCTGGTCCGCGAACGCCTGCAGCTTCTTAATCGGTTCGGATTGCGACACGGCAATGCAAAATTTCACATTGCCTTTGGTGTATTCGTGACCGGGCTGAGTAGGGTTTAGTTAGCTCGCCCTGCTCGATCGTACACACGTAGAATCTAAAGAAGAAAGCTTACATAGACCTTCGTATCATCAGGCAAAGACGCGAGAGTCTCGTTCAAAGCCTTGTGCATTTCCGGGGCTGTGCCTTCGAAGAACCGACCGCATCCTGGAGAGGTAGATTGTTTAGCATTGAAATCCAGTCTTCTCCCCTGGCGGGGCTTATTGCTTTAGGCTCGCATGTGCTTTTTTTTTTTTTTTCTTTTTTTTCAAGAGTGTAACAGAAAGCGGGCTCACCTCCAATGAACAACGTATCACCCGTAAAAACCACCTTCTGCTCCCCATCCTGCATAAAATAGCAGATGCTATCTTGCGTGTGGCACGGGGTATGCAGCGCCTTCACGGAGATACGCTCACCAATCTTGAACGATTCGCCGTGCGCCGGGGTCTGCGTGACAGACTGGCAGTTCTTTCCTCCGATGACGGGAAGTTTGCCGAATTTGTCGAGCTGTAAGTTTTGTGTTATGAGACTATGTCTTCCCTCAAAGTATGCGTGATAGTTACCAGTTCATTGTTGCCGCCGGCATGGTCCCAGTGGCTTTTAGGCTTATTAGTTTGAACTTGTTCATGAGTTTTTCAGCCGTAGATGGAGAGAACGTAACATACTGGTGAGTATTGACAATGGCCGTGAGATCAATCTTTCCGGCCTGAAGTTGCTTTTCCAGCTCCGGGATCACCCTACAGTCGATACAATCAGCTTTGCTTCTTGATGCTTCCCGTGGCCGGTCAATGCAGCGGTAGTACGCGAGCGTCAACATACTCAGGCGGATTTGCCGGATCAATAATCACAGACTGCCTCGTCGGCTCATCAGTCACCAGGTAGGCATAGTTATTGCCTTTCCCAGTCCCTGGATATAGTCAGCATCGAGCCCGTCAACACCTCGAACAACATGAACAAAACAAAAGACACATCCAGTGTATGACAAATAGGCGATGAATGCACGGGTAGCTTACACATCGGAATCGATTGAACATGCATGGCCCTGGCGACTTGTCTGGGTAGATGCGTAGAAGCGAGACGGGATTTGTTTCGGACACTGTACCCAATGGAGGATTGAATGGCTCTTGTGAAGCTCATGGGGATTGCGCAGATGCAGATGCAGATGCGGGGTGTTGATAGTCCGTTCAGATGGTTGGATTGATATGGCCATTACCTCATAGGCTGGAGGCTGGTGGGCTTGGGGTCAGCCACGCGCTGGTGACTGTGGTGCGCGCTAGTCCTTATTCGGCAGGCTATCTCCTTGTGGCTGGGTTTGATGCCTTAGAGATTTGGGCGTTCCTGCCTTATCTTGATAGATGGTGTGGGAAATATCGATAGGTACATCTTGTTCTATTTTATGTGCTCTGGATCATACCATCCCTAACGGTCGACTACTCCATGCGTCTGCCATTTCCCACCCGAATTTCCTCAATTCATTCAAATCATCATTCGTCCCTGCTGCGCTTGTCACCGGTTCTTTCGTGCCGGAAACCAATTTACTCTTTGATAGCTGGGGCACCTCATTAATCCCCTTGGGTATCTGCTTCTTCAGCAGTGTCGTCCATTGGTTCGTATTCTCCTGACAGACAGCCGAGATATAAGCAAATGAAAGCAGCCGTCTCTGGGACGCCCATTCCGACGACCTCAAAATGTGGTCCAGCCACAGATAGATCCCCTTGCAACGGCCGTTCTCCTTGGCCTTCGACACGTCCGTGAACGCGATAATATTGATCATTTCTTCCGTCAGCGCCGTCAAGAACGCCGGATAGTCTTCCGTGATGGTCTGCAGGAAGCGATCCCATTTTGTGAAAGCGTCGGCTAGGGAGTCACCGACACTGTTTCGATGAGTTAGCATATCGCATCGCCCGTGAACTCGAGAAGGGTGGGGGTCGTACATGTCCCCAGCAGGCACCAAGACCGACTCCTCCAGTAAAGCATTCGAAAGCGCCACCGCGCCCTGCTCGGAATCCTTGCATATGGCAACCAGCTGCGTCGCGACCGACGAAAAACGCTGCTGGACCTTCCTCTTCTTCTGCGGCGGCTCGGACGACTCCTCGTCCTTTAGTAGGGGATCTAGACTCGCCCGAACAGCAGCATAAACAGGATCCAAGTCCTCGCCTGCCACGCCATTCGCGACATCGGGTATGGGCCCAAACGCAGTAGTCACGTCCGTCTTGGCCCAGTAGTAATCCCAAAGCCACATCAGGGAACGCTGGGCAGCATTGCGCAGCACAATGAGCGACGGCAACTCACGATGCGTGGCCTCATGTCGCAGCTCCACGAATGAGGCTGGTAACCCAAGATCCACGGCTCTCTGGAACATGGTTTTACGCTGGCCGTGGAGTTTCGAGTCGACCAGGCCGGTCACGAATCTGAATGAACATGTCAGAGATCAAGTCAGGTTCCCTCCGATAAAGTCTGAGTCTGAGTCTCTTCCAGACCAGGAAAACAAGAACCAGTAGGAAGAGAAAGAGCACCTACCGACAAAAGGCAGCAGAGTAAGTGGCACGGATGGAGAAGATTGAGTTTTTGAAAGAATCATCATGCAGAATGGCGTCGGTCAATAGAGCCGTGGCTTCGATTGGATGGGGCAAGTTCCCGCGCAGCTTCCACGATTCAACCTTTTTCGCGAGTGAGTCAAACATTCATCGCACCGATTGAGAAGATCTAGAAGGGGGTTATGATGTTACCGTGGCGCAGGCCTTGGACCGCATGTCCGGCCCATCGTAGGACGGAGCAGGATAGAACTGGTTGCGCACAGCAACTAATTGCGTCTGGTCCTTCCAGGGCGAGAATATTACTTTCGCCATTTTGGTCCAGGGCTATGAGAAATGGTGAAATGCACCGGTATGGGGGATATCATTCGAGGGTCATGCTGGTACTGTAGTCCGTATGCTGCGATTTTTATGGCCGGTGGATAGTTTTTCCTTCCGGGTCTCGGCCACTCTTCCCGCGTCCCCCGTTCTCCCATCACTCTTAGACTCACTTACGCCCATATGAGAATATTACGCTTCGGGGTCTGCCTCGCCGGCTTTTAGGAAACAATTTCAGGTGGAATCGCCATCGTTTGTTGTTATGACATTGATCAAAAGTTTCTAATACTTGAGTCTAAGAGCTAAAAAAGTGTTCAGACAGCCATCCTTGGGTATCCCATTCATACAAAGTAACGCCATAAAACTCAAAAACACCACGCTATGCATCGCTGAAAGCTATCAAAATACAAAGAGAAGCAAGCAAAAGATTGCGCGCGGACAGATTAAATCCATCCATATCCGTAATTCATGCAAGGCTGACTGCCCAGGTTGAAGATCTGCTGGGATGCAGGAACAGCATGCTGATCGAGGTCGTCATCGTCGAAAAAGAATGACTTGTGCATCATGTTTCCCGTCGACTTGACGGGCTGGTAAAGCGACGGCTGAATGTGAGCAGGGTTCTGTTCCGTGCCGGTTTCTTGTTCGTCATCGTCCTCGTTTTCGGCATCCTTGGTGTCATCCGCCTCATTCTCCGCAGACGGCGTAAAAGTCTCCTCCAACTTGAGACCCTTGCCCGGCAGACCTTCGAACGATGTTTCAAAAAGAGATTCAGGGTGGTTGTAAAGACCCATTCCGACCAGTTCTTCCTCGACTTTCGGCTTGGGAGCGGCGGACAATGGCAGCGAGTTATCGTCGGGCTGCTGGATGGGGAGGAAGTCGGGGGTGGAAGGGCCAGATAAGCAACCGGATGACGGTGCGCTCGCGTAACCGGATCCTCCCACATCGGCCGAGGGCATGCTGTTGTTCATTGACATCATGTCGAAGGCCCAGTTATCGGACATGGGCTGGTTGATGCTTGACGTGTGAGCTTCGTTGGTATCCCATGCGATCGGATCCACCTGCGAGGCACTCATTTCCATGAACGATGGTTGTTGAATCGGCGTCGTGTATTGCATGTCAGGGAAGCAGGGATCATTCGACATCGGGATATTGGATAGCGGATATGGTTGCAACATGTTCCCGTTCGTCATAACGGGAGGTGAAATATCCAGTGGTTGCGACGCCATCTCCATGACTCCCATGTTATTCTGAGCAGTGGTCGGGAAGTTCTCCGGGTAGGTGACGGTTCCTAGCGACGCTGGGTGCCAGCTAGTTGGTCGAGTAGCCGTGCTTCGGTGAAAGGCGGCAGCCAGCAGAGCTGGATCATACGGCGCTTGGTAGTCCTGAGTCGGTAGGTGACGGTACATTGGTGAGCTGTTGGACACCGTTGTCCTCCTTCTACCAGTATAGGTCGGACTGTTGCCGGCGCTGCGGGGTTTCGTCACTCGACCTGTCTGTCTAGGTCGTGGAAAGGCAGAGACCAGGTTACGGAAGGTCGATGAGCGTAGGCTTGGCTGGCCTTGATACCAGTGAGAGCCAGCCCACGAGGGCTGAGGTTGCCAGCAGTCGGCCATTGAGACGGTGATAGATGAGAAGGCTGTCGGATGGTTGATGGAAGGAAAGGTTGATTGAAGGAGGAGTCACGTATTTAAGAAGAGATGGGGTTACAATGGTCGTTGCGAATGAACATAGTTGCACCCAGAAGAAAGTAGTAGGCAGAAGAGTAAAGAAGAGGGAAGAGGTGTGGGCAAGTGAAGGCAGAGGTTATAAGGAAGATTAAATGCAGATAGGATCCATGGATAACTGCAGGCATGCAAGATGCAATAATAAGATCGGGATTCGAGACTTATCTATTCCAAGATGACACAGGGGTGAGAGGGTCACAAGGCATTGAGGCAAGGTACAGGAAGCAAGTGCCTCCTCCTAAGTAGGTAGCAGAGTTCCCCAGTGCCTAGTTGAGTAACATACCCTGACGGACCGGCAGCAAAGTGGAGAGGACATTTACCTAAATCAGGCATGTTCCATATGATTTTGATTTTATTTATGATTTATGATTTTCTTTTTCGATTTTCATTTTTTTTTTTCTAATTTTTATTATTTAGAATTTACGCCAACCCAGACCCAAGAACTAGGGGGAGTGATACACGAAAGTGGAACGCATTGCTTGATCTACCATCCGCCCCAGCTCCACGATCCCATTTTACTGTACACACGTTGGGATGACACCCGACGACGTTGACACTAACGAAAGGGGCCTAGCGGTGGTGGAGAATGGGGCCCAGGCGACGGACGGTTAAGGAAAGGGCAGGAAGGCACAGGAAGGCAGGAAGGAAGGATGGAAAATGATTCAGATGCGCCCATGCCACACGATGCCTTTCTGGGCTCCACTTGGCTGGTCTTTTCTCTTTTCGTTTTCTTTTCTTTTCTTTTTTTTTTTTTTTTGTTTTCACCTCTTTATTCTCTTCTGTATTTATTGTACCCAATTAATTCATTTTATTCATTGGAATCGATACAATTTTATACTTCTTTATTTCTTTTTATATTCCTCCTTCAGTCTTTGTTTTCTTCTTCCTTTTTATAAGTAGGACCATCACCATCATGCAAATTCCTTGCTACAATTCACCACCTGAGCTAGCTCTGAGTTTTACTTTCTCCTCCGTAAGAGCGACAATCCCTGGACTGCCGGGGACCCATGGGAATGGTGGTTGTTGGCGGTTGGCCGTGGTGGTGGGGAGCCAGTGAATAATGTCGATGGTGGGGATGATCAGACCCATTGGCAATCAGCAATTAGTTTGAAATTGAGGTGACTCCAACTGAAGGGCAATAAGGGCTCTTGGGGCAGGTGATTGGCCGGCCAGGGGAAGGAACTGACACTCCAGCCAGGAGGATGATGGAAATGGAACTGGGACATGCCGAAACTAAAGTTCAGTAAGGCCCGTGTGAGAGCCCCATGGTCTACGGGTCTAGTCGCGTCTTGCTTTTCGGTCGTGTCTTTCCTCTGGAGGGGGGGAAAAGCTCAAGGCGCCCATGATTCATTTACCTTACTGTAATAGTCATAGCAGCTGTGAAATAATCTGTGACTCCTGGCGGCCTGAAGTACCGTGTACTTCCTGTCCGCAGTTCAGGAGGGGCTAGTTGGTGCTCGTCATCCTGCGCTGTGATCAGTCTCCAGTTACAGTGTACGAAGTCAATAGGTGCTAGACTGCTAGGTGCTAGCCAAAGCAGTACTTGGTGCGACCTTGATTTTTCTTTTTTTTTTTCTCCCCCTCAGTAGGGCTTAGTCATATTCAGGCACACTTCCCCTCCAGGAAGCAGGAATGTCGCGGACTCGCGGTACAGTCGGTTACGACTTCACCGTACACCATAACGAAGGTGGAAAGTTCTGAGTTCTGACCCACGATCCGACCCGATCGTCAAAAAGACACAAATCCCTGTGGATGGGCCAAACTTCATTTTTCGTTCCCCTCCACCCCTTCGAGTCACTCCGTTGATTGTCCCCACAAGTTCACCATTTCCAACGCGTCACAACGCCCGTTACGCAAGGGTTACAATAATGTAATGTTCCCAGGGCTGTCTTCCCTTCCTTTCGTTGCCCACGGTGGGCTTCTCGTATATACACCTATGTCCGGATAGGCAGACGGAGCAAGGTTTCCAGATTGAGTCCTAGTAGGGGGTAGAAACTAGGAAGAAGGACCATACCACACTCCATTTCATTACCTACGAGACCGAGTGCATTACGCCGCGATTTGACTCCTCCCATGCCCCCATCAATCCGACTGGGATATATGACAAGGGGACAGAACAAGGGTCATGATATCCTCCGATCGATTCCTTTCGGGCTCGCCGGCGCTTATCCCGCCATCCTTGTCTTTGTATCACCTTCTTGGCTTTCTTTCCCCCTTGTCCTACCGCTCCCGTTGGGGCCATTCTACGGAGTACCTGTAGGTCAGGGCGTTCATTTATCTGTCTCCGGATATTACCCTGTTATGTAGTATTGTTGTATCATCCTTGAACTCTTCTTAGGTCTTAGTTAAGTCGTACTTGACTTCCCCGTTCCAAGGGCTACCATTCATATTTATCACAGGTCATAACCAGGTAAGTGAGTCAATACTTGATGTAACTTGGATTCAACCCGTCATGAGCCGGGCCAGATCAGGCGGTATTAGTAACTTTCCACATTTTTTTAATTGTTTATTATTTATTCTAAAACAAAACTCTCGACCGGACCAAGAGTTGCCAAGCGTTTCTTTCCATCTGGCCCTACCGGTAACTCTATTATTCTTGAAGAATGCAGGATCTAATTTTAAAATATTTACGTAGCACCTCTCCTCCATGGTCCATACTCCGAGTCAACTATTCATTATGATGATCGGCTGCTGTCCTCCCGGATGAGATAATGATTTCGCCAGTCGTGAAGATCGACTCCGTTAGGATCGTCGTTTTTCTCCGTGTGTCACTTTATTGGATCACGTCGGTGTGTACTGTGTCTGAGTACGGTGTATACTATATACAGCAACTCCTGACATGGAAGTTAGTCAACCCTCAGGATCACGATTCTCTTTGGCCGTTTAGCGTCCACGGAGTATCTTAAGAAGTTAATATACAGGTGGGGTTCAATGTTTCATAAGCATCATCATGTCTATCGGTGTCGGCATCCCAGTTAACTCATCACCCGACAGACACCGCTTAGGTCTTGGACAAAATTGCCACCAAACTCGCTCTAGCGAGTAGCGACCCTAGTGAGTAGTGTCCGGATGGTCGTGTCGTTTAAGACGGGAATAATTAATTGTAACAGAGAACGGGAGCCTCGGCTAGCTCGTTAGAAAGATGACAACTTGGAACTCCTGGACGGTAGAAAGTCTAGTCTAGTCTAGTCTCATCTCTTAGTACTCCGTGCTCCATGCTCCATACTAACTGCGCATAAGAAACATTATGTTGCCCCGAGGCCGAGGGCCCCAACAAAAAGAAAGTCATTTAACAAGACTCTACGACATCCAATAGAGTGGGGATCAAGACTAGAAAAGCTACAGGGATTGCTTTCAACTTTCAAACCCTCAATTCCCTAGGTTTTCTTTTCGGGCGCCCAGCGTGGCTAAGTAACACGGCGGCGGCCAAGAAAATCCTACGGAGTACCAGATACAGGGGATATCGTTTGGTTCTGACCAGTCCAGCTGCAAGCCTGCAACAACCACAAACCTACCTTACCTTGTACTACCAAGTCTCAATCGCACTGACCCGTGCGTTGTATCCTGTATATTTACATACCACTGTGTAGGAGTAGGTCCAGGTGAGACCGACCGAGGAATAGTATATAATCACATCGGATCACAAGTGAAAATCGGCAAAGAGGCTGAGGGGCCAATGCATAACTAAACGCAATAAAAAAAAAAACAACCTCCGTTTTAAATATGTACACCGTAAAACCTCGGCCATTCCCCATTCCCAGAACCATGTCCACGGCCCTTTTTTAATCACTCACTAGGCCAATTAGTTCATAGCGGCTAGAGGCTAGAGCCCGCTCACTGTTCGACTTTCGGTCTGCGACTGCACCTGAGGCGTGACCCGTTTGTTACTTTGTTTGGAGGACCTTTCGTAGAGGTGCTTCATTCATGATGTAGATGGGCGCTTGCTTATCCCGGTGACTTCTACATGTATTTTGCGATAGATTGCATATGATGATGATAATGAGGATAATGGACTAACTATCATACCGGCAAGGATCGCTGGAACGTTGATACATGCCGAGTTCAGAACCAAACCCCGGGTTCGTCGGGGAGGAGAATACCAGGTAGAATATCTCAGTTAAATTAGGAAACAGAGGCAGCCCTACTCCTGGTCCATACTCCATCTCCGGAGTAATGTACATATTACTGTAGTTGGTTTATTACGGAGTACAGCATTTAGTGTCTACCATCTGGATCAAAGGAACGCCAACCAAAAAATCTAAACGATTCAAAGAATGAGACCACCAACCCGACCATCTTATGTAACACCAGACAGCCACCTAGCTACCTAGGTAGTCTCCAGAGGGACACAAAAAAGAAACGAAATTAAAATTCCGCGCGACACCAGTAATCGACATCATCGACAGCGACTAAATCGGACAATTGAGATCATCAATCAATCGGTCTACAAATCAGAGGCCGGAGATTACAGGAGGAGACGACCGGGAACGCATGTGCAGCTCCACTTGGGGGGACGCTAGAGGAGAGCCCGCGCAGGGGAGGGAGGGCCCAGGGAGAGAGAGGGGCTCCTTACGGACGTAATTGACTGTGTACCTCTTGGGTCGGACAGGTGGCAGTGGGCACTGGGCATCTTAGCCCCGGTCTTAGAAAAATTCCAGAGAAAAATGATTCCAGGGGCCGAAAGGGAACGAAGTCAGGTCCCAAGACAAGTCAAGTCAAGTTCCATTTCCATGGTGGGTCCTTTTCTTTTCCTACTCCTAGTCTTACCAATTTTGCTAGTCTTGGTTATGGATTTCTGGATTCTCAACTGTCCCTAACTAGTTAATAATCCCTACGGCGACTTTTGTTCTGTCTCCCCCCTTAGTTACCGAGTGGTTAGTCTCAACTAGCTACGCAAGTTAGCTACAGACTAAAGATAGGCGGCAGGCCCAGGAACAGGGATCCTACCAAGCAGGAGGTAAGTTAAGCTAACTAAACAAAACAGTCCGTCAAGTGGGCGGCGGGCGAGTCATTCCATTCTTGCAAGCCAAGTTGCAACCGCTTCGCCTCGGTGTACTCGCGGACGGAGCCATCTCCAGCCACAACGGAGTATCTGTATTCTGTTGTGAACTTGTGATTTGGGAGAAGGAGCAGTCAGTAGTCTAGACTCTGACTGTTACTGTTGGCTTCATAGAATTTCGACGTGACTATTTCTCCATACCCATCATACTTACGTCGTCATCGTCGGCACCCTGACCCTCCCCCAATTCTTTGGCTTGATTAACCCTTGGCTGACACACGCGCCCCTCAAGCTGCCGATCCTTCCCAACAAAGAACCGCAGTTCCGTTTGCGTTTACGAGACATGGACCAAAGCGTTGATGGTCATTCATGGTCACGGTGCCTTTCAGCCCCGAGCGACAGGCTAGAACTTGTCTGGCGCTTATTGGGGATTATCACCGTAATCACATAGCTAGGTACTTGACTGGGACGGGGGGGGGTTGGAAAGACTAATCACACCTGCCTGGAGTGTCTGTAACTAGGTATCATTGCTCCGATGCGGCGTAGGAAGGATTCAATTATATGACCCAGTCTACTGTGTACACCGTACAGTGTACACGGTGTATGACCTGTGGCTTCTTGATCTCCACTATATGATCAAGCGGGATAGATTATCTGTAGTTATTATCGGAAAGTTAGATTATCCAGACAGTAACACAAGGTGTCATCGCCACTCTAACAGTCTAACTGCTCCATATGGAGTACCCATAGTCCATACCCA